GATTTTGCAGATATTTTTATTTGTGATAGTTGCAATGCAATGCAATCTTTTTGTAATCAATTGATGTACAATCGTGATGCCAATTATGCATATAGATTTGAAGTTCATACATTGAAGATTTGCAAAGATTTGATTAAGTTGCCCAACTTCAAGATTACTCAAGATTACTCAAGATTGTTTTAATTTCCTAGAAATCCATCAATAACCAAGATCTACTCAATAAAAAATTTTCTTCAATTTGCAAGGAAATGTTTGTCAAGTTATACTTAATGGTTATGTATTCAACTTCATGTTGATTCAATCTCAACTATATTTTTGTTCGTCTCAAGATAGTCCAACGTTCCATCATTTGAAGACAAATAGATTGAAGAGGAGCGGGATATGGATGATCACAATAAACATCATGAAAGCCTAGTCGACGTTATCAACAAAAGTAGCTTCTAGCATGAGGTCAACTCTACAATCTATCTGTCTAGTCCCATCTGCATATGCATCAACATTGTTGAGAGTGATTCATCGAGGATGTCTTTTGTCTTTGCGGATTTCACATTCGTCTTAATCCATCTTCCTATAGTGGTGTTGTCCGATGCAAATCTTGAACAAATGTGAGTTCAACTTTGTAATGAAATCTATTTTCATATTTTTACGCTCACTTTCTATTGCAATCCGTTCTACGAATGAATGTTGTGCATATACATAGTAATCAAGTGTTCGAGTTTGGCAAAGGGTCATTTATCAATCAATATCATGCAACAATCAAACTTCTGGCTCGCCGTCATGAATTTTCATAAAAGAATGAGCAGTTGTTCAAAAGAGTGAAGGTGATATATATGGAGTTATTTGTCACAGAGAAGCAGTTCATGACTAGCATGACATCATATAAAGACTATCAATCCCGTTATGTTTATGATCAATGTCGGTATAAATATTTTCATCTCATTACTATTTTCATCAAGGTGTAATAATACATGTATCATCAACTGGCGTTCAACGGTATCACAATGTGGAAAAGAGAGTGCATTGCGCTCGTCGCAATCACACATGTTCTAACAATTTTAAGATGCAAGTTGTATCGCATAACTCTGAAGTCCAAAAGATGATATTGAGTGTCAAACGTAAACCGTTTAGCACCACATCACATCTCTCTGCAAGGAATAAGATCAAAGAGTGATGCCAGAGCCATACTATGAGTAACTCGTAATCATGGCCGCGTAATGATTGGGACAAAATGCATTGAACGAGTAACCATTAGAGGAGAATGAAGAGTTTGAAGATCCAATATCTTATCACCAATAAACTTAAGTTGAATGAACAATTGGACTTAGTAACTACAAATCATTTAGTAACACGTCAATGTATCATACAAGTAGATTACTAATTCTATTCTCTTCGGGAAGAACAACAAAGATTACAATTGATGACTCAATGAAATATCATAATATGTATTACTATATTTATTAAAATAAACCAATGCAGTGTGTATATATCGCTACTAAATAAAAACCATTCTTATGTATGACGTCTTTTATACATTTTATTCTATACATTTTAAATGTGTCATTTTTTTTTTATTATTAAGAATAGTGACATACTTAAGATATTTATGTATGTATATGTATGCCTACGTAGATATATTGAGTTTCATATCTAATATGAAACTCAACTTGGTTTGTAAAAATTATTAAAGTTTCACAAATTTTTTATAGAAAAATTATATCCACTCAAATTCTTAAGAATTGTTGATATATAATACAATGAAAATTTATTCAAAAATATCAAAATGTCATATTATATGTCTATATTCAAATAACTATTTTGAATTATGGTTTCAAAGACCAGAAATATTACTATGATATTTTCCTATCAAACAATCTTCAAATGTAATTGATTGTCGTGTAACCTTCCCCATTCATGTGTATTTGTGGCCTAATTGTGCACCGAATACAGTGGTAATATAGTTTTTTAGAACCGAATTACAAATCGTACGACTACCTTCCGCGACCTTTTTAAAGTTGATCTATACTTCATAATCTAAATTGAAGAGCTCTGGAGAAGGTCGTATGCATTGTAAAATTAGCTCCAAGCTCGTAGAGAAGACATCAACGGACTACCATGTGCTTCTCAAGGTAGTCTTACTGGAACGATGGACAAGAACAAGTCCTATTAGAGGACTTGACATTCCCCCGGGAATAGGTAAGTGACTTCGGCGATAGGGGGACAAACGGAGGAAACTGCCTGACTCCCTCCTGCAACCGGGGCTACACCCGGAGGCTTTTTAGGATAGAACCTGGGGACATCCTCTTGTAAATGTCACTTTACCCCTAAATCTGTCGGAAAATGAAGTTTTATCTTCACTGAAGTTTCTCCCATTCGTGGTCGGCTGAGGTTTTTCTTGACGAAGTATAACACACTCACTTCACGGCTTCTTGTAGCCGGATCGCCGCAGGAGTTCTCGAAGAGCCGAACGAACACAGCTAACCGTTGAAATTTAAGAGTACATAATTTAGGAGTACAAAATTTAGGAATTCTGCGGAATTGGAGAGAATTGGCAAAATTTAACTGAGAGTTAGGGAGAATTAGTGAGAGTCATTCAACGAGGTTCGTATTTAGCAAGCACTATTCCATACGTGAACTATTGCAGCAAGTGAAGAAGCAAGTTCACTTATGGAGGTAAGGTGCCTACCATCTTCATTGTTGGACATCTACTACGAATTAAAGTTTGCATTCCACTTGTGATCAATTAAAGAATTCTCTGAGTAGCAATTTGTACTGCCTGCTCTTTTTCTTTTTGTACTCTTTTTCGAACGTTTTGAAGTTGCATTTGTGGGAAAGCCTACTTAACTTTAGACATAAGCAACATGTTTTGAAATCTGCGGTAGGCTGCAAGGTGGGTGAAGGAGGCTAGATCTGTTTACTCTGGTCAAGTCACTGCCGATGCTGCTATAAACAATAAGAATTCATATTGAACAGTACGAATCCATACTTCACAAGAGTCTAGCGTCGGGACCCGGGATTGAAGGTAAAGCTTAGGATTTATCAAACTCTTGAAAATAGCTCTTAGGATGCTCATTCAAAAGTTTGACTTTTATCCTGACTTTATCAATACACTTAGTAAGGTAATCATCAAAGTAGCTTGCGAACACTCTTCACGTGATGTAACTCTCACAATAGGCTCAAATGTTCAATGTTCTGAGGTATCATTTGAACCATGTTGACTTCTTAGCTATAATGACAATCAATCATGCTCTCTTCACTTACTCTTCTGTTCAAATATACAGGGAGCATTTGTGCTAGACGGAGGACTGCAATTTGTTGCAGGTCTGCGGTTGGTATTTAACTTTATCATCCCTTCCATGACACATCCAATTCTTTCCACTTTTGGTAACCTTTGTAATGCTGAGAGAAAAGTTGATGCGTCCTTTTTGTAGCCCTTCACACTGAAGTAAATAGGAATACTCATTTTCGGTTGTGAAAGCCACTTGGAAAGCTATAATTACATACTTTTAATTAAATAGTCAAGTTGCACATCTGATGTTCCTCTGCACAACATGAGTTTACATATACTAGTTATTTAGCGAGAATTGCATTTAGCAAACACTATTCAAGACGTGATCCATATATTTTAGAACAATATATATTTTAGATGATCTTTACCTGGTCACTAAATATCTCCATTGCTTTTCAGATTGTTGAATGGAGCATGTTTTCCATCTCTATGATTGCCTTGAGTGCGACAGTGGGTTGAAGTTAGTAGTTTTCATATAGTGGACAACATGGCTGACGAAACCGAACTTTCACGGCTAGCAATCGATAGGTCTCCCTTGCAAAGGGCTAAAGTTGCTATTTGAAAAATGATAATTCCACAACAGTCCAATCCGACACAACAACAACCGATGAAGCGTAGTAAATTTGCTGGCGTACAACAATGGCTGACATAAAGTCTAGGGTTGATAAAGACCACACAACAGCCCATCTCTGCGCAAGGTACTAAATAGTAATTGAAACCTGAGTTGATCATCTCAGCTTCATTATATGTGAGGCTTTTATCAATGTTGAATCAAATGTGAGGTTGTTGCAGGTGACAACGAATCTGCAGAACCTAGTACAGATGGTGCTTCAGCCAACAACCCTCTTACTTGCATCTAGATTGTAGCTCTTAATGGATGTCGAGTTCTTGAATTATCCCTTCAGCAATGTGCGAGATGCAATGTTGGAGCAATCCATCATCTTTGTGCTGCTGAAAATATCACCAATCAATCGGAGCTCGACCTTGGACAAATCGAACTATGCTTTGATTGTAACGGTGCATATGAAAGCGTCTATATTTTTGCTGCTCTGGGTAAAAATATATTGTTGGCAGCTATTTTTGAAACAACATAGATCATAGTGATCTCAAACATATATGAGCAATTTAATGTCTCTATTTGCATACCAGAAGCCAAGCGGGCAAGAAAGAAGTGGCAATACAACCACAACATGCAATGCCAGTAAGAAGAAGAATTATATTGCCTCAGTTTTGGCGGTGCAAAGTTGGATGGAGAAGTATGTATGGGTTACGCAGTTAGACAGGAAAGAAGATGAAAATCCCATGATAAACTGCTCCATTTGTACAATTGGATGGAGAAGTATGCATGGGCGACGCAGGTAGGCAGGAAAGAAGATGGGAATCTCATGATAAACTACTCCATTTGTACAGAGACACAAGCCCCAAATAAGATTTCAAGATCGACGCTTTTTGCAAAGATGCAAATGAGTATAAATATGTTTTCGAATTAGAGGAGTCCTCTTAGAGGACTCCTCTATCTACCTGTCCTACACCGACTTTCCCTAAACAACTTACAAGGTTAACCCGAGTTCACGAAATTCAAAAGATTCCCACATAATCATTGGGCTCCTCGTTCCATCCCGATGTCAAGGAACCAAAAGGATAGGCAGGTTTGTCATTGTGCTGTGATCCGAAGAATACAAAGACACATAAATTGCTCAAACACGAGGACGCTGAAGTCAATGAAATAATTTTATTAAAATTTTCATCTTTTCCTCAGGTGACAAAAATCGAGAGCCTTGTGTCGAAAAGGTTAATGGACTAAGGCTCATTTCTCTACTGTAAAGTTGGTTTGTAATTTCTACCTACCTTTCTGATGACTCATTGCATCTGTTCAAGAATGTGGAAGAGTGCCAAAAACGGCAACAAGTAGAAACTGGATACATATCCAGTTCAAGGAATCCCGAAGTGAGCTAGCAAATATAAAGCTCATCAAGTCTGTCTCAATTTATTCACATAGGCTAAGAACCCAGTTACCCGTGGAGCTGTGCGGACGCGAACTGACCGACGCACAGCAACATCCTCTACTGCAATCTTTTGTGCTATCTCTTTGGATCTTCTCGTTAAAGCGTTACTGCAGTACACATACAAAGCACGTATTTAATCAGATGGATATAGGGCATTACTCCATAAACAACAAGAAAACCGTTGCACCTCCACAAAGCCAGAGCAAGGTGCAAGAAATCTGTAAGATTCATTTGCAAATAACTTCGAACACTGATGCAGCTCCATCACCCAAGGATCACCATTCTACTCTGGCAGACTTACAAGTAATATCATCTTTAGTGGCATTTGTCTACAAAGGCATCTAAAGCTGGAGTTAGAAGTGTAGAAGATATACTTCAGACGATAATAGATACAAACAGAAGAGAGGATAGAACGGAATGCACGCTGTAAAGAGTTGTAGGCTGAACGATGAGAGAGTTTGTAGTGAGCAGTGACTACTAATTTAATAATCAAACAAGACGGGAGAAAACCCACGAAAAAACTTTAGCCCATGATGATACAATGTTCAACTGATTTCATTAGTATGGACGTCGTGACTTTGACAAGGTAACAACTGCAAAAACATGTGAGGAACCACAAGGGCTTCAGACGCAAGGCCGCCGAAGAGTACAACCGGGTACGTACAACCGCAGAACCTCTAGCCATGGCGGATCCGGTAACAGTAACAAGGAAAGAGACCGAGGAAAAACCTTCGATCCAGGATCTCTCGGGTCTAGTAATATGAGCTTAAAGCTAGGTAGATACTAACCCGCGCACCCGCTGAGGCTAGAGGAAGACCAAAGAAAAACTTTCATTGCAAGGACACCGCTAATGACACTCCAGTCAATCAAAATAAATAAAATCTATCTAAGTACCTGAAATCGATATTAAGTGATGTCACTTTATGACAGTTCAGTTTTGGAACTAACAAGTAACAAGTCCATGCACCAGTAATGGAGTCTACCTGGGTGAACGTAGCATACACAGAGCATAGAACAATTACATTCAAATATCAGTGACAAAAGTCATGTCAATCAGTGAAACAAAACTGGACACTCTTGAGCCAGCAAGGTGAAACCCACAAGTTGGGCCCAGTATCCTACATACTGGCTTATTAGTCCTAAATATGGATGTCCTTGCCAGGGTGGCCTCCACGAGTTTCTTTTTATCCACATCCAACCGTTCCACTTGAATCCACATTCGTGACAACCATAAGAATGCAAATGGCTCTCTCTACTGCAGTATCTCCCTATGCTGCAGAAAAGTCAAAGAACTTTTCAGGTCTGTTTGGCTTCGAGAGATCACGTGGTGTTGTGTGCTCCATATTAGATGAACAAGGAAGTCCAGTCCGACGGAAGTCAGGCTTATAGATCAGCATTGAAATAAAGTAATGATATGGAGTAGAATGGGATGTGGTAAAATAGTAGTAAGGATGTATCAAATAACTAGATAGGATTGACTAGGGAGTACGAGAAATAGCACACAAAGCTGTGCACTAACTGTTATGCGGTAAATAATGAGGAATACAAAGAGACGCGCATCCGTAACTAACAGAAGATGCCACTGAATGCTCTGAAATAACAGGTGCCGTGTTGTGCTGTCAAAATATTCTATTGAAGGATTGTGAGCAAGAACCAACATTAAGCGCTAACACTAACTGCAGCTAATTGGAATCGAAACTAGCGACAGTCGCAACTGTATGCAGATCCTGCCGGATGCCACACGGGAGCAGCACTGAGCACGGACCCAGAAGCGGGCGTCGAGGAGTAGTGTAGTAGGCCGACATCGAACACAAAACAGAGTTGTATATGCCTGCTGCTCTATGAGATCAGCAGGAAATCGTAAGCAAGAATCTCTTTAAAAGATTCTTACACTACAGTGTATAAGTCAGGTACAGATACCAAAACATCAGAGAAAGAGGGGACTGTAGAGTGTATTGGGGGACACCATGATGTCATCAGCGCCTTTCACGAATTCTAAGTAGGTGGATAGGAGAGCTAGTCGCGTGTCAGTAGTATCTGTATCGATGTAGCGCAGCAAAGGAACGCTCTGAGCAATCCGTTCTGTAAATCGCATATTGTTCGTTATTGTAGACATATGATGGACTCGAATTGCTACGAATTGACAGAAAGAAGTAAATAAAGACACAGAAGTAACCTCACAAGAAACACTAACATTTCTTGAAGAGATAAGGAAAGAGCAATGGAGAAAGTTATCAAAATCGAAAGGAAGCTTAATAAATAGATTACTGCTAGGGCAATTTGACATGCAAGGGCTGTAGATTTAGTGAGAGATAATGGATATGCAACATGGCAACATTTCTCACCTTATCTTTTGATAATGCTTTTCCATTTGTTTCTGCAAAAGTCGCTCCCTCACACCCTTTGGATTCAGCGACCCCAAGAGCGCATCGAGCTGTATAGGCAAGGGATTCAGCATGGTCAATTTTTCAGATTTCATCAAAACAACCATCATACTAGGATGTGGTTGATCCATTGACTACAGGCACCCACAACTGCAACACAAAAGAGGGTCCTTAGTATATAGTACCTCCTCTTTAGCACTATAGTAACCCCAATTCCTGGAATTCTTGTCCTCCACAAACAAACGTCCTTCTCGATGGAAAAACCAGTAGACATTGTGATTGCGGTCCTTTCCCAGAGGAGTGGTTCTGATTGAACGCTTCTCCAGTTCCCGATCAAGTTGCTCTTGCTGTCAAATGAAAGAGTCAAGGTTATTATTCGTAGAGAAAATTAGTGCATGGTAACACCATCCAGATTAACATAGAGAGTACATCGGTCACAAACAGTGATTGACCGCATAAGCACATGGTCGATAAAATGTGTGAGTGCGAACCAAATTGGCTAGGAACATCATATTAGTGAACAGAATTTTAGGAAGAAATTAAGCGTGTTGAGGGCGAGGGCATCCCTGATAATGACAAGCAATTGTTTGTCTCTTTCATTCCTTCATTCAGCCGATCTACATGTAAGATAGAACATGATCAACCTTGGCATGCCAGAGGCCGAGGCAACTAATATTTACGTGGTACATCTCAAGGATGCCAAAACAAATACCAGATACAAAGGAGCATGAATAAAATGAGAAAAAAACCAAGAGATGTCATACATGGACTGAAATGATTTAAGAATAGAAAATCATGAAAGCAGAACAGGAACGAAAACAGAATAGAGAGACTGGATATGGATGGAAGCCAGTGCGAGGTGAACACCTGTCAAATTGATAGTGCTCAGAAAAATAAACGAGCAGGATGGAGGAACCAGTACGATGCAAGAAACGCCTCCATTGGGCCATTAAGAATATATCTAGAGAAGGCTAGACTTATGGATGCATGTATACCACGAGATTCTTCGAGAACTCAAAGTAAAACATAAATAATGTATCCCAGTAACCTTTGAAAGGCAGCCATTATGGCACGTATGAACACGGATGTATTCTTAGTTCACAATTCACCAAGCACCTGTCCGAATACCGTGCAAGTTTAATTATAGCAACAGAGATGTTTGGATCAATACAGATATACATAGCAATAGTATTTTCAATAGACGCTGAGAAGTTAAAAATACCCAACACAAAACACGGGACCAAGAAGCAACTTCAGTATGTTAATCAAGATGCCAGAACTTGAAACGTGGCTCTCTAGATACCCATACGACCTTCTGTACATCTTTTATTTGGATAGAAGATATCATTTAAGCTTCCGACCTTTGTTGAATAAACCAACATATCATGACCAAGGCAAATAGCATTTTAGAGTAGTTACATCCCAAAGGCACTCGTCTCAAGAATTCGGAAACGACTCTCACCCTCTTTTGACTTTCGGCGAGCAGTTGATCTTGCAACTTGCGGTCTGAACTTGCATCTGTTTGCACTTTCTTCTTGTCCTGTGCCTTCTTGCTGTCTTCAGTTTTTTTTCTCTCTTTGTCCTGATCCTCAACCAGCCTCATGCTCTCCTTGGCTTTCAAAATTGCTTGGCGCGATTTGCCCGATAACTTAGTCTCTTGCTCTTCTTCCTTCCTGCACACAGCGGATTGACATGAAGAAAATGCCAACTAATTTTTCCTTACAGAAGAAAACGCTCAGAAGAGGAGAGAGAAGATAATGGAACTGATGAGCATCACTCACTTTACTTCACCATTCCCACTGACAGGACTGTGATTTCCTCCAAGCTTCCTTTTTCCTTTGGTTTTCCAGCCCACGGCCTGTCCATTTTCCTCAGTCTTAATTGCGTCTTTCTCATCACCTGAGTTGCCGTCTTCATCCACGTCCATGTTCTCACCGTCTTTTGAATTTCCGTTGGCTTCACCACCTCCATCGGCCGCTCCATTCAAGGTCAGTTTTGCTTGCTTTTTCCTCTTTGACCCTTCGACATCTTCCCCTCGCTTCTTTGCAGCAAGTAACTGATGCTCCTCGATGTTTTCCTCTAGTTGAGCCCTGATGATACCAGAACCTAAGCTTTTATCTATTAGTTCCTGCAAAATCTCCAATTTCTCGGATGCTTCGATCTGCTTGTAGTTGCCGAGGCGAATAGATGGCAAATACTTCGCCATCTTATCTTTGTTGATCAACTCTAATAAGTCGCTCACATCATCCTTCAAGGTGTTGACAGAAACCTACAGGAACAACACATGAGGCTACTATCATGGAGCTGAACCTTATTCTTTCACCATTTGACATTTCAACTATGATCGAACAGCGTAAGTGCGTACCTGTACCCCACAATATGTCATCCTCGAGATAAATCGGGAGATACTTGGACTTGCTTATTCCTTACAAATCTGAACTATACTGTAAGTGTTGCAACTAAACAGTCATTGGTCAGCTATAAAGTAACCGGAATTACATGCGACTCGCAAAAATAATGTTTGCAAAGCCCGTTATGAAGCTATACACGAATGCTGGAGGAATGGCTGTTGCTTAGAAACTCAAACGCATGAACTCAAGGAAGGGCTGTTGCTTAAATAAACTTCACTCTGAAACTTACTTCACTTTTCCGCTTCCGTTTTTTGACGAACTCCTCCCGTAGCACCGGGTCACTCAAGTTGGTGCGCACTAACGCAAAGAGCGTCTCAAGTATCAACGGAGCATTCCCTTCCCGATAATCCAAAGACTTTTCTAGTTCTTCAAGAGAGAACGGAGACAAGTGAAGGGCCTTGCTGAAGGAGGCACAAAAATCCCACACCATCAAAAGATTGCCGAGACACTCCACAGGGAGTAAGAAATCTGTCGACGCGATAGGCCTGTCTTCGAAGACGGGGTCATCGAGGCTTGGTTTCACCAAAGTGTCTTCTATCGGATACTTAATAGGTGGTGGAGGTGGGGGCGGCGGAGGTGGGGGTGGAGCGACCACTGCAGGCACATGCCAAGAAAACAGTAACCAGTCAAGAGCTGGCATAAATACCGTGTAGTGCGAACACAACTCAAGGAGGATGACCAGATGTCCTCTCATCAGCTTCATGTTATCCTATGCTTGATATGTGGACTTTACACTACCTTTCTTCCCAGCTGTCGTCTTCTCTTTGCCAGAGGAGCTGCTCTCAGTCGTGGAACCCATTTTTGTGGTAGAACCCTTCTTCACAGCCTTCCTTTCTTTGCCAGTCTCTGTGCTTGTACCTTTTTTGGCACCTTTACCCTCTTTGCGGGCTTCTTTGACATCCAACGAAGTTCCTCTCTTCACAATCTTCTTTTCTTGACGTCCTGCGTTATCTTCCGATTTCCGTCGTTTCCTGGTGTTGTGTCCTCCGTTTTCAACCACCTCGATCTGGAAGCATTTAAAGAAAATAGAAAATCTAAAGAATCAGTAACGAGGGTACAAGTCTTGCAAGCCAATTCCATTCCAGAAGGGGCTCAAATAATAAGATATAGAATACTTACTTCGACAGGTTTTTGTCTCCCATTGTTAACAGGTTCCTTCTGCTCTCCTGAATCTATTCGCTCTGGGGGTTCTACTGGAATCTTGTATTTCCGTGCGAGCTTATTCTTCACAAGCCATATTGAGTTCCTTGACGGTCCAGACGAGGCTGCTTCCCGGATAAATGCCTTCAAAAGTGCTCGAGTAAATGGTTGTTTCTTTCGTGTCAACCTCACTGCAGGCTCTGTAGATGTGTTGAACTTCTTTCCATCTTCGTCCAACCAAGCCACATCATACCGGTAATCTTCCTTACTATGCTGAGCCAATACTTTTACGATCTTGCACGGGCAGAAAGAGTCTCCAGACTTTCCCAAAGCCTCCTCATTAACAACAAAACGGTCCTTAAATTCTTTGTATATTCTATCTACAAGCTCATCGATCCGCATAGGGCCTGTGAGAGTGCAATGTTTACAAAAGTTAGAACGTAATTACAATTAATATATGAAAGCAAGGCACCAAATACTACTACAAAAACTTAGGCAAGGCAGTATATACTTCCCTATTACTCCTTAATGGCCTGACAACCAACTATCTCGGAGATAGGAGACAGGTACTTCCCTCTGTATAACCTAAGCTGTTCCAATCTACGGCCTCTAGAAGAAAACTGAGACGACGTTCTAACATGATGTACCACAATTTCATGCAAATTCTAGTCTTGGATGCAGCATTTCAGGAACTAAAACGCCCAAGCGTTACAGACAACTACTCTTACCGGTGTTCCTAAAAACTTGAGAAACAAAGAGTGCTACCCGGAGATGAGAGATAAAAACTAAATTGGACTTACTAAATTGGACCATGGACAACACTGGGCCCATAAATTCCTTCGGGAACTGCTGAACCCTCTCAGTAGCTCTCCGCTCTGAAACAAGTGCTTCTTCGTATGTAAGATTTTGCTTCCCCGTCACTTTGCACGTCCATAAACGCCTTCGATACAGATTCACATGACTTAAGTACTCCCTGCAGATTTTGTTAAAGAATTTTCCTTGCCTGGATACCAACCACTTCTCTAAAAGGGTATGAGAAGTTCTAGGACATGCTTAAAAGCACAAAACGCGTTGTTACTTACAACAAGCTCCCAAACTAACTTCATCGTTATGATGGAAAATTCAGTGAACTACTGATATAAAAAATGTTCATGTTTGTGGAACTTAGAAGAAGGCATATATCAGAAATGCAATTGGTAAGGATACTCATAGTCTCTGAAAATCTCCTTGGTGAAACGAACTTGAAAGACATGCTCGTCTGACCGTAGATCGCGGGGAGGAGATTTTAGAACGTATGGTTTCCGCTTGAGAAGTGGCATTGTGCTCGGTACAGTTTCCTTTTTCAAGATCGGAAGTCCACCCAGAAGCAGTCATTCAACATTCGGAAGCGCTCCTGCGCAACGTCTTCGGAGCTCTGCCTGCGACCCACACGTTCAGAGGTGCGCAGCTCCACGCAAACAGCGCTGTCCTCAACCTTCTTCGGGAAGAAGAAGTACTGAACTGGGCAAATTTGAACCGCTTGAAGTACAGTGCATGAGGAAACTGCTTCGGTTGACGAAATGAGTAGGTAACTCCCTGATCGAAATTTCCTGATCTGTAACCTGATGCACACATTACATCGAAGTTTGCGGATTACCAAACCAGCAAACAAATTGCTCTTTGTGAAGAAACCAAAAACCCCAAACTCGACAGGATCGACCCAGCACTGCTAGCGTCTTCCTGTACATTCTATGCTACATTTGCAGTTCGAGCAGACTCGTCGGCCAAGTGGCATGGAGATTCGTAAAAATTGTATCATCCATTTTCCCTTCTGCCACCCCCAAACAGAAGCTCTCGTCAGCACTTCGGGTGCATTCTCGATTCACTGGTTGTCAGCAGGGAGCTCCTCTTAGATAGCTTACTCTTTTCTTGCGGCTGCCGCAAAAAAGTGGATGCGATGAGAGAGAGAGAGAGAGAGACCATTCAAGACGAAACAGCCTTTCAACAGCTCGAGTGTTTGGCCTACAGGATGCGACTCTAATACACGCCTTAAAGCCGTCTGCCGCCCGAACGAAATCCACCGTCAGAAATATAATCTCCCGCTTCGAGACCACAATTTAAGAAATCCTCCTGTAGCAAAAATGCATGGAGGTATTCATACGAAAGGTTCAGCACAGACGCGACGGAAGAGCACCAACATCCAGAAAGATGAGGACAGAAACAGGAAACCCAGCTGCTTCCTCCTTTATCAGTGAGCCGATTTTGCCGAACAGTCTGGTTGCAGGCTAGAGCAGCTTGGGGACATTACGACGATAGATTCTGAAGCTAGAGTGGAATTCACGCGCAAGAGGGAAAACGCTGAGACGTCATGAAGATTGTTCTCCGTTTTCAGAAAAGTTGCACGCAACTTCGCTAGCACCCCTGCCAGGGTGGTGTAAAACACCCGGCACCAGAGCCGATGTTCAACTCAGGCTTGCGTGCATTCAAACCTCGATGACTTATGTTTAAATTCGAGCACAGATGAGAACATGTCCTGAGCATTGGAAAATACCAACATTCGTGAGCAGCTTCTCAGACAGCGGAACGCTGATTCCGATTCTCGGGCAAGATCGGTGCATGAGAACCAGCACGGACCAAAATTTCCCACTATCACCTCTTTCCCACCTCTTTCCCACCTCTTTCCCACTCTTTTCCGGGCTCCTGAATGCAAGCCCAGCGGAAGGACTTCACAGCAGATCGAGGAAACGCAAGTGGGTTTAACGCCCCGAGCACATCGAGGCAGAATTGCGTCCGAATCCTTGACCCACCGCCAGTCGCAACTCCTGACCTCTAGTCTGAGAGAAAGAACACACACTTGACACGCCCGTGCGAGCAAATTGCTGTCCTGTGTCACAACCCCGGAAACGAAAGAAACAAGGAGCTGTGTGCATATCGGTGCACCAACCTCCTCAACCAACAGTATTGAGGTGTAAGCGAGGCTGCGAGTCCGCCTCGGAAAGCTAATTCTGTGCGGCCTCCGTCAGGAAAGGTCAAGAAAAAATGCCAAGCGCCCACAGTATTAGGGGTTTACACCAATCGGAGAGAGGGCGGAGAAGAGAATTGTCCCCACCCGAAGAGCAGGAGAAAATACCCGAAAGAATTCGCGAAGCGAGCGAGGATTGCGTCCGGCTCCCAATTATGCTGGCCTTCCCGGCACAAGTGCAGGAACTCGGGCTTGCGGAGCCGTGCTGACATGAACAGAGCAGCTCTTCTTCGACAAGACCAGCAAACGAGGAAGAACAACTCTCGATCTCACGCTCCTCCTCTCGCTCCTTCCCTCGCTTGCTCGCTCGCTGCCTTCCGTTGCTGTCCTTAACTTCTTCTTGCTCGCGTTTTTGCGTTCTTTCTTTGTTTCCGCCTTTTGTTGTTGTCCTTATTCATACGTCTCCGACAGCCAAAGGCAGGAGCGAAGGGAGCAAGTTGTGCACATGCCGCCACCACCTTCTCGCTCGCCTGCACTCTCAGCAGCCAGGCAGCCACGCAGCCACCGCCTCTCGTTCGCACACCGCGTCCCCGTCTCCCTCCGCTCGGTCTGCAATTCCACTCCACTCCACCATCTTCCTCTCGCGCATCTCCTCTTCACCTCGCCCTCACCTCGCCCTCACCTCCCCCAACAAAGTTCCCGCCCCTCCATGCTCGCTTCGTTTCGAGTTCCAGTCGCTTCTCTGTTTCCTCCCTCACCTCCCCTCCCCTCTTCTCCTCTCCTCCCTCCTCTGCTGCGACAATTCGCCCTGCTGTCTGCAATTCCGACGTTCTTGCTCGTGTTGTGAAGAGAGAGCTGCTGCTCCTACTCCAGAATGCTTGCAATTGCAACACTCGTCAATTGCACCAACTCACAAACATCCCTGAGCAGTAGTGACAGCCAGACAGACACATACACACACACAGACGTCAAAACACAGTGCACAGACAGACAAAGGGGAAAGCAAGGCTAGAGAGCGAGAGAGAGAGAGAGAGTGTGGAGGGAGGTTGGATGGGGGAGAAAGAAAAGTTACCAACTCACAAGGACAATCCTTTTATGAAAGACGGAACGATTAATCGGATGAAATAGTTGATGAGCACAGGAGGAAGAGAAGTGCCTTGCTGCTGCTCATCCCAACCAAGCCCTGCAACGTCGCCAAATTCCGAGCCTTGATTGCCATAAACACTTGAGCATTCTCGTATGTCACTCCCATCATTCCACCACTTCCTGTTACTGCGTAGGCCCAACTGGATTCGGCACGAGCTCACTAGTGCAGTGACAGCAATCCATTCACTTTTAGTATCTCAAGCCCAGACTTCCCAACGCAGTTCCTTGGTTTCTTCATTAGTTCATCCATCTCTCCGGTTCAGTAGCTCACTTCCCGTCTACATAGAATACAGTTTTCATCACTTTTTCATGGTCAACCTCGGCTTTGCACTCTGTAGGCTAGAGAAGCTGTCCACATTAGATGCAGTATTGGTAATCAGAGCTGTGAGACCGGACTTGATATTACTGCACTTCCTAGTAACTGCAGTAGCAAGCAGTAACCAAGGGTGTAGTTGAGAGTTGGGGCGAGGTTGCTTCGGTTACAGGGTTGCCAGCCATCGGCTTCATGAAAGTCAGACATTTGCAGTACTTTTCAATTAAGAAGCTACATTAAGTTAAGCCAATCAAACTTCATCTCTAGCGCAGCACGCAACCACAGCAGTAGGAACTTGCAGTGAAGTTAGTTTGTAACCTACTTATTGCAAAATATTTCCGTTTTATTACCTTACATTGACTGGAGACACCGCTGTTATAGAAAAATGCATATCCGAAAACACTATTGCGTTGATACCAGTTTTGAAGCGTCAGGATTCTTTGGGTATGCATGAGGTGAGACATGCTGTTGTCCAATGTCAACCACGTGCAAAATGTTCCTTGGCTCTATGATTTGAGATCACTAACTTTTCGCACATCATCGAACTCCTTCAACCTGTCGTCCCCAGGGGAATCAAAAGTAGAACTAGATCAAGTCGTTACTTGTAATCTCAGCTTCATTGTCGGAGATCTGTCAGAGTCCGTTGCAGGAAACATTCTCGCTTCGCCGATAGCAAATGTTAGTAATTGCAAATTTCCGCCATTAGACTTTCTAGTTTTTCAATTTGAATACCTATCGGGATGAGCGTAACATCCACTCATGTGAGAACTCAATGCTTACTGCCTTTTAGAGTCAATTACAGTGTACCATCCCTGAGTAGGAAACTATGCAGAGAAGATGTTTTCTGCTGCGGTTGTACATCATATCTACAAATTTGACTGTTTTTAATCGTGGTATGATATTCGTCATTTACTGGAAAATACACTCCTACCGCGGCATCCTCTTGTTCATCCTTTCAGATCGAGCTGACTGAGTTCGTATATCACGTTGCTGATATGTCAATATAGATATGAATAAATTTATATTTATAAATAGACAACGCTGACTTGTATGATCATGTTGGTAAGTCGAAATTTAAATTTCTGTGAAAAAATTACCCACGTACTAAGCAGATTATTCTTTCCCTTTCATCGTCTTTCAGTTAGAAGCTTCCCATCTGTAAGAGTAGAGCCCATTACATGCCTCACGTGTGAATGCAACTTATTCCCTACATACATCCTACGTGGAAACACTTTGCGACAGTTCACAGCTTCCCACTCGCAAAAACTGCTCAAGACGAGAAATAAGGAACTTTTGAATTATTTCATATCGTTACAACGTATAGCGTACATATAGACAGAAGATGCATGTAGCTGTGCCTTGCTCAGCACAACTCATTAACCTAAAACATCGCCTGTCATGAATCGATGATTCAAAACAGCTTCTGCTGTAGGTCGCATCCTGTAGTTTGGATTCAGCATAGCCTGCAGAACGACACAAACAGCTCAGGGTTAATTATTTCTGCTTACCAAACCTGTTGAGACTAGAATCTGGAAGTCATTTTGCGTGCCAGGCTATCTGGCTTCTGCATTCAACCTCATAACTTCCAGTACGGAAATTGTTACCTTCGAACATACAACTTATGATAAAGATATCAAACACCTGCAAGTCTTCCTGATGTCTAGAGTTAAGAATATTCTGTACGAGGTGGAAGTGGGTTCAGCAAAAGAGATTGCTTACCCGTTCTAGCCGGAAATCAGCGAAATAAGAAACCTGTTCTAGTTTTACTCGTGTTGTAATCCTATTGGTCTAAAAAGATGACATTATAAAACATAATGGTTTTGTTCAACCTATACCTGTAGTAACTGCCATCCGGCTCCATCGTCCAAATCCATAAACTTGACAGCCTCATCCCATCGCTCATCTGCAGCACAGTACCTGACACACAATACAGGAAAACGTTTGACTCAACTTACAACAAGAGCGTGGTCTGGTCATAAACCTAGAGACAGGACACTTTACGAAACCAAAAAGATGTGTCGAACTTGAGCATGACCTCCAACGGAAAGCTCCGATTCGAATATGTATGTAAGGTACTGATGATCACAGGGAACATCCGCCAACATATGCAGGCATCTTCTAATTGTAAGGCTGAGTTACCTCGCGAGGTTAAGACCCACTACTTTCAATCTAATGTTCTCAGCAAGGAAGTAACTGCACTTACTCTCTAGCGGCCATAACATCCAGGCGGAATGTATTCTCGAACAACCTCTGCGCAGCAGAAATCAAATATTAAGATGAACAAAGATCACATATACTTGTTCTTAGGATCACAAATGAAGTACTGGTATTGATCACCATAATATTCAGATCGAGCGCTCCAGATCAGGCCCTTAAGATTTCGTAAGAAACACGAATCTAGTAGAATCCAACAAGTTATATTTTTGACATACGCAAAACCAGTAGTTAGTGATTACATACCTGAAGTGAAGGTCCGTCAATGCTTCCAGGTTCACATAGAGGAACAAAGACCATGTATGCCAACAGGAGACCACCTGCGTAGCTGCTCAACCACAAGGAGTAGTAAGCATTAATCAAAACCTAAATTACGTACATCAAACTGGCTATTTAAAAATTTCTTAAACAAAACAAAACAAAAAAGAAGTTCACCCAGATAGTAGTATGGATGAAAAAGATTGGACAAAAAAGTATGCTATAGCAGGGGATCACCGTAAAACTTTGGTGTCTGATATTGACGCAGGGCCCAAATATCAAAGATAAGAGACGTGAGGGATATACAGTGGACATGTAGACCAGCAGAGGGCATAAGGGCAGTAAGGGCCTGCACGGTGGATGCAACTGGGCCCAGTGACATCATAACACCTGAGTGGCAAGCATCACCCTGCCATCACGTAATACACATATATTGCGCTGCATGGGCAGGAGATTATTTAAAGTAAGACATGAAGAAGAAGCTCGTTCTTTACGGGACTGTAAATAAATAGAACATTCAACAGAATTCTTGGATTAACTGCAAGGTCATTTCACTCGAAGTGAAGATTCCTCATGCGAACACAGAAGTCAATACAATAGATCATCAGGCGAAGTAACAGCCTATATTACGCCGGTGTACTTTCGCTTCTTTTGTTTCCATGCTGACAGCCGACAGAAGCTAGGTAGGCTATTTGTAGAGTGAAATGAGGAATTTACAAATCAAACCGAAAGGAAGTGTTCGACAATAGCTGAGAAGACCTAACTATGAAAAAAACTGAAAACATAAACTCCTGAAAGACGTAGACCACATTTTTAACACACTTATATGGGTCGTCAATGTTAGCCTGCTTACTGCCGCGGGGGTGATTTTTTTTACCATAGGACCTATGATTCTAGAATTACAGAGTGAAAATAAAATATATCCATGGATAAGTATTTGAGGAAGTCGACAGTAGAAGGTTCAATTAAACGAGACGGATAGGAAACGGTTGATAGACAAAATTTCAAGCGAGTTGAAGGTTGACTGGACCAACATGTCATCTGATATGCCGAATGCGATCCTTTCAAAAGGAGTTCGAGCGCCAGCAGAAGTTGCCCTCCTCCACAAGCCGGCTGATAAGGCAGCTGTTGGTGACTCTGTTGATACATCCTGGAGGTCTGAAGTACTGCCGCGTCGTTCCCAAGAATCACTCAAAGAGTTTGTCCCAGCTATAGCCTGCTCGCTGACATCAAATAGGCATGTTATCTAGACTTATCGCAGATGGAAGAACAGAAATCAGGCACTCAGTTTTAAGATCTCAAACTCCTAAACAAGCTTTCCGCACTCTTATAAACTCTTAGAGGTAAAAGGTACACTGAGCCTTCAATGGAACTTACGTACATGCATATGGTTACTCAATGGTCTGTCTAGCTTACCTTACGTCCGCAGCGAAAGCCAGATCTCGTAATTGGGGTTCCAGGTATCGGACGTCCCTCTCCTCCATCGTGCTGATGCAAGATGCATATAGAGGGTTAAAAGAAGCATCAACTCCAATGCCTTTTGTAATAAACCCCATATAGCAATAACAGCCCGTGGGGTTTAAACGCAGTGATGTGAAGCATGAAACAGACAGTCATAAGTTTTTGTGCACTAAGACAGCCAGCCTTCAGTGGTAATCTAGTTCATATATATCTTGAGACGGCTGGTTTTAGACATATAGTTATTTGTATGAGAACGGTTGATTAACTGCGTGCGCTGCATCATCTGCTGATGGCTTGGCCTCGACTTCCTTCGCCATCAGAGCACACTTCTCCGTGCATTTTGTTCTTAAAAAAATTAACGGAGAGCTCATGCACAAGCCCGATAATTGCACAACACATCCTGATCGAACAAGTTTACAACGTTTTAGAGGGTTATCGGAACTAACTTGAGAATGATGGAAGCAGGGCCCAAGCTTTGGTGCAGACGACCATTTGAGTGCATGAAAGCCAGTCCATTGAAAACTCCCCTTAGCAGCTTCGTGATGTATATTTTCCTTCGAAGGATAGGTCTCTCGGGGTCAAAACGGTCGAAGAAATCCCATTGCCCAACTGCCTCACCCTTGCTTGTAGCCTGGCTTGCAGCCTTGGCATAATCTGCCCCTGTAATTTGTCCACTATCCCGGAAAACTAACCACTGCCCTATGCCCAGCCCATGTTCCAAATCATCACAAAATTCGTTACAATCGACAATCAATCGAATTTCTTCCTTAAACGATTGCTACCTCTATTTCTTACGAATCAATGAAGGTGAAGAAAACTTGGTGAACCAGATTGCTTCTCTCCAGGAGATTATTTTTTTTTCTTACAAAGAGGAACCTGCAGTTTAAATGGATCAGTGAAAGATTAAAAAGTAAGAGATTGAGATTCGATAGAAAAACAATGTGAGGTTTCACCTGCTCGCCTGTGCGAGTTTGGAACCCGCCATACATGTATGAAATATTTGGAGGATTTCCATCGGCAGCTTCCTGCGGGAACAGAAGGTCATGATCCTCCGATAAGTCTAGGGCGATAGGACTGTCCACTGCGATGGAGCTGAAAACGCATTTTCTGGACAAGGACATCATTGCTTCCGTTGTATGTGTAAGAAAAGCTAATATTTCGTATCTACCTACAAATATAAGTAGATTGAAAAACAACCTGTACCGGTGGTTGATTTATTTGCTTTTTGATTAATGCTCACATCCCAAAGACCTGGTGTTCTATGTGCTAAGTTAGATCTTAGTGACTGCAGGTCAGGCTCATTGTAAAGTGGATTTCATCGTCTAAGGTCAACTTTAGAATACAGTAAAGGCTCACATAATATGATTGCCATACTACCAAAGCAATCACAGTTATGCTTCCTTCATTAATGCCATAGTTGCTTCACCCCATGTGAATGCCGACTTTAATGTACTGAAAAGTGAGGATATGTTTGTCGAACGAACCTGAAGAACCGCATGAGAAATGAGTTCATTTACTGCCATCATATCAACCTCGGAGCCCCGTGACGTAAAGGGATAAGCCTAAACACACATATGAACGCCGTGATGTCAGAAAGAATGGTCAATTCATAACCATTTGTGTTTGTGGATTTGGCGGCGTAGCCGCTGGGATTTGGACAGTGCTTTCCAGGTACATGATGTTTACAGCAGGGGTGATGGAATACTTGCAAGAGTAGCGAGCAGCTAGAAGTCAGAAGTTGCAGATATGGACAAAAGTACACAAGCACCTTCAATAGCACCCGAGTTCCCATTCGTTCACCACGGGCTATTCTGCCAGTATATATTCTGCATCCAAACTGACAATCATTACTGTCAACATTCATATCACTGGCAGGAGGAGTACGTATCGTGCGCTAAGGCACAATTTCCATCCAATATTCCAGCTGCTAGTAACATCATTCTTTCTATTCTACATTAGGCGGTACGCAATGCACACGAAGAGCAAAAACAAATTTGTTGATCAGCGTAAACAAATTTGTTTACGCTGATCAACGGCTTCTGAACATTACTACTTGAAAACATTAAGGACAGGGTTCACCACCTTGTCTGGACAGCCCCCTCACCCATCTCCAGGCCACTCATCTGAGTCATGTCTCGCCTATCCAGACCAGCGGCGAAATTGTCGAAGCCTGGCACTCCCAGCACGCTTCCAGTTGGAGGACCCGAATAGCTGCATACAATCATTCACATGGTGCAGCTGTCGCTATTTGATGACCAAGAGCAAGAGAACTCCCATCAGGAGGAAACGTAAGTCGGAGTATGAAAACTCATTGGACTGAAAATTGTGGAAGCAAGGAGACGAAAGGAAGAGAATTGTGATGACTGAGAAGACCGGTGACTCAAGAACTAGGATACAAATGACGATGGCAGACTGCAATCAGGAATCAAAAGCCAGAGAGGCAGCACAAAAGCCAAGCATCACACGACCAGAACCTGCGCTGGGATGTGTCGAACACGGGCTAACATCGAAAAGAGGGCAAGTACCTGGAAACATTCATGTAACCATAAGTTGAGAGCAGGCGCTCCACCTGGAAGTCATCCGAGGCGAATTGTTCTACGCTAGCTGAAACCGACCAACTTCGGCGCAATCTACGTCTCCCAGAGCTATTGCACTCCAGAATTACCCCCGCAGCTGGCCGAAACCCCGGCGAGGAGAAAAACGAAGAGCGAACCCCACGCCGACCCCGCGGCCTGCGCGCGATTGGGCTTGCCGTGGGCAAGACTACCAAACCTTTGGCCAATGCCGCCATTGGGACTGTGCGCCTGCAATCCTCAGAGGCTCCTAAAAGAAAACGATCCAAACAAACCTCTCAAACCTCGAATGTCCACGCAGCGGTGGTCACTACGCCGAAATCATCAAAGAAAAGTCTAGGCGCTGATTCCAACCCAAACGCGATGCCGAGCCGATTTCCGAGGCGATTCGAGAACAGCCACCGCCCTGCTCAGCCAGCCCTACCCTTTCCCCGCCCTGCAGACCGACATCCACATTCGAATTACTCCAAGCTCCCGGCGAAGAAGGCGAGGGCGCGTCCTTGCCTTGCCTTGTGCACGTCCTCCTCCTCGAGGAATCAGAACACGAGGCGCAATCTCGAGAGAAATCTCGAGCGCCGTCGTCCAGAGGCGCAACGGATATCGAGCTCGATGAGGCTGCCGGAAGTCTGCGGTGATCTTTCCGCCAACTGGCACCGGCGCCGGACGACGCCGGACGACGCCTTCCATGTGTTCCCGTTCCGTGGACGTGTGCGCGGGGTGGGCCCCACGGCCCCCCGGCCGCGCGTCGCCGAGTCGCTGCGTTCCGCGCGCAGGACCTCCGGTCCGCCGGGCGCCGTCGAGGACCGAGAGGGCCGTCGCGCGACCGCCTGCATGCGCCTGTGCCGCCGCATCCTCGTCCGTGGCCTGCGACGCATCGATTGAAGGTGAAGCTCTGGACCTCGAGGGAGGGAGGGAGGGAGGCAGTCAGTGATGGCAGCCGCATTCGGGCCAGCATCTTGCCCTTTGGAGGCTGCTTTCGGGGCGAGCACCGATCGAGGGCGGCTTCGGTCTGAGACTCGGTCAGCCTTTTGGTCGCTCGTCGGTTGCTTCAGCTGTGAACCACAATGCTGGCTGGAATTTATCGTCTAACATTGTCGATTCGGACCTTGTCTCACTGAGTTCACCGGCTGCATGAATCGGTCGGTGATGGTCGATCGCTTGACGAGTTGGCTTCGTTGATCCCGTCGGGCCTGAAATTGTGAGAGCAAGAGGGATGTAGCCGAGAGCTATTGATGGACAGAAGCATGTGTCGATTGTGATAACCTCTTGCCTGAGGAAAAAGTCATCTTTCCACTCAGAGAATCTAAGAGTCCTCTCAAACTGCGACGGCCCGATCCGCGCACCCGAGGCCGATGTGCTTGCAGGTTCGGTTCGTCGTTCCCAACAGGATCGTGGCAAGCTAAAATAACAGAGAGAATGTAGACGAAGCCATGCCACTCAAGCAGGAAATAATCGTCAGCTTCTCGCTTTGAGAAGCGCTACTGTCCCAATACGCATTTTCCAGGCATCTGAACTCCCCAATAGGCAATTATACTATTCTTGCCGTTCACATTCCCTTGCCTTCTCTAACAGTGTTCAATGCTGCAAATTGTATGCCAGTACACACATAAACCGGATTGTCCAGGCTATGGGGAATCGAATGCTTGCCATGCACTTGAAATCCGAACAGTCGGAGGAATCTAGAATGGCGGAGGATGTGCAACATCCTCCGCTATTCCAGACGGGAAAGTGGGTCCACGAGCAGATTCATTGACAGGGTATGATGGAACGATCCAGGATAGATCTGATTGTCATTCTCCTAGATTCGCCTGTCGTCATGGTGGTCGTTTCTGCCACCTGAGTAACGAAAATCTAGCCAGCCTTGAGCTGCACCGACAAAGGGCTCTGTCCACAGGAACAGAGGAAATCGTATAAGTCGGATCACTGCGCATGCGGCCCACGCGCATACAGATACCTCGTGGCAGCCACTGGTATGCGATGGACTCGGGCCTTGGTTGCTCCATGGCAATGCGAGGTGATGGGGATGGAGCTTCAGGCCGAACACATCCAATGAAAACGTCACTTACTCCCGACAAGGAGGAGCCCGCTTTCTCGAGAATTAGTGTCATAAATCGCATGCGGTCTGGGCTGCGTCACATACAGTTCCAAGAGATTCAATCTTTCAATCGCTGCGGGCACATCCAGCACCCCTTCCATGACCTGTACCAGATCAGGGAGTGTACGTCGGCCTGCGTATTTTCGGTTGAGGTTATTAAATTCTCTAGCAGATGATCATTGCTATCGTTAGATTATGGTCAAATGTTCCTGGCCTGCACTGCAGCACTTGCGCAAAGATGAGAATATCCGCTGCTGCGGCGAGTGAGGGCTGAAGACTGAGGATGATGTGAATCGCAGAGGCTGATAGATGGAGGACAATACACAATACACAAGCACAGGAGCATGTATCTCGAAAGTAGTCATTATCGACAAAATTTCCATACAGTGCGCAAATCGAAACGAATGAAACAATGTAGGTACGTGTCTAAGTCGTCCTCTAAGAGAATTCATGCGGACACGAGAAACATCGCTCGTGCCTCTTTCTTGAACCGTCCCTCGGCAAAACTGCAGGCTTGATCTCTAGTGAACGCTGAGCCTGCCACTACCGGACTCGCTACGAGTCACCCTACTTCCCGGTGCGAGACTACCGTCGTGAGAATGGCGGTAGCTGCTATTTCTTAGATTCGACATGTGCGAAGAATGGTGGCGACCCATGCATATATGCACAACATAACACGAGCACAAGCCAGCTCCACCATCCCTCAACTCTAATCTGGTTCTCGTGCGGCAGCAGCCTCTGCCTACGACGCAGAAAGCACCATACAACAAACTCACCAAATCCAACAAAACTGTCAACTGTGGCCAGGGGCTCTGCTCAGTCTCAGAACGATTCTCCGGCCCGATCGGGTATACACACAAGATTGAATCATGAATCATGAATCACAAGATTCGGCAGTCCGCGAAATATCATACTGAGCCGTGCAAGGTGCAGAGAGAGAGCACGCAGCTCCCACGCACAGCTCCCGTATCCTTTCCCTACCTTCAATTTCCTTTCCTTTCCTTTCCTTTCCTTCAATTTCCTTTCCTTCCCTTCCCGTTCCTTCGCTTCGCTCTCCTTCCGTCCTGTCCAAGATTGAATGTGTCCGCCTTCGAGCAAAGAACGAACGAAACAGAGACGCTTCTTCCGTCAGCGTTCAGGTCGGCTGACGCAGTAGTAGGCCCTCGGTCCAGCATCGCGTTGGAGCATGTCTGCCCAGCCGAATCGAACCAGCCAACGATGCTCCGCGAAGCTCGAAGCTCGGGCCTGCAATATGGTGGGCTGACTGAAGGAGCTCTCGTCACGTCGAACTCCCAACAGCGCGCAGCAGCTAGATCCTACAGATTACAGTACTATATTATACCTACGAGACACAGCCCGAGCGGACCGTCATCGTCATCGTCACCCATCGGCAATCGGACCTGCAGTGGCATGAGACCACGGAGGAGGAGGCAGGCCGACGAGACCGTAATCTAAAGAGCAACGTATAGTACATGGTGGCGATGGGGACGATGCTCAATTTCTACAACCAGACGAGAGCCGTGGCCAGGATCGTCCCGCGGCACACTCCCATGGGAGAGGCGTCCCGCCAGGAGAGCTCGGGGCACGAGTCGCGGCTCTTGCTCAGCTGATCCAGGCTGCACACTTCCACCGTGTCCAGATTTTGGATCGTGCACCGCGTCTGATTCTGCCACGACTCCCTCGCGCCGCCGATCACGAACACCTCCTTCTCCAGGCTCACCAGCCCGAACCCGAACCTCGGATACGGTCGCTGGCTCAAGTCGCCCGACGATACGTAGCCCAGAATCTCCCAATTCTTCCCGCCCTTGTACTCGCGCACCGTCCTCTGATGCACGCACAGCAGCCTCCCGTCCGCCACCACCATCGGCCCCGCCACCTGTCCATCCACAAATTCCCACGACATTTCGTTCAGCCATGCACATTTCGATCGTCACAATGCACAGACAGAGATTGCCACGAGAAATCGTTCAGCCATGCGCACTTCAACCGAATTCCCCCCATCGATCGTCATAGTGCAAACTGACAGAAGCACTGAAAGAGAGAGAGGGGCAACCTTTTCGGAATCGAGGCAGACGTCGGGGGCGAGGCGCCAGGAGCAGGACTTGGGGTCGAAGATTTCGACGGAGCCGTGCTCGGGCCCGGTGTCGCTGGTGTGGTGGATCTCGAATTCGCCGGCCACGACCCAGAGCTCGTGGTTCAGAGCCAGGCCCTGGCAGCCGAAGCGCCGGTGGCGCATGTCCGGCAGGGGCGACCAGGAGTCGGAGCTCACGTCGTAGACCTGCGCGCTCTGCAGGATGGTGTGCGGGCTCGAGCCCCCCGCCACGTAGATCCGGCCGCCGATGGCCGCGGCCGCGTGCCAGCTGCGCGCCGGATCCATCTTCCTCCGCGCCTCCCACTTGTTCGTCTTCGCGTCGTACCTCCAAACCTCGCCGCACATCTCTCCTGCATCCACTTCCGTCCGTCTGTCCGTCAGTAAAAATCCGTCTGTCCGTCTTCGAGCCCATGCACGTCCCCTCTCTCTCTCTCTCTCTCTCTCTGCCTACAGCGCGAGCACGTGAATCGGCTGGAAAAAAACCCCCTCTGGTTCCCCCGCTCTCGTTTCAGAAAGGCAGGCAGGCTGGGTGCTAGCGGGCGTACGTACCTGTGCTGTAAGGGTGATGGGTGGAGCGACGAGTGCCGCCCATGACGAAGAGGAAGGAGTCGACGGCGACGCACGAGAATCCTTCCCAGATTTGGTCCTTCGAGTGCCCCGGCGTGGGCGGCAGGCTCACCCATTTGTCAGCTCGCGGATGCAACATGACGAACGGGGCCGCCCGCGGATGCTCGGCCAGCACGTAGATGCAGGGCTCGGCTTCGCCAATCTGCGCACACCAAAGTTCCACCATCGCTCGAAGAATTAGATGCTATTCTTCTCTCTCTCTCTCTCTCTTGCCACTCTGGGAGCTATAGCTCGGCTGCACTGCAGTGCACTCCATATTCTACGATCTAGCAGTGCACACACACACTCGGATGCACGAGACAGTTCGTGGACTGGACTGTTCAGCTCATGTGCTGTCATTGTAGCAAAGCTATGGCCTGGCCCCCGCGCATCATGCTCGGCTGTGGAATGAGTGAATCTTAAATGACATGAATCATATGTGCTGTGGTCGTTCGGTAAACACTTTCACCGTGCTCAATGATGCCACGGGCACAAAGGGTTCGAACGTTTCAGCATAGTAATGCTTCTGTTGATCAGAAGCCCGTGGGTGCAAAAGTCCACGTGAATTGCACCGCAGGTCTGTGAGGGTGGCATCGCTCGAGGGTATCTTAAATTTGGACATACGAAGGACCTGGCCGTGAATTATTGGTCTCGTGCCAAATTGGCCCCGCTTGGCTTCGCTCGGCTCCCCGAGGAAGAGCTGATATGGACGTGGGTGGAAGGATTTCCTCAGGCCGAGATGAACCAGGCACAGCTCTTTCCATCTTTGCGGCTGGCAACTGAATGGGCTGACATCTGCAGATCCGAAAAATTATGGGGATTCGAGGAGTGAACGACGTTCTGGACGAGGATCTCACACTTGGACAGCCAAATGTGCAGGAGTAAAATTGTGATTCAAACAGTGAGTCCAGTGCTGGCTGCTCGTAGATCCTCGAGCCACAGTAACCTGGTCTAGACCCAATAAACCTCGCATTGGCTGCCATGCCAGAAACTAAAAAAAAATCTCGTGTCTGTGAGTGATCATGAACGGCGGCAGAAGGACACTGCACTGTGTTATAAAATTCCCCTCACGCCGTCGACAACGCCATGGAAAAAAGTTTTCAATGCCACGCAGTTGGGTGCAGCTACGCTACAAGAAACACCTGTGGGGGGGAGACACTTGCTCGGGCGGAGAGAGAGGGAGGGAGAGAAATACCTGACGGCGGATGTCAAATAACTCCTCGCTCTGGAAGTAGCGTTTCCAGGATCTGCTCACCAACTGGAGACGGGTAAACGAGGCGCGCGGCAGCATGGCCAAGAATGCCTTGGAGATATGATCCGGAAGGCCTGGAATCAGAGGATAGTCGTCGGATGCGCAGATGTCGTCATCACAATTCGGTCTCTCTTTCTTCTTCTCGTTATTCACAGCAGGCATCATTTTGCCACAAACTCCCAACTTTGACTGTTCGTCGTCACGCGGTGTCCCGGGCGCGGTCGTGCTCCTCCCACATTCACAATCCTCTTCACAACTGGCACAACCCACGCACAGTCCAGGGATCGCCATTTCAATGCGACTGCGCTCTGATAGCTCCTCGTCTCGCAACTACTCAGCGCAAGTACAGATGTGCCCTCAAGTCTCCGAATCTCCGAATCTCGTTTCTTCTACCTCTCACGTCCCAACAACCAGCCACCCACCGATAAATTGCCCCTTCTCGCCAGCTCAATTCACAACCTCTCGTACCCTTCAACTTCCTTCGTTCCTTCCTTTCGCCTTCTAGCTTCTTTCGAATCGCGGTTCAGCTCCGTGGCGCAGCAAACCCATGAATTGGACAACGAACCGAATGGACGAGAAGCGCCTCGGCAACAGACGTGTAAAGGATTGCGGCGGTGTCACTTCAATCTCGGGCCCGTCGGATCATCATACGAGCGTCATGCTTCTCCCCTACCCGCCTGCCCGCCCGCCTCCACCCTCCTCATAATAACCATCTACCAATCGATCCAACCAACACGTGGACTCCACTCGATTTCTCGCTCGTATCCTCCTCCTCGTCCTCCTGAAGCTGCTGCTGCTATCTTTGCAGAGCTCGTGCATTCAATCACGGCCGGTCAAATCTGAAAAACGCTCGCATGCTCTCGTACCTTGAGCAAAAGCCGAAGTAGTAGTAGTATTAGTAAGTCTTACACTCTCACACTCTCACACTCTCACGCGCACACGAAGCCTCTCACTCACCCACTCACCGCTGACTGCGAGTGTCGTCCCGATTTCTCTTTTCACTCTAGGGGGTAATATTTTCAATTTCACTCGGCTCTTGGAGATTTGAACTCTCGTCGGGAGTGGCCGGATGATTTTTTCCAAGGAAAGCAGGTCCAGGAACAACACACCAAAAGGGCCTGGACCTGGGCCAACTGACTCTCGGGGATGCTTGGCTGACTTCTGACGCTGCCTGCGTGCCTCGCCTCTGCGTCCCCTCGAACGGATGCTCAAGCTCTGGGCCTACTAATTAAGCGAGCGAGCGAGCGCGAAGAGCAGGGCGAGCGAGGGAGGGAGGGGAGCCGCAGGCCCCACCAGAGGCCCCGAACCGGGCCATCATCCACAAACTGATCCGCCACTTCAAAAGAAGAGGGCTCCTGTTCAATCCTCAAGGGCCTCGTGCTAATAATATTGCGACGAACGACGCCCATGGACTCCTGTCTCTGTTTCCTGTCCAGTTCCATTCGCGGGTCGACGATGGTCCACAAATCGAATCGCATATTTTATATTTATATTCTGCTGCTGCTGCTGCTGCTGCTCCTTCTCCTCCTCCTTCGCCGCGTCCCCGGCCTCCCCTTCCCGGTTCGTCGACTCGCTCACTGACTGACTGAGATTCTGACTGACTGCATGACTGATCGACCAACCCGAGGCCTGCGTGCCTCGCTCGGTCGCTCGCTCTCCCGAATCTGTCGAGGGTCTGAAGATTTGGAAAGGCTCCTCCACTCGAGTCTCGACTTCGGGCGCTGCAGCTGGAGGTCCCGTTATCTGCAGATGACTCGGATTCCATGGTCCCGTGACTCATCGGATCACATGCAATATTTTTAGTCCTCGCGTTTCCCCAAATGCCGCCTCCGTCAGCCGCTCGGTCTCGGCTTGGCTCATTCGACCCTCGTCCTCCTCACATCTCCGTCGAGACAAGGCTGCGAGTTTCTCGCAATGATTGACAGACAGACAGACAGACAGACAGACAGACAGACAGACTCGTGGCCACTGTAAAATGTGCAGGGGAAAGCGTATGCACCGAGCTCCGGAGGTGAACTGCAGGTTGCCACGAGCGATTCCGAGGGTAAATTGCACGCTCGGACAAACGGAATGCATCATCATCGGCATACCGCGATGGAGGTCCATCCAGGCATCTGTCTGTGGATCACGAATATTCTCCCGATGCACGACCGTCATGCGCACACTGCCATCGACCGAATTCGCATGTTGTCGACGATCAACGTTATCCGGAAATCGCAGTCCTCGGACTGGTCGACGTTCTGTCCATGTTCACTGCAGTCCACGTTCCTGTTGGAGCAGGATAGTGCCGAACATTCGACATACTTTGTCCCTTCTTCTTCTTAGCCACCCCTCGTCACAGCCTAGTTTGTTTGGGTCAGCTGTTCACACAATCACCGTCCTCTACAGTGAGTGGATACGAAGTTGCATGAACTCTTCTAACTCACTCCCTCCCTCCCTCCCTCCCTCCCTCCCTCACCCTCGATGACGGCTATAGTTAGATAAGGTGAGAATTTCAATTTCCAGCATTCTATTCTCGGTGACGATGTTCCCAGGTGTCGCTCCGCTGCTCCAAAATGTCAGTTACTTTTACGATTTCTCGTTTACTTTCAGTTCTCGGAGATGATTCTATTCTCACTCGTCGGACCGCTATCCAGTCATTTCAACAGAGGATTCGCGCGTTAGAACAGAACTGAACATGGTGGTGGTGGTAGAGGTGAGCAAATCATTGCGTGTAAACCAAAATCTGGATATTGCATCTGTAGACAAATCCACTAAATGGTATGAGGACAGTGACGTTCATTCGAGGTCATACGGTGTTCAGATACTCGGATTCCATACGGTATGCTGTGCTCTGAGATCGCCCGTCTTAATGCGAGCCAGAGCCAACTTCCTGAAAGAGAAGCAAATGAAAATTGACGCACATTTTCAGCTCTTCGGTGGATCTCCTTCCCAGTCAATCTGGTGGAAGAGAAAATAGTGGAGGACTAGAAAGCTGGGGATTGATTGATTGATGTTGTGCTTGGAAACAGGAGCATATTCTCACGCCGAAAGATCTACCAGATAAAGGGTAAACGTCGAGTCAAGTAGATTCAAACTTTGGCTGCTATGAAGAGTTGCTTTTTGCGCCAGACATGTCACAGTGAGAGGAATGTTACGATTTGAGCATGCTCAGGCATTCTCAACTTGGCAATCACTCAAAGCCGGATTAGCGTCCAGTCCCAGCCACTTGTAGGAAAGTCTATCTTTCCAAAAAGGACAGAGGCACATGGAATGACGATACCACAGTGACATCAAGGTTCGCGCAGAGGACTGCGCTGACGAAACTGCCCAGCAATATTTGGTCTGTGGTGCCTTCGTACCTACATATCGACGCATTGACCAAACTCGAAGCAACTTTGCACGTACCCCAATTTGCAGAGACTTTCGGAAGTCCACAGACTGATATACGATTTTAGAAGTAATTCTCAAATTTGCGTCTCGGATAATACAATTGATGTGCAAATGAATGACTCTACTTGCAATTTCAGTCGGTCTGATTCTTCTTCTTGTATTTATGTCGTCCGACCAAATGTTCCAGTTTCTGGTAAATTATCGTGCAAGAATTATGACAAATTTGTGGACGGGGTGTCTTAATCTGGCGATGAGAATCCCTCACCGCGCGACAGTGTGAGTGTGTCTGTGTGACCTTGTACGGTTCAAGTCAAATGAGAACGAGCGAACGAACGATCGAAGGTAGGCGGAGGACGAAGGTTTCGATTCTGGCCTTCACAGATGTCATGAATTTTCCAACTCTTGAAGATGTGAAAGGACGCGGTCGGCGATCTCTTCCCGAACCTCACCCCTCCAGATTTCCAGATAAGACGCCAGAGCATGTCCGCAGGACATGCTGCTGTGAGGAATCTGAAGCATGACTGTGCTCCACTCGGTAGAGTGAAGTGTTGTTTTGATTATGTGTGACGCACTGCAGGATCTGACTCTCCTTCCTGCTCCGTGCTCTTCAAATCAGTGCCATGGAATCACGCCGAACTGCGAAGTTTCTGCCTCCTGCCGAAAGCCAAGCTTCAGCTTCTTCTGCTTCCTATCATATCCTTATATCTTAAATCTGAGCGAGCCCAGACAAGCAATAAACCTGAAAGGGGCCCTCAATAATTCCCACATTCTGGGGTGAAATAAAAAGTCTCCTGTCACCGATTTTTGTTATAATAAGGGCTAGTGCAAATTGGTGGACAGTCGACTTATTGATCACATGCAAAAAGCTTGACCTGGTGCGTAGCTTTGCGATACATGTGGCGATCCGAGAACTTATAAAATGAAAACAAGTGCACCATCGTCCTTTCTGTGAGCTCGAAGATCTCTATGAATGATCTTGACCAGCTTTGACCGACTGTATCAAAAGCTACATATCTCTTTGATCTGGTGTATTAATCATAAAATAAATCCCCTGCGCGTCGTGATGCAATCATATGACCCCCGTTATCATCTCCATAACTTTTTGGAAATTTGACGTGTTCTTCTCATCTGTTTGCATAAATGCCATTTTCATGCCACAAATGATATAATACATTCTCTGTTTTTCATCACACCATGATAGGGACGTAAGAGTCATGACAGCATAACGTTACAAGCATATGTACAGTGTCGTTTATGACTATAGTTCGAGAAATTTTATTCTTTTTTTATTTATCTAAATATATTCACATACATATCGTTAAAGTCCTCCTTTCTTGCCACAATGACTCAACTCCAACGGAACACATGAAATGTAGGACGAGTACACATGTGAGGCTTATTTGATACCTCAGTACCGGTATGAAAGAGAGACGAAACTCCATAATATTTTTTTACAGTAAATAAGTGATTCATTCACATTTATCTTCTCAACCTTTTTTAATACCTCCGTCTTTTGTTTTTATCTATTTCGATTGTAGGAATTTCAATTACTTGTGCATCAATGAAACACATCTAATCAATGTACATAAAGCGAATCATTACAGCTAACAGCACAATAAAAAACGTTGAGGATGCAATCAAATTTAGTAAATTTTTTCATGTCATAAAATGACTCCAAACATCGTACATATTATCCACTTTGTTGATATATCAAAATTTTCAGGCCTATAGAGAAAGAGAGAGAGATATATATATATATATATATAGGATTTAGATTCGTTTGGGATATTCTTGTGGCCACTTGCAGAAGTTGGAGATTCATATTTGTGATTCAAGTAGTAAGAAGTAAGTACAACAAAAATTCCTTTTGGTACAACAAAAATTCCTTTTGGTAGAATAGGAATTTTTGTTGTACCATTACTTACTTCTTACAGATGTTGGACCACACTATGCATCTACAAGGATCACACTATGAATCTACAATGTTGACGTTGGATTACGTTATCAGAAACACATGCAGTCCATAGATATGATTGTTAAACCATTTATCATGTCTCTGCGTTTCAAATTGATGGAGGCATACGTTCTAGGGTACAAGTGCGTAAGATCTTATGCATTGTTCAGGATGACATCATCCTGAAAGAAACATTGTGAAAGAAATGTGGAGTCTTCATTGAGTGGTTAGAGTTTTCCGCCTGGAACAAAGAGTGGTTATCACTGCTCAGCTCTCAAATAGAACTCAAGGTGTTATGAATTTTACCGCCAGAGTTGTTCTAATATCGATAGTGGATCATGGTATGAGGAAAACACCTTTTTCTATTCTCAAATAAGTACCGTTTGATAAACAATTTCCATGTCTTCTAAATTTATTCTTGAAACAGCTCAGATTTAAAATATCGAAATGTATTTGAATGAGTAAAAGGAGTAAGGCATATGATGTGGAGGTTGATGCCGAGTTAATATGAAAGATCAAGGATTTTTTAAGTATTTATTTGATGTTTGATATGTAATGAAAATAACATTATTGTACATCACAGAGTTTGATGGCTCACAATTTTATGCAAACAATAAAAAATTGCATTTCATAATATCTTTGTAGTTTTTGTGCTATGATGGAGTTGTTTTTGTATATCCATGTGCAAAAGATTTGAAAGTTAACACAACAAAGATGAGGAAATCTTGTTCGTTTTATGATATTGATAGTATGCACGAAATTCACTACACTTGCTATCTTTTATGGTTGATATAAGATTCAGCATTAATGTCAAAGCTCGCCATATTAGAAAAAGAAATGTTGTAGTCAACAAGAAGAGAGATTTTTTGAGTTCAAGTAGAGATTCATATATTTCAATTCAAAATTATTAATTTTTACTTTCATGTACTTATTGATAAAAGCATGTTAATCTTGCAAGCAATATAAATCCAACACGATAATCAGAAGATGATAACTTGTATAATAGCTCATGCAAGTAGCTCGAAGAGTGATTTATTATTTGAAAGTTGTTAGTATTGATTCAGTATTGATTCACATTTTTTATTTTTTTGTTTCCAAAATTTTTAATGCTTTTTGTAATAAATATTGTATCATATGATAATATGTTTAAGTATATTAAAAATACAGTTAAAAAAGATTTAGTTTAAATATCAATCATATCAATCTCACATTGTCATTGATAGTACAGAGTTGAACCTCCCAATGGTGACGTACATTGGTTATATGCAGTACTCTCTAAATATGGCAAATACGAAAGAGTAGGATTGCCGTATTTTGTTTCCAGAAAGTTATGTATTTCTAATAACATTTTTTTTGTTATCTAGGTGATTTTACTAGAGAAACTAACGGAATCTTTCAATTAAAACTTTGACATGATGGTTTGTGACAATTTCTTTGTTGATCTAGGTGCCTAGACTAGAGAAACTAACCGAAATACTCAACAAAAACTTTGCGGTGACTGTTTGTGACAATGTCCTTATTAATCTCAGTGGCTTTACTAGAGAAACTAATGGAGTTACTCAATTAAAACTTTGTGGTGACCGTTTGTGACAATGTATTTATTAATCTCGGTGGCTTTGCTAGAGAAACTAACGGAGGTAGTCAACTAAAACTTTGTGGTGGCACCGGATGATTTCAACCATGCAAGTTCTAGTATTTTGACTCCTTGTTCATCTCAGGATTTGTAATTTTGAAAACATAAGAAGTAGTTTAATTAGTTTTTAAATATCAAGATAGTCTCACATTTTCTTGGGAACAAAAGTACATGGATAGTGAAAGAACACAAACAGGTTTTGGTTTGTATGAACTGAGAACATTACAAAGTCTATGTTCTCGGTTCACAAAAATCTATTGATTGAATAGTCTGATTCTAGGTATTAAGAGTACATTTACTCAACTCATAGAGTTTTCGAAAAATTAACTTGACTTTGTGAACGATGTAAAGTGCTTTATCAGTGCCGAAATGGGAACAGTATATTCACAAATAAAAAATAACACCCATTTCTCTATCGAAGATGTATTAAATTGCCCTCAAATATGGCCAAAAATTGTTATGTTATGTGTATTTCGTATTTTGTTTTGAAAATTATCCTTATTTTATTGAGATAGAAAACATATGGAATCCGCTCTATATAAAGAGTAATGGTTATATGGTATTACGTCACTATTGGGAGGTGTCATTCACAAGAGTAAATTGCGTAACCTTGAGTATAAATTCCTAATAGTTACATACATTGGCGTTAGAGTTGGATGTCGCTCTATATAGAGAGTAATGGTTATATGGTTTTACGTCACTATTGGGAGGTGTCATTCACAAGAGTAAATTGCGTAACCTTGAGTATAATTTCATAATAGTAACATACATTGGTGTTAGAGTTGGATGTCGCTCTATATAGAGAGTAATGGTTATATGGTTTTACGTCACTATTGGGAGGTGTCATTCACAAGAGTAAATTGCGTAACCTTGAGTATAATTTCATAATAGTAACATACATTAGGGTTAGAGTTGGATGTCACTATTGGGGTGACTAATCTTGAATATAACTTCCTAATAGTAACATACATTTAGTGTTAGAGTTAGATGTCACTATTGGGAGGTGTCACTTGTAAAAAGAAATCTCATAGACTTCTTATCGTACATTACATCAGTCCTAGAACATTCTATAAATGTGTTGTTTGATTTCAAATCGACTTCATTTGCACATTTGTATTGTTCATGAAGATTAACGTATACGTTATAATTGTACATGAAATTAGATTAATACACATTAAATCTGAATGAAATAGTTGATAATAATATGTAGTGAAGTATTTTATTTTAGCCCAAAAAGATTTGTTGAAATATACTTGAAATAAAAGTATGCTAAATTATTTAGTAATTTGGCATAAGTTTATTTCAAATTGTATTTCAACAAATTACCAATTAATTTAGTATGAATGATAGGTTTTTTAACTGTTAAATTACACTTGAAACTGTCACTATTGAAAAATATCATGTCATTATTGGTAATAGTGAGTTATTGTTCTTCTTGAATAGATTTTCAAGTTAAAAACTAATTGTTTTGGAATGTCACTTATAAGAGAGTACACTAAGCTCTATACAAGCATTTTTTGTTGGATGTGGTATGTTGGATTTTGACATCTATTTGAGATGTCGGTTGAAAATGTAATATATTATATTAGTAGTAAAGACAACTGAGAGATTTGCTTGATGGGACCCCTGCGGAAAGTAATTTGCTTGATGGGACCCTCAGGTTTAGTTTTACCCGATGGTACCCCAATGACGGTGTGCCGTCGGACATAGTTCTTGTAACTACGATTACTACTAGTTACAATGCGGGAATTACAATCAGAGATCAATCACTGATTATAATTTCTGGTGGATTATCACGGGGACAAATATCGATTTTGCTCGAAGTGCAATTTGTTGTGCTTCAATTCTTCCGATCGCAAAGATTCGCGGATTTCTCTGTTGCCTCCCACCTGCACACTCTTTCCGTAACCCAGCGTGGTCTGAGCTCAAGTCTCGCGATCATCCATTTGTGGCGAACAAATAAACTCAGGATGAACATTTCTTTGCTCGTCTACTTGGAGAGTAACTACGATTACTACTAGTTACAATGCGGGAATTACAATCAGAGATCAATCACTGATTATAATTTCTGGTGGATTATCACGGGGACAAATATCGATTTTGCTCGAAGTGCAATTTGTTGTGCTTCAATTCTTCCGATCGCAAAGATTCGCGGATTTCTCTGTTGCCTCCCACCTGCACACTCTTTCCGTAACCCAGCGTGGTCTGAGCTCAAGTCTCGCGATCATCCATTTGTGGCGAACAAATAAACTCCGGATAAACATTTCTTTGCTCGTCTACTTGGAAAGTGGCCGGATACAGAATGACAACATAAAAACAAATGAGTGTGATGGAGTGCAAAATCCATTCTGTTTGCGGGTGCGGTGGACTCGTTGCACTCTCTCTAGTTGTTATTAGAACATGGGTGACGGTGCATCGTTCATGGGATCCCATCGGTTAAAATGAAACCTGAAGGGTCCCGTCAAGCAAATTACTTTCCGCAGTGATCCCATCAAAGAAATCTCTCAAAGACAACTTAAGTATATGATGAAAGTTTGAAACAATTATGGTTCCAAATGGTCTTCGAGTATCTCAATACACACTTTAAAACAATTTGGTCATATGTGAAACATCATTACATCATTCAGAAACATAATCTCTACTACGTTTTGTACGATTCTATGAAAGTCTATACTTAGTGTTATTTGTTGGAAGTAGAATGTAAGTCTATACTCAATTTGCTGATGATTGGTGTAAGATGTTTGTTAAGCGTAAAATTTGTTTAGAGAATTCCAATATTGGGTAGACTTCACCCATGCTCATACCTAGTGATTTATGGGGTTTTATCATCAACATAGAAAAGATACGTTCTAAGATATTGATCATATTTTTTATGCATATTTCACATATATTTTAGTTTCTTCTAAAATATAATGGTAACAATCCTTTATTTCTACACTCTGATGACACTGCGATACTAACATGAAATATCATTGCTAGCAACATGTTAAGTGTGACATGATTGCTTTACTTGCAGCTTTCTCTTGCAAGTTTTAGAAGTTAACTTTGACTTACAAATCTAAAACCCTACAGCATAGTAACTTGTGATTCTTGGAGGTATAGCCCTATAAATGATAACTACTACTTACGTCTAAAACTAAGGGGCACAACCCTAAGAGCCGTTTCAAACTACATGGTCTGACTTTAGATTGAGTCACGAGAGGTATTACTGTGAGATTAATCATGAATCACTTCGTCTTACACAAAATGATAGTTCAGTGACGACACCACAATGAGGAAGTACAAGGAAGACTCTTCAGTCGAAGAATACTCGCACATACAGGTTATTTGTGCACTAGCTTCAAACAAGCAAGCATTTCTGCAGACAAATTCGACCCTCTACAGTTGAGTTGTAGGCTAGAAGAAAATGTGATCCATGACACAGCACACTGATTAACTCATATCTTGAGCTGAAGAAATGAATTTGAATTGCACTTGGCTTTTCCCACATCTCTGATAACTCGCGAGGTTCTTCTCGGACCGGCTAAATGATTCATAATTATCCTACACAGCCGGCAAAATGTGACAGTAAAGCTGGTGGCTTTATATAAGAGACGACGGCGACGCTTGAAACTCACATTTTTCCATTATTTGATAATACGAACTGTAATGATTTTTGCAGAGATCGTAGCGCCCGCAGACGGAACTCTTACTACTTACCAACATTTAATTTCATCTCGATTGAACTTCGAGTGGGCGCTGAAAGTCACAGACCTCCAAAAGGCTGCACCGTCTCAAAGTTTCTGCATCCGTTTGCGGTACACGAAGCTCAGCGGATCGGCTACAAGAACGAGAGGAAGAAAATCAAAAGGAAACACAATTTTCACAAGGACGTACGGTTACCTTGCTGGAAACTTCAAATCCTGGTGATCTCGAAGCCCGATGGGTACATGGGTTGCCACTAGAGCCATACCCCCCTGTTGGCGATGATTATATATCATCTGCTCAAGAAGCTTCACCCCCTGTTCCATGTGAAAACACTCATGTCAGATGGTACCCAATGAAAACGCAAACTCATATTCTTCTTCGATCTGGAAAGCGCAAGGTACTGAGAGAACAGAATGTGTACCTGGGAATCAAGACCGACAGATGGTTCATCCAGCAGCCAAAGTGGTCTCGGTATTGCTAACAGTCTAGCCAACTGTAACCGTTTCCTCTGCATAGCACCAACAACGAAACAAATTAAAATCGGACAAAATGCAGACTGGGAAAAGAAAGGTTAGTCATTACGAAAGCTTTGCAAGTAGTGTCCAACAACAACGCAGAGATACGCACCTGACCTAAGGAAAGGACGGCACCCTCCCTTTCCGCATAATGAGCGATTCCCATATATTCAAGTGCAGGCATGGTACCTCCGTCAAGGCCCTCTAGTAGTTCCCAAAATTGCTGCATTAAAAACGCACGAATCTGGGAATGAGAAGGGGCCGAACAGCATGAGAAAACCCAAACAAGAAGTGCCTGCCCATCTGACTCTAAGAACCTCTACACTACTTACACGATGTACAGAGCCTCAAAAAGCCTCACCACATTCTCGTACACACTCATCTGGGCCTTGATCCCATCCTTAGCGCCCACAAGGTGCACTTGTGTCCTGTACTCTGCTCTGCACACCCAGATCCATATAGTACTGTAACTGTCATTTGGTCAAATTTAAAACAACGATATGGATGTACAGCAAGTCTCCGAAGTCCTACGGTATGCCTCCGATTCGGGGCTCGAGTGAACAAATGACAGGGCAAAAATTGCGAAAGGATAATGACACTGACCATCGTATAAGCCAGGACCAGAAAGATCATGTCCATCCCAAAGTAGCTGACCCGCACTGGGCTTTAGGAATCCTGCAAGCTGCAAATGATGAATGATTGGTAAAACTTGAAGAAGCTCAGAGGAATAAGGTGAATGTGCATGCCACAGCTAGTTCATTTCCTCATGTGTACAACAAAAGCTTGCCAAGGGTTTTCTCCCTGACACATTAGATGCAAGCCGGGAACGCGAGGAGAATCAGAAAGCAAAACACCTAATCGGAGGAACAGCCGCGTCAAAGAACGGGCACAATCCGTTCATAACCAACCAATAAACAAAGGTAGACGGACTAATTTCCAGTCATGCTTCAATTGTTTGTTTGACAGCAGCTCAAATTTCACTAAAGAAAGCGTCTCCTAGGTTACGAGGCTCGTGGATCGAAACTGGAAGCAGAATGCCTCTCAGCGATCCCCTAATAATTTGCACAACATTCGCGATCAATCACTTAAAGCTTTTGGCTCGAGGTACATGATCGACGCAGGCGGAAACATATTCAGATTCTTCCCAGGGAGTAAAAATAATCGTAAACAATCAGGTGGTCACGTAGTTAAAAAGAACCCCTACCAGGCGTAGAAACGTCGATTTTCCGGAGCCATTCGGACCAGTGAGGAGCATAGCCCCACCTTCGTGCAGAGTCATGTTCACATCGCGAATCACAACTTGGCCACTTCGCATGCACGCCACTCGACTCGCCACCAGCCGCGGCACTGGTGCGATCCTCATCTCCTCCCTACTGACGATGCCGTTCCACAACCTCCCCTCGAATTCCTTCTCACCGAAGCCTTCAATTCTTCAGCTCGTACCTCCTGCCACCACCACCACCACCACCACCGCCGCCGCCGTCGTCGCCGCCTCCGTTTCTGCGCGATGCATATCACGAACCTCGCCCCACTTCCAAACCAATTCCAAACCAATTCCCAACTCCAAATCTTTACGTCACAGACAGAATCCTCAGCAGCAATGCTCGATGAGCATCGACCTCGAACGAGCAGCTCGAGCATCAGACGACGAAGAAACCAACGAGCTCAAGAAACAAGGGTTCACAAGGGAGTTCATTCCCTGTGGTGAGGTGGCAACTGACACGTCAGCCTAATCCACGCCATGTCAGCCCAGCTTGCTATGTTCCCTTTCGAAACACGACAGAACGCTTTTCGGTCCGCCATGCTCTACGGTATACGGTTATATGATTTAGTACAATACATATACATGTATTATTATTACTGTACGATACAGTACAGAGAGCCCGACGATACGAACGAGAGTATGGCGCCAAACGCAGCAGAGCTCTCTTCGTCGATTTCGCTCCGGGATCGAGATTCTCGAATGCTGGAGGCCAGAGCTCGATTTGTCGGATGCGATCGCTTTGGATTTTGAGTTCGGACTTTGGAGGAGTGACGATGATGGGGTTCAGTATCGATTGGTGTTTGGATTCGGTTTCGAATGACCCGAGCTCTGCCTCGTGCGCTTCTCGGTCTCCATCCGAGAGCGTGAATTGGTCGTATTGAAATTCGGATTATGGTCGAGGTTTGGAGAGACAGAATTGATCGTGCTTCTTGATAAAATGCTCTCTCTGGCAGTAGGGTGTCGTTATGGTCCGAATGGCGTATCTGCTGATGAGGACAACGGGAGCACATGCGAGAGGAATTATGACGTCGAGGCCTTCAGAGCTGGGGATAGCGACTGCCACTGAATTCCTTTTGCCTGGCACTTGCGAGTCATGGATGGGGACGTCTTCCGTGTTGCTGAGGGGGTGAATCAAGCTTCAGGTAGGGACTTGTGCTCACCTAATGCTTCTGGTGCCCGTGAGATGCACGAGACTGTCGTTCTGCCCTTAGTTGACGGGTGGTTGGTTACATGAGAGATGGGGAAGTAAAAATTCATCTGGATTCGAGGCCGGCCGCTTCATTACGAAAGCCTCTGTGTCTCCGTTCGGTGAAATTTTGTCTCAAGATTCTGCTTGGTGTATGCTATAACCAGATTTGGAAGGTAACGGAAGGTTCGAGGTCGATTCTGCCCTTGGTTTCACGCGCTTCGATTCACGGAAGGTATGACACGGGGTTTCGTCCACCTGTAAGGTGTTTCTCTTTACCGAGTGTACATTTCAAACGAAGAGTGTAATCAAATTGTCCTTCTGTCGGTTCGTGCTCTCATACTTTTTTGACTCCTTTGGATTTCGATACGGGTTTCGATCAATGCATGTGGGACTAATAGCCTGAAACCCAGAACGGATTCAAACACCGACTCCTAATCTTCTCCGTGAATCTGCTCGTAGAAATGTGACAGCAGGGGAGGCTTGCTAATTGATATTCTGAAGTCGTTGGATCAAGCGAAGTCTTCATGTGGTCTGCTCTGTAATTATCCTGGTCGAATCGAGGGTCCTAATTTGGCACTCAGAGGTCGAAAGGTCCAGGGTCACGTGTGTGCACAAAGAATACCAGTGAGCACACTGCTCCAGATTGTGGAAATCTGCAAGTCCTTTCGGAGCTTCAAAGATGATGGTAAGTGTGTTGGTCGGTACTTTCAACTTTTTAGCTACTGTTTTCGAGGCCGAATTGTAACCAGTCGGAGACCAGTGTGCCACTCGGCATGTCACTAGCGTCGACATATGGTCTTTACTGAGCACTATTTCCTCCACGCACTTAATTTTCAACTTTACTGTCAAGAAAGTCCATTTCTGTAGAGTTCAGATTCAGCTAAAACTCCTCCGTGCCTCCATGACATTCTCATGTGCTACATTTTTGCTTCTGGATGGGGAACAGGGACACGAATTCTGGAGGTTGTCGAGGCCCTTGTCAAAGTGGCAACCGAAACGTCCGTTTTTGCCCCACGTTCAGAATCTGTCAGTGGTGTTCTCAACAAGGCTATGTATGACGATGATCATCAAAGGAGAAAGGATACCTTGGGGGCTGTCCAAAGTGTCGTAGACTTTGCTTTAGAGGAGAAACGTTCAATATACGTAAAGCTTCGACCTTCTGGCAGGTGCAGATCTTCAAGTGTTGTTTCTATTCAGATCGTCCCTCTTTAGGCCTTCTGATGATGATCAGGAAAGTTTCCGAATTTGAGGGTTGCATCTTTGGAGACGAAAGTACTGTTGTAAGTGAGAAGTGAGTTGGGAGTTCTGGGGAGATGCCCTGGACGTAATCCTTGTCAATCTGGGATCCTTGCCAATCTTCTTCAGTTTCATTGCAATTCCTGAGTTGTTCTTTTTTGCATAGGTTGCGAATTTGGCGCATCCGCCCATCTTGTTTCAAACAGGATATCTCATCTCTGGCTGAAGAAGCTATGCTGCGTCTCCTCCTGCCTCTTGACAAGGAGCTAAGCCAGCGTGAGGAATGGGCAATTCTCGTGGTCTGCCTCAGGTTGGCCCCTGAGATGTTTACAGAGGCCCGTCGTCTTCTTCACGACTGGTTGCTCTCATCGTAAGTCCTTATGTGACGAGCATTTTTGCGCATAGTTTACGCTGAAGAGATGCGATGGCACGATTTATGGTCCTACGTCGTTTCAACCTTCGGGTTTAGCTGCACTCTTCTCACACCCCATCTCATCTTCGATTCTCCAGGGGTTCTGTACGTCTGTGGGAACTTCGGGCACAGTTGACAGCAGCTGTTTGGGATGTAGCCAGTCATCCTTCCGCCTGGGGTCTTAGTAATGAGAATCATCTGCCACCCAGATTTGCCTTGTACTGTGTAGATCTCCGCCCTTTTCTTCAAGTATTGGAGGAAACTCCCACGACAATCGGTCTGCTCAGAATTGTGAAGCTGCTGGATGCGGAAATGATGCGGTGCCAACCAGCTGCATTTAGTTCAGGAATGGGGCGTACAGAAAGTTCTACTTTTGTCCATCACAATTCCATATGGTACACTCTTCTGTCATGTAGGTCATCATAGTATGAGATTCTCATGTTGACCCTCGCAAGCTTCACGTAACCTCGAATGCCTTGATTATTGGGTCAAGCTATGTATCGCGTGTTTTAGCAGTTCGGTCACAGCGGTTGTCTGCATTCAATAGTGCACGAGTGAAGTATTGATTCTGTCCTGTGTGTCACCCAGGTCCTTGTTGATGGAATGCCTCCCATGGTTCATCTTTGCCTCAAGGTTACTCTTCAGAGATTGGAAGCAAATCGAAGGAGACTCTGAGTCCTTAATCTCGCTCGCAAAATCCGAAGGTTTCGCACTCGACTACGAACGTGAATCTGTGCATGTTTCGTCGCAAGTCGCTGCGAGGTACATAGCCTGGATCATAAGCCCCGCCGATCACACACAACGAGGATGTGCCGAGCAATTGCTCCTCATGACAAGTAGCACCTGGGGCTCGGTCGTAGAAGCCGCTTGCCGTGCAACTTCTCCCCTTTCCGCAGAGCACGATTTCCGGGCACTTAAAGCTGCTGTCCAAGCTTCATACCTCAAGTGTACTAGTTGTGGCTCGCCCGTGGACAGAACGATGTCACTTGCAGATGAGGGTGTAGAGGGTATTGCTCGTGGAGAAGGGGATAAAGCAGTGAACAACCGTGAGAAGGGTACCTTGCAGGCCGTCCGCCATTGGCTCGCTGAGGTTCGAAAGAACTTCGGAAGAAGTGTCAACACGAGCAATTCTCATGGCGAAGCAGTTGCTTCCAGGACGGGAGAGACGTCTTTGGCGACGAGAGATGATAATGTTGACAAGAAGGCGTACTTCCTGGTTCAGTTTCTTCCACTGGCTGCACTCTCAGAATCTCTTACGAGCTGTAACATCTATACAATTGTTGCCATACTGCACTTCGTTGCTTCCTCTGGTAGCAGACAATCTGATGACAATGATCACGCGAAGAAGACTGATTTTGTCTCAGAATGCTGCTCGTGTGAGGCTCGTCACCCTGCGACCAGTCCATTACGCAAAAAGAGGAGAGTTTCCTCCAGCGCGTGCGGACAAGAGTCGAGTCGGAGATCACTAGATTGGGTTTATGGAGCCGGTGCAGTCTTCAGCTGTCTCGATGCTCTAGACGGCGACGTGCTGTCGCTGGGGTCAAGGGGACAGTGCGTGGGCGATCTCACGGGACACAGGAGACGTGTTGTCACCGACCACTTGGCAGTTGTTGTCTCGGAGTTCGTGAAAGAATGGGGAAACAGTTTAGAAACATTTCTGTCCGAGGCTTCATCACCTCTTGGCGAGAAGAACTCCTACTCGGTCCTTTTGGAGGATCTGCACTGCAGGTTTTGTCGATGGACAGACACCCTGGACTTGAGTCCGGAAGCGAAAAGACTTTGTGCGGAAACGAAACAATTATTAGACATAAAAATCATGAGAGCTCTCTTCTCCTTTTGTGACTAAGCCTGACTCCGTGCAGAAACTTGTCACCTCGTCCCAGACGACAGGACTTTTGCAAGGACTTGCATTCTCCTCTCAGGTCGAGGCGCTTGGCGAGCGGCTGACCCATCGCCCATCAAGCAATGGTGTCTAGAGATGCCCCTCCATGGGCTGCAAGGGCTTGAATTTACAGGATAACGGCTTATGTGCAAAGCCCATCGCCTAGCAAGGATAGAATCTCTGCATCCACGGATTTGAAGGAACGAAAGTCGACACAATTTTATTGTCACTCGGTTGGGGAATAAAAAATGAACATGGCTTCTGAGGACAATGCGGAAATCGGCACCAACTTCTCGCCTGTCACCAAATCGTGCAGGGCACCATGCAGCGGACGCTGATGCGAGTGAATGGTCCGACCGGGATTCGAAGCATTCTACTTAAGTCCACCATGTTGCCAACAGGGTGTGCCTCTGTCGTCGTCGTCGTCGATGCGCGACCAGAGCCTCTACCGATAAACGCTCTCGATGTCCACGTTGGGCCTAACTTTAATCTTGAACACGGAAGTCCTACTCGAGCGTGACATCTTTCACGGTCGCCTACAATTCCATTGCACCCTGAGACCAAAGGAAGGTCGGAAAGCAAGTTAGACACCGGGAGCGGTGATCCGATTGGCACCAGTAGTAAGTAGACCTGTCCTTGGGCGAGCAGCATGAGCACGACAGGTCGACTCCAGGAATTTCGTCTACTGCCGAGAGAGACCTCTTGGATGCGGTGCTCATCTCACGCCCCACCGGAACATGGCACTTGCTCACTAGACAGCCAAATCAAGAGGTTCCAGATCAAGAGGTGTTACTCTGGTCCAGCTGCATGGAGGTCTTCTTCCGGGACTCGAGCTGAATGGTTACCGGCCCATCGTTCACTAAATGTACCTGCACATGAAGTCACAGATAATGCCGCTGAATTGATGTCAAGCTGGAGCCAATTCACTCACTTCACATGGACGAGGAGCAACGCAGTTTGGGACAAGTGGTCACATCAGAGATGGAAGCCTTGCCTGCATCATGGCTCCGAAAACACCGTCTGCACGACAGCACACGGGTGATTAGAACTCGACCCAAAGCTGCGAGAACATGATGTAAGATTGATTGATTGCACAGTTGTGATTGATTCTGCGAAAACTGAGTTGTTACTAACGAAGCAACGGGGGGTAAAAATCAATAGTTCCCTCACCCTCGTCCACGAAGAAGTCATGCCACACATTTTGCTATCCATCGGTGCTGGTGCAGAGGTCTTACCTTTGACACGATCGTCCTCGTACGCTTTGGCAACACGTGCAACGAACGATTCGTAGAAAGGTTTGGCTCGTTCGGGTGGCATTGCGACGTGGAAGTCCAGTTTGTTGCCTTTCAGCTGTCCGTAGAGTGTGAACTGGCTGACTGCAGGAACAGAAACGAGTACGAGCGTCGGCAGTGTCAATATCGTCCCCGCCTTTTGAGACCCTCCACTGCCACTGCTGAAGAGCCAATTGTGCTTTTCTTCGGGGTGAAACCCCATGACAATGCCTGAGCCGATCGTAGCTCGTGTTCCATGACCTCATCGTCAGATGGACTCAAATGTGCCTCGTCTGCAACAGAGGAATTTGTGGACAGAAGCACCCGAGGAAGGAATTTGCTCGGCGGAGAAAAGTAGCGAGTACTCACCTAGTAGCACTTCGTAACCCTTTTGCATGACCTGCGAGGGACCGACAGCCTTTCTTAGCGACGAGACTTCTGCACTGAGACTGACTTTCGAGGCACTCCAATCATCATCATCATCTGATACCATTATTTGTGATGGTATTCATCGATTCCATCTGCTCGCAGGATTGAGCACGAGGGAGAATTCAATACAGCAGGAAACTCACAACATTCACCAGACGACCAGACGGACCTCTTGCTCCCAAGAAGTCCGGGACCTGGAGTCACATCTCTCGTTCCATCCACCAAGATTCATCTTAAGGAAGAGAGAGAGAGGCAGAGTGAGATTACGTTTTGATCCCACGCTTTCCCGCTGTCGTCATTCGTGAAGATTTTCGTATTCAGAATTTTTCTGCACCTGCAGCAGCCATGATGGTGTCAGCTGCACGGCTCCGAGCACATGGAGCTTCGACTGCCAGGGAAACGAGAGTGTGACAGACATTGTTAGCGCAGGATCGCTCACATGTACTCGGCATCGACGTCCGTATCGGATTCGAGAACGCCCACGAGCACCAGCAGACCCGGGCCTATCTGCGACACGATGCGGCCCTCGACCTGCACCCACCCACGCACGCACTCACGCACATGTTAGGCAAACATTGTGTAGACGAGAGCTGACATCAATCCATCCAGGCACGCTGCGGGCGTGGCGATCCAAACTCGCGGCTATGGCAGCCCTAATGGCGACTCCTACGGCATCACAAACTCGAGCGAGATCATGAGCACACAAGAAGCAGAATCGCAGCGCGCTCGGACGGAGAGACTGGCCTCGACGCGGGCAGAGACGACGCGCTGCAGCACCGCCCTCATGGTCGCTTCTGCGTGCTCCTGCAGCCCGCGCTCGGCGCAAGGTTATAGGTTCTGAGGGCGAGGGTGAGGAGACTTGTGGGCGCTCGAGCTCAGAGGCGGACACGAAGGCGGAAGCTATGGAGGCCGAGGGCGGCGAGGAGAGCGCGAGGGTGCGGAAGAAGGCGAGATCGAGATGGAGGAAAGTGTTATACGGAGGAGTGCAGGGCGAGCACGAGGACAACCACACGGTGTACATGGACGACGAGGATGAGGATGCGGGCGGCGACGAGGAGCAGTACGTGTTTCTGAAGGAGAAGGTCGAGAACGCCAACTTCCGCGAGAGGAGTCTGTGGATCGTGGTGCGCGACTCGGTGGCGGTGTCGCAGCATGCGTGCGTGGTCGGGCTGGTCGGGACGGTGTGGACGCATGCTCTGAATGGCGACCTCGACGCCTGGACTCTGCTGCGCCTCGATGCGCTCGTTCTCGTGCTCGGATTTGCCACGCTCTTGCTCACGCACGACTCGATCGTGCCTGCTTCTCTGGGTCGCCATGCGTTCAATTTCGCCATGTTCGTCATCGGCTTGTACATCCTGGCGCCCATTTTCCAGACTCTGACCAGGTCTTTCAGCTCCGACTCGATTTGGGCGTCCACCATCTGCCTTCTCCTCGTGCACCTTCTCTTCCACGATTACACCTACACCACGGTGGAAACTGCTCCGTTCGAGGCTTCGGATGAAGTGGTCACGAGCCTAGCTTCGCCCACGACGCCTCGATCGCCCGATCGATCGGAAAGTACTCTCGCCACGAGGAGATTGGCATCGCCCATCACATTCTCGGCCAATGTGTCCCTGAATGCTTCGATCATAGCTTCTGTGTTAATTGCTTCTCGCCTGTCGCACAGTCTGTTAGTGTTCGCCGTGATGCTCTTTTCTCTGGAATTCTTTCTTCTCTTTCCCCGCGTTGCGCACCAGATGAGGCGACGATCTGTCCACCTCCATCTGGTTTTCTCTTGCCTCTTGATCGCACTCACCTTGCTTCTCATTTATGCTGTCAATTTTCTCGTTCTCGCATTCTTCGTTATAGTTCTTCTTTTCATCACGGTTGTCTCGCCTTACGAGCTCATCAGAATTCAGAAGTATAAACATGAGATCAACGGACCATGGGATGAGGCCAAGCTTTCTTTCATAGTCGGTGACTAGGCAGGTTCTCCACGAGCTGATGGCAGTGCAGACCGCTTCTGAACATCGGCAGGCATGCCCGCCCGCCCTCCGACTTGTGCACGGACTCGGGTGTGCCAACTTTCTGATCGGTCCGACAGTATGATGGTGAAGTGTCGAGCTGGCCTTCCACGATATGTGTTGCCTTTCGAGCTGGTCGGAGTTGCCATGCAGGAACTGGCAGTGCCGAGGTTGGTTTATGTTGGGGGTCTGTTGCATCCTCAATGCATAGGCATCTAGCCGAAGTTTTGCGGGCTGCACGGACATGGTCGACAAGTTGCCTGCTGAGATTCTTTGAACTTGTTGTTCATAATGGAGCCGATGGCCCAGCGAATTGCTCATGAAAGCGCTCTCCTGTGAGGCTGATTTAACGCTCACAACTATGAACTATGCCAGATTACGACACAGCAAGCAGGAAGGAAGGAAGGCAGGCCCCAGTTGCATTTTTCCAGAAGTGCTGCGACGTGCGGAGCAGTCCGAGTTGAACGTGCTCATGCTCTTCGAGGAACTTCTTCAGGCAGGGAAGCATATGAGCAGATCAGGCTAATTTCAAGGTTATACATCCCGTACTTGCCTGTTAGCTGTTCCACCATTGAGAGTCCGCTAACTCCGCTCACATTTCCAGGATTAAGATTTTTGAGACGTACATTGTCAACTTTTTCGTGCAAGAAGGGCAGATGAAGCTTTGTCAACACTTTAGAGAACGGACCATCTTCTAATTTGGAGACTCTGATGTACTGCAAGGCTTGTAGATCCACTTGTGACGACGATGCTGCTGTTCTGACTTCAAGTTGTAATTCATAAAATCTTTGGCATCTTCTTTAATCTCTGCAAATCAAAATTACATTTTCTGTTGGAGGTGATGAGATTGTGTCTCCAGACAAGCTCTAGCAGTTGAATGTCGACACTTGACCTCCATGTAATCATTAATCTTTTTAAATTTATACGCTGCCCACTATTGAGTATCAAACATCTTTCATGTATTCTTCCTTATCTGGATTTTACATTTGCGCTTCCTACCTATCCAAGTTCCTCAAATCAATCCTAAATGCAATCTTTATGTTGAGATCACTCGAATTCTGAACATCAACTGTGGTATTTGGGGCAACCTTGCTACCAACTCGGGTAGCCGACAGCATATACAGCGTCTATCGTACCATCTCAAGCATGTGTATAAACTCTATCTACGCGTTGGTTTGATCATCCTCCAAAGTAAGAAGGGCAGCAATCTAATCTTCAATCTGATTCACCTTCACCTTTTGAACAACTCTTCAAAGCCAACAGGTAACTGCCACCTGCTCTCAGAAGTGTGTTAATGTGTGTATGTTTGTAGATTTTTACAAACATACACAAAACAGTGCGGATTTTCTTCCAACTCACCATCTGCTGTCACACATGTAGACTGAAGGGCTAACTCGACAGCTAAGGTCACACACTGTCTGAACGACCAGGGCTTAAGTGAAAACGGATAATCCGGATAGTTTCGCATCCATCTAAAGTTCCATAACCGTGTATGCGCAGTTGATTCTCTTACATGATTCGTGCTTTTTCACCCAATAGTTTTACAATCACTGTCCACCCTGTCAAGTTTTCTTAGCTGTAGGTGGAGCTAAGGTCGTGATTTCACCGATTGTCTGCGGCACCCATTATATCCTTGCACACCTGCATATCGATGGATGTCACCGGCGATCATACAGTTTGGATGATTGTTTTTCACTGCGTACACTACCGAACCACAAATTCGCAAACTGCGAAGTTTTCTTTTACTTTGTACGAGAAGAAGCAGCAGCCAGCATCATATGCTACAAATGGACGTGATCTCATGAAAGGCAAAACTGTATTTTCAGAGTTCTTCTCCTCCTGAGCTTAACCTAGCATATACACGAGAGGACCCTCAGTCTTTAAGTCGTCAGGTTGGGTAGCGATAATAAGAAAGGCAACCTTCTCATTAGATCCTCACAAAACAAACACCGGGCAACCAAATCATGCTATGTTGTGATATCCGATACTGTAGTCCTTGTCTGATGGGGGTGAACAACAAGATTCCCTGCAGCTGGACACTGGACATGTAATCAATGGCTTGCAGACCAAACCAGAGAAATGTGTGTGCTGAAAGAGCTGACGTCCACGTTGAAAGTGACTTGTCATTGTGAGATCATTCACTGAGTGTCTGAGTATGACTGTACTATCCATGGAAGCAATGGAAGTTGACTTTTATTCTTCTTCAGGAGCAATTCGCTGTTCCGAAGTCTTCCTCTCTTTTCCTTTATTGTTCTTTCCATCTCAATGGAGTGGTTTCCTACCTGTGGACCTCATAATCATTCGAATGACTCACATTCACATTTCCTGCCCATATCGACGTCACATTAACGTAGTTCGCGCCGAAACTCTGAATGTAAATCGTAGAAAGAACACAAGAATTACATCACGTCCTCACCTGACGTATCTCACCTGGCATAGATCAAGGCAACATGTAGCAAAAGACGGGGCAAGCTTTAAGCTTATATAACTCAGCACCTTATGTATTTTGAGTGAAAATTATGATCTATCACTTAAGAATTTGATGCCATTCACTTTCTGCAAAAATTAGATGGAAATTGGTTGAAGAGGGTAATGAAGTAACCGTGGTGGTATGAAGTTCACGACTATCACGCTGTTGAATATTTCAAGTCCGCATCTTAGTCTAGGCTGCGAGGGGATAAAAAAAAACATTGAATCCAACATCTTCATATTTAATTTTCTGCCAAGTGTTGATGAATGCAGCTGCCAAAGTGTTCTTGTTTTTTTACAAGTAGAGGTTAGAGGTACACTGTCTCTTGACATTGTAACTTTTTATATCTAAGATATACACATATAATGCATGTACTTTAATGAATAATGTTGTGTGTGCAATGCTTAATTTTAGAGTCTGGATTGTGGAACTAAAATTTGTTTAACTCATCCACATCAGGTTTCATATTCAAAATACATATCACCTCACCTTAATCGCGAGTCAAGTCTTCTTCATAATGTTTGTTCTAATTTCTGTTGCAATCTTAAACATGTAAAACTTGTTAGGATAGATGTAGAAACAACTTAACGAAGTTCTTAATAAATCACTTAACCAACACCCTTTACATTATACTAACTGCACAAATGAAATCCAAATTCTGCTTATACTGTTCAACTGATAAGAGTGTGTGGCAATGTGAGAAGACATTGCACCTCTTCACTTTGCTTCTATCTCCCTGTTGACCGATTGAGCTGATTTTGAACTATGCTTTACTCCTCTTGTCTCCATCGTCGTATCGTATCCATTACGAGATGCATGTGGAGAAGCAAGCTTTTACTTCAAGTCTTTGTCGCCTTTTTGTGTTACAAGAGTTGACCATTCATGGTACTTCTCCATCTTATCTTGTACCGGACTGTCTTCTTCTTTGTTTCAAGGAAAAGCCCTCCTTTCTCTGGTGTCCTCTGCAAGATGTGACTTTCACCGAATTTCTCATATTCGACAAGACTTAGTTATATTTCTTCGTTAAATACTTATCTTTATTGGTTTGTCATCTAGTTGCATTTGTAGACCAATGATTGATTTTCTCTTGATTTTCGTACTATGATTGAAAGGAGTTGAGGAAGCTACTCCAGTCAGACTTTGCATCATAGAAAATCCGTCACTTTGGTACAAAACCAATACCCAGCGTTCATAACAGTAAGTCATTTCAATAATTTTCTTAAAATTATTGAAATGACTTACTATAACATATGCAAGTTGGAAAAGATTTTTTTCCTAAAGACATCATGAGTCTTAATGTTTCACACAATGTCACTAAGCAAAGTTGATGCCAGGTATTTACAATGTTTAATGGCATCACAAAGCGTTGTCTGGAGATTCGGAAGCAAGAGATGACTGACGAACACATCGTTTTTCTCAGCGTCAGGATTCGAAGCTCGGAGGTGAAGATCGTACACAGGATGAATCGCTGAGGTAGCAGCTGATACAGATGTATAAAACATAGAGAATTGACTCAACAAAATATGCTCTCGCACAAAGTGGTGCGATATTTGTTCCACCAACAATAAAGTGGCTCTTTTGTGCAGTGTACATTGGATACAGTTGGGTGCTAATATGCTTGGCAGGTCAAGGCTGACATTTTAAAGCACCTTGGACCTCGATGCAGGCACATCTGACCATTCTGAAGTTCAATGGTAAACAATACTAAATTCAGCGGAAACAAGGATAGGAATCACAGCTGGATCTGAATACTTTGATGTCAACTTGCAAATGTAATGATGGCCTCCAAGGGCTCAGCGCATCCGCACCGTTCATGCACACCGACCATTAAACAGCCCGGACTCCAGACCTTCAAGTACTGTGCTCATGTCGGGACTCTCAGACGGTACATGTGCCATCAAAAGGGCCCCTTGTCTGTCTTGTCAGGCACTACTCTAGTCTACTCTCGTATGCTGTGGTCGATGCCATGACTTGTCAAAGTTCACAACAGAATCTGTCTGATGAAGCCAATGACTGCATCCCGAGTGTCGAGCTGCCTGACATGTCCTATGGGCCTCTCGCCCCTCTCTCGAACCGGGGAATATATCCTCCGAGACTGTGGATTTGTACTGCAGGATCTTGTTGATCTGAATGGTTTAGCCGTATTCAGAGTGAGTTTAGAAGTGGTGGAAGAGCAGTTTCAGGAGCTAATGGCGGAGGAGGGAAAGAAGCGAGTGGGCGAGGAGCGAGTGGCGTAAAGTTCGGATTCTGGGGGGCTATGGGCGGGTGAGAAGCTTGACGAGCTCGAGCTGGACTAGGACGAACTCGAACAGCGAGGAGCCTGTGTAAGTCGAAAACAGTACCTACCGCCGTTGCAGGATTAGAGATGGTGTGTGGCATTCCCAGAAGCAGGACGGACTGCGTGCACGACAAGAACAATCCAGGGAAGAAGAAGAAGAGCAACAACGACGACGACACGCGGGGAGTGGAGCGATAAATTCTCGAGAAAGCCTGATGTCCCTTTTGGGGCGATTCGAATACGAGAAACGGGAACAAACACGTATTCTCTTCTTTCGGAAGCTCACCTATTGACTGCTGTTCCTGTTGTTTCTGTCCTTGAAGAAGCTTTGGTATGTGGATTATGCGGGGACCTTGACAGCAACGCGCATGGAAGGAAGGAAGGTAGGAACGAAGGAAGGTGTATAAACAAGTACAGGCAGGAACTGAGTGCAGGTACACGCAAGAATAGCTTGATGACACTCGGTGCGGGATGATGGAGGGAACTGAATTAGAGTGCTGGTTGAGTCTCAGCTGCGGGGAAGCTGGAAAGGATAATGTAATTCGTTCACGTGGGTGGGCGGCCAAAGGGGGAATCTGGATCGAGAAATCTCTGAAGAGCCCGAGATCATCATTGACAGTGGTTGTTGAGTGGGGTGTCTCTCACGAAGGGGTTTGAGCAACAGAGAACAAAGTACCTCGTTCAACTGAATTTCTCCAAACATTTCGAAAATGTCCCAAGTACAACAATCTTCGGAGACAGAGGCACTGTCTCCCGAAAGAAATGACAATGCAAAGGATCCCGTGATGTCCACGTCTCCAGATCACAGACTCCCACTGCAGCTTCGCTCTTCCCCACATCACAGTCCGCCACTGGAGCTTCGCTCCTCCCCACATCATAGTCCGCCATTGGAGCTTCGCTCCTCTCCACATCACAGTCCTCCCCTGGAACTGCCGTCCTCTCCTCATCGAAGTCCGCCACTGCAACTCGGGTCGTCTCCACATCACAGTGGCCCATTGCAGGAGCTTCCATATCACAGCCCTCCACTTCAGCTGCGTGGCTCTCCGCACCGAAGTCCCTCCCCGCACGAGAGCCCCTCCTCGTACCAAAGTCGCTCTCCAGACTATAGCCCTACATTGCATCAAAGCCTGTCTCCTTCTCCGACGAACAGTCCTCCTCTGCATCATCAGCACCAAACTTCTCCTCCCCATCAAATCCCCCATGAAAACCGAGATGCTAATTTTTACGCTTCTCCAGGGCCTAGTAACAATGACGCACGAGATGCCAAGTTTTATGTCTCTCCAGGACCTAGTAACCACGAAGCAGGTATGGGATCTTACCAAGATCCCGAACCTCTGACTTCTCCAATTCCGACCAAAGTGGATGCCTACAAGCCAAGGGGTATCAGGAGCAACAGAACGCACACGCTGAATGTGGCCAACGTATCTCTCAGAGCTTTCACAGCTGTGTTCACTCTGATTGCCTTCTCATTAGTAGCATCCGACAAGGAGACTTTGGTGGTGAACTTACAGGACTCCGTTGTTCTTCGCTTCCACGATCTTTTCTATCTGAGGTATGTCTTCATCCTCTCCAATCCACCATCATCATCCTTTTGGCAGAATTGGATTAGATGGCCAGTGAAAGCCAAAACATGGTGAGTGCTCTTTGTTACCAGAAGCAAAGTTACCTGAATACTCTCATAAATCCTCAAAAAGAAAAGCAAATGTGTGATCATGGTAATAATAGTCAGTGCACCTGGAGTGGAATCTGCCACCTGCGGAAACTTTCTTAGATGTGTGAAAGGCTCCCCATGAAAGCTTCCTTTCAATTCCAGGAATCATTCTTCCTGAAACACCCATTTCTCTCGTGCTTTCCTCCCTCCCTGGAAGTTGTCTGACTGTTCCATTGCCTTGGCCTTGTCTAACGTGTCTCAAGCACTTGGAGGAAATTTGCTCCATGACGTATTTCAGTGCCTTTCGTTAGAGGATTCAGTGGAAGCGAGTTCAGATCAGTGCAAGTAGCAATTCTAACTGTGAATGTAGAATCCTTGTTGGAAAGCCCGGCCATACAGGATGGGTCGCAGTAGTTTGAAGAACGAAGACCTCAATGCTGCTGTTGTATGAGCACCCACGAGACTCGCATGTTAAAAGCCAGCTTAACAGTGACAAGCGGTGGCAACTGTTCTCTGCAAGATGAAATGGATGTACCAATTTCAATTGGTCTCTTCGTATTGCCGAGATTGTGTTCGACATTGGCAGGAGAGCACATCGTCTTGCAGACAGGCGATTGTGATGGATGATGATACTGATGTCGCTGATCATAAGTCGGTTGGTATCTTGGACTTCTCTATAAGAACTGTTACTGCTGGATGATGTCTTGCGGAGCACAAAGCTGGACTCGACATGCATTCTCGTTGTCCTTCCGAGTTTTTGACTCCTGCACATTTCGTTACTTCAAAGTAACGAAATGTAAGGTTACTTAAAAGTAACCTTATTTTGATATAACTGCTTGCGGTGACAGACGATAAACACTTCTATCGGCTGGCTGTTCTTCCTCAAATATTCAAAAACGCTCCTCCGGTGCGAGAATATTGCACAAAGGAAGCTCAAGTGAGGATCGCAGCCTTGCGTGTCACTCCCTCACTCAATCTTCTGTAAATGTACGCCTGATATTTTCATACTGTTCCCTCTGCTTTCGGGTTATGATTCGGATTGCTATCGAACGAATACAGTTTGTTATCATGAATACGAGTTGCGACTCGGGAGTCCATATCCCACGCCCAAGCTTATCACCGATGAAGACACGTGATTCGGTTTCTTCTTCTTAACTTCCCTGTGCTGTCTGAAGACAGCAGCAGACAGCTGGTTAAGACAGTCGGCCATTCGCTCAGTCTCTGGGCTGATATACAGAGAATGGGCAGAGAGAGGAAATGCGAGGAATCGTTGAACTCTCAGAGATTGCCGACGACTTGTATATTGGCCTTACTGACAAACTCCTGAACTGTAATCTGGTTTCAAGTTCCAAGAAGCTCCTACTCTCTCGAGTCCAAAGTTCGCACGAGCTGTTCATGAGCGCGAAGTTTTTGAAGTGCTTTCGATCAACTGCTGGAAGTGCCAACGAGCCTCATTTCTCGGGAGCAATGCCACTAGAGGACAGATCTTGTACTCTCTTAAAGTGTCCTCCCTCTCCCACCTCCACGACATCTGATTTCTTCTTCTTCTCATGTTAAAGCATGCAATTCTAGCTCCGCTTAGCCAGGGCGATGGGGTTCTGGCTATCCATCTATCCATCAGGCTGTGGAAGGCAAGATGAATGAGAATGCGTTGTTTGTCGCCGTGTGCAGCTACTTGTTGACTGCGAACGTGATCACCTTCACGTACGTCGTCGTCACCATGGGGATCTTCATGTACCACATGACATCTCAAAAGCCATTCCAAAACTCGCAGCTCATCGCCGGAATCTTCGTACTCGACCAGGTCCGACCTTCCCTTACTTTGTTGGAATGCAGTACCTCTGTGTGTGTGTGTGCAGCGAAAATCATCTTTCGTAAGGGCTGCACGAATTGATTCTGTGCTCGGTGGGAGTGAGTGGCTGGACTCTCACCGGTGACTTGCTCGGTTGCTGCAGATGCTCAGCTACTTGCTCATGTCTGCAAGCTCCAGCGCGGCAACAGGAATCCGAGCTCAGAGAAGATTCATCACGGGCTCCGCTCTCGACAGCTTCGAGTCGCAGGCATATGCCGGGGTGGCCATGAGCTTTGTGGCATTCTTCCTCTTAGCCACGGTGACGCTAATCTCCGGCCATTTTTTCGTCAACAGAAGGCGTTCATCATTCTAAGCTCAGATTTATTATTTCTGCTTCTCCAATAAACACGCAAACTGGCGCAGAGTGGTCTATCTGCTTGCACAGTGGGTACTATTATGCTTCTCCTCGCCCCTCCACGCCATTCATAATCGATTTTGACAGTTGCCCAGACCTGTAGGCCCCTGCCCTCTGTATGCCATTTTCTCGAGCACCATCCTGTAGATATTGGTGACCACTATCATCATAATCCGAATCATAATCCTCCTCGTCATCGTCAGATTCCTCACGTTCCAGGCTGCGAGTTGGGGCCGTCATCGTCTGTCATCGTCCCAAACCTGGCTCCTCATGAACATGCCCCTTGTACTGTATCGCCTTTACTACCAGCGACAGAAATACATACACACAATTCTGTCTGAATGCTCTCCTTGTCGTCGTCCAGCTTTCCCTTGTGGACCTGCCGCCATTATGAGACGTCGTGAGTTGAATCTTGCAAGCATATGAGGCTAGGTTGCCATGGATCAAAGAAGGAAGAATAGACAGCACCGATGGACTTGAATGGAAACGATCGTCTGGCACGATGTTTACAATCGATCCTTGAACAACAAGTGAGAAACTGGATTCTCCGAGGACCTCGTTCTTCTCACTCCAATCCGAGTCTCTGGAGAAGAGTTTAGGGCGTTTGTAGTAATGGCAATGACACTCATTTTGTTCCTTTGGCCACGGGGTTGTACATTTCATTAGGACCCAACATCTTCACACCAAAAAAGTTTTACCACCCTGGATCTGCACACGATGAGATTCGAAGGCGCTTCTTTGTATATTACCAGCCTTCTATTTTGAAATGAAGTTTCTTGCAACAAATTTCTGTCAGTGCAGTAGGTTTCACTGACGCTGATGCCAAAAGGACCAGTTCTCGAAAATCTTGACCCATCGCTTTAGACCTTCGAGAACTTTTGTAAGCGATTTTCTCAAGGACCCTCACAAGCTGTTGGCCCGTCAGACCACCTTTTGACCACTCGCATGGCCAGGGTATAACTATCTAAGTAGTCGAAAATGAATCTATCAGTGAATTCCAGCAGTTCACTTTTGCAGATATTCCACATAATTCGTTCTCAAAATGAAAATGTGGATGACTGGTTTATTCCGAGGAGAAATGTTTTGAGTTATGTGTCTATCATTCATAACTTCCTGACTAGAGAAGATTGGCCTTTTCTGCAGTTGTCGTCCAGGCTTGAGGGTCGATCTAACCGACATAGACCGTGCTTGAACAATTGAAGATCCAATGATAACTGGATACCTGCTTGACCTGTGTTAATTACATGTCTATGAAAACTGAATATGAAAGTCCCTCTCTTGGTCGTGACTGAAATGTATTATTCGAGTTGCACTACATCGACACCTCCATTTCTTTAACCTACGACAAAAAAACGGAATCATTGCAAGTACAGAACGTAGATGAGCAGATAATGTCACCAGGGCCGCTCCTGCACACCCAAAAGACAATGTGCTAACGAGCCTCATGGCTACGATGCACCGACACAGTTCTCATATCACTTCGAGACTCGGCTCTCGCCCATTCTTGAACAGATTCAGCTCCGACGTTATGGCCAGCACAGATCGTAGACCAGGCTCCGCTGTTGCAGCTGCATGAAACATGTTTCTCTACAAGCGATCAAGTTCTTCTCGAAAGTGCATCTTTTCGTCACCGGATGTCTCTCAGCCAATCACCAAGCCGCAAGGGAAAAAGTGCAGAGTTGCGCTTTAGGATGTACCGATGGGCAGAAAATTAGAATCAGAATCAGAATTAGGTGAAGAAGTATGAACTAAAGCACAGTTCGCCATTCTGCACCACTCTTCAGGCGCACCGAAATTAGTTCGTCCAATCGAATTGGGTGTGCAGGGAGCAGTGCGCGACGAGAATAGCACGTCAGGTACGACCTCCCTTCCTCGGACAGAGAAGAGAGGAGGAGGAGGAGGAGCAGCAGAATCTGCGAAGATACGTCGGACGATCAGATGGTCGGAGGAGAGCAGCGAAGAGCATTCGTAGGGCCCTGGTGATGGTGATGGCGATGGCGGGCGGAGGAGGGTGGGATCCACCCTCGGGCCATTCCAATGGCACCAATGGCCGCGAACAAAAATCTGGAACTGGTGCACGGAGAGAGCCGAGGGCCCAGGAATAGGCGGCCATGCTGCGGGCGGCACACGTGGCGGGCCGAAGGATGTGTGGTGGCACCGTACGCTGATGTGGAGCGGCAGCTCGACACGTTGTCAGTTCTGATTGCATGCGAAGAGCAATTGGGCGAGCAGGTGAGCCCACGTGTCAGGCCTGCGCTCGACGAGCCCGCCTCACTGTACTTCCGTCTCGGTACTGTCTGAGCGATCTCGTCACTGATTACTGGCCTGATTAGACTGATGAGCAGCCTAAGCGCGCGTCTAATCAGCGGTTTCCGGCACTAATCGTGCTCTTCTGCTGCAGTTTTACCGAGCGCCTCGTGTGAGCCACTCCGCGTCAGGCGCTAATGCGACAAGATTAGCCTGATAATCATTGTTTCACTCTCACCGTTCGTGCTCTGTGACCTTGTCTTTCTCGATCTCTCTCCGCCATCCATCTTTTCTGCGCGACTCGAATAAAGCCTCCGGGCGAAAAGTGCATGGAGGGACCTTCGATCCTTGTGCCCTCCCCGCATTCCTGCTCCGCACTGCTCGCCTCCTCCGAGTTGGATGTCTTCGCGATCCACGATCATATTCCCGCTGCTGCAGATTCGAGAAAATAGATCGGCGGAGTAAGGGGAGAGGAGCAGGCAGACGGGCGCGATGGAGGCTATGGTGGGAGCTCAGAATTTGACACAATGTGTCAAAGAGTGCTCTTCTAAAGCCAGCGGCGAGGCGTCGGTCTTGCGGAGCAGCGCTTCTGCCGGAAGCAGGAAGATTCGGACTCTGGAGCGAGTTCGCATGAAGGCCCCCTCGTTTTTCAACGTCGTCGAAGGTTTGAGGCTCGCGTCTCCGGTGAAGCTCGCAGCCGCTCCGCGGGCCAGTCCTAACATGGTTTCCGAGAGGTATGTGTGAACTCGGCAATTTTTTGTTTTGCCTTCTACGTCGTGATCCTGGAATTTTCTCGCCCCTTTGCCGTCCTTCTTCAGGAGAATTATGTGACCAGATTGTGACACTCTCTTCCAGCGTCTTAGTCCACCAACAGTTCCCCGTCCTGTCATGCCCGAGCCCTGTACTCCACATTGGGGTTTGAATCTCCTCTTGTTTGGCGATGGAAAGTCTCTGACGCCATTCTGGAATTTCTGCACCATGAAAGCATACGCCGAAGCTTTAGAATCTCGTTCTTTTTCCGGCCCATGTACATTCGTTACGTCACAGTGTGGAGCTCGCGCTTTCGTAAAAGAAGGAATTCTCGAGCAAAGAGCTTGTTTGTGCGGTCTCGGCTTTCAGTCCCGTACAGGCACATGAGCTTGCGAAACGAATTTCTCTTCCACTCTTGACACAATCTCCATTCGAATCTGACTATTATTTTCAGGTTTTGTATCCTTGCAATGCATTGAAACTATGGCATATCATTCTGCAGGTCTTCGACCAACAATGTAAGGTGTGAGACTGGAACGAAGGTGAAAGTGACTCTGAGGCTGGATCATCAGGTTCAGTTCGGTGAACATCACGCTTTGATAGGGTCAGCTGAATGCGTAGGTTCGTGGCAAAATAGGGTCGAAATGAGGTGGACTGACTCCGGGTGGGTCGCTGACCTTGAAGCAAATCCTGGTGAGAAGATCGAGTACAAGTACATAGTTGTGGCAGGAGATGGGAACCTGGTTTGGGAGAATGGCCCAAATCGCACCCTACAAGTTCCCAACGATTCGGGTGCCTACCAGCTTGTATCGCATTGGGACAATACTGGAGAGGAAGTACAGTTTGTCGGTGCTAGCAATGGCAACGGTTCAGCCTCTAAGTCTCAGGAGTCCACCGATCAGAACCAACAAAACGGATCAGCTAAGGTAGAGGAGAAACCCGCCATGGAAACAAGCAGCTCATTTGTGCAGGGCTGGCAAGGAAAAGAGATCAACTTTATGAGATCCAATGAGCACTCATCACGTGAGCAGTCTGGGAAATGGGATACCACTGGTCTTCAAGGACCAGCCAAGCATATAGTCGACGGAGACAGGGGCGCCGCTAATTGGTGGCGGAAGGTACTTGACACTGGGTCTTCTATGATCGAACGCACGAACAATTTATTTCTTGAGTTGATTAGTTGATGTCGTTGTGGTGTTTCCGGCAGTCTCCAGCTTGTCTGAGGTCATTTGCTGTCCAAATCTGCGCAAACTTTTGATTTTGAAGTCACCAGAATCAGTTCCATTTTTGAGTGCTCTTGATGTCTTTGAGGACTGTGCTGTACACACCTCTGCACGTAATCTCGTGTCTCAGTGTACAGTCCTGACTTCTAGCCAGTGTATGTAGGTTACATTGGTGAAGTGTGTATGCCCAAAATGGGTTTTATGTGTTGCCTTTGCTTTTCTCCCCTTCTTTAGTTTCTAGCTTTTTCCACAGTCTACTGTGCCCCTGTGCAATGCTGCTCATTCTACAGTTGATTAGAAGAGTAGAGTATGAGTGACGAGAAGAAACCCAACATGATGAACTCATGGAGATTCGGTTGTATTGCAGTTGGAGGTTGTCAGATCACTTGTGACCGGAGAACTGGGAAAGACAGAAAGGCTGGAGACACTAGTCAATGCTTCTGTGTACCTGAAGGTCAGTTTTTGCCTACTTCTAATCATTTCATGCAAACTTGCAGTTCTCTCCATTTTGTTTTGGAGTTTCTTGAGTCCTCTATTGGCCTTCCAAATCAGTTTCGTGTGCTTTAAAATTCACAAATTACTGTTGAGGCGTTGTCGAGACTTTGCATCCGAACGTACTGAGTGAATACCACTGTGCTTAAATGAACTTCAACATTACATCCTTATTTACGAGTCCTTCCTTTGGCTTTGTTCGCGATCAGCCTTATTATGTTTTAACTCAACCTTGGGACGACTTTAATGGAACTGCGAAGTGTTTCCCCTTTTTTTGTGACGGCAGTGGATCAACACGGGTCAGATTCGATGCTATGAAGATGGTGGTCACTACCGTCCCAACAAGCATGCAGAAATTTCTCGGCAGATTTTTAGGGAGGTAGAACGAATCACTTCCGCGAAAGAACTTTCACCGAAGGTATGCATATGGCTTAATCTCTTCAGAGCTTATGTTTGTTTCCGTATTGTGGGTGTGCTATCTCTACGTACAACCTTGTAGTGAGACTGCGTCTACGAAGGATGCCAGCAAATATTTCTGATTTCGAATCCGCTTGAGAAGTGTTGAGCGAACAAACCGCGGAGAAGATGGTTTGCTGATGTGGTAATTGAAGATAATTATCTTAGTCTCGTTGACATAAATGTATCTGGATTTTCGTAGGAATCCTTGGTCGTGAGAAAAATCCACCCGAGCTTGCCTGCATTCAAAGCGGAGTTCACGGCCTCTGTTCCACTGACTCGAATTCGAGACATCGCTCATCGAAATGACATTCCTCACGATCTGAAGGTTGGTTCAGTTCACCGGTGTTCTTAGTTCTCACTTTTTTCCAAGTCACTTTATCTGACACCACTGTAAGTAATATATCTGAATGCCTAACGAACTTTGAACACGACGCCATCGTGTTTTATATGATATGGCTTGTTCTCAATAGTAGTCCGCGGTCGCGGATGTTTCAGAGGATGCGAGGAGAAGAAATAAATCACTCAGAAAAGTGAATGTTCAGAAAGCACCCGCAGGAAGTGTTGATAAATTTTGACAAAAGTATTATTTCATTATCGCAGCAAGAGATTAAGCACACGATTCAAAATAAGTTGCATCGCAATGCGGGACCTGAGGATCTCGTCGCTACCGAAGCCATGTTAGCACGAGTTACTAAGAATCCTGGGCAGTACAGCGGTGCCTTTGTGGAACAACTTCAGATTTTCTACGCCGAACTCAAAGATTTCTTCAATGCTGGAAGGTTAGTCGCCCACTTCGTGCGTCAGGCAACCAGAATGAGTTGTGTTGGTAAACTAACACATACTGTTGGTGTAGATTACTTCACATCGTGGAGGTTTGGGTTTATCTTGAGATCAGAATTAGCATTGTATGTTCAATCGAGATTGAAAGTTTCTCAACATACTCTTTAAATTTTAGAAAATACTATCTTTGACCTGAGAGTACCCAGCATCTGCTCGTGATTTCGCCGGACTTATAGATAGGTTGTATGTTCATCTCTCGGGGATAGTCTTGTCTGTACCTTTACACTATCCATGTACATTTTCTACACGTTTTAAGTGCTGAATGTTGTACAACGATACAGCCTGACGGAGCAGCTGGAGGGTTTGCGCGATTCTTTTGATGAGTCGAAGTCGTCTGTTCTAGAAACATTTCTGAACAGTAAAAAGGTGGGTGACTTGATTAATGTTTGTGATCTCAGAGAATAATCTTAGTTTTAACTCTCACTATGTATATTTACTTAAGTTGCTTCTCCTAAGTGTTACGCTTTATCTACTACTTCTTGTATTTCCGTTGAAGTCTCACTACCTTTCCTTTCATTAGTCCGGCGGTTTAGGGCTAAGTTTCAATACATTTACAGTTTGATGGATGTGTAGAGTCGAAGCTAGCACTCTGCATCTAGAAGCGTATCGTATCTATTATCCACCCGTTAACCCAAAGTATCTCACAACTGAAGCTGCCATTTTTCATGTGTACATAGACCCTGGACCAGACCAATACCTCCAATGGCAATGCCTCGAAAGGTCCAGACTTGTTGATTGGAGCTTTGCATAGCTTGACCGGGCTGAGAGCGGTGCTTGTAAAAGGGCTGGAAAGTGGCTTGCGGAATGATGCTCCTGATGAATCTATAGCTATGCGTCAAAAGGTAAATTTTGTGCACTGTATTGTTATAACTTGTGGTGCAGCTAAGTTTTGTCGTGACTATGCTCCAGTCAAACTTTGATGACACCTTAGTAATTGGGCTTCCTTGACAAGCATTGGGTTAGATCTGAGGACTTTTAGTTTTCCTACCTCCTTATATAGGAGGGGCTTTGAGACCTCAGCTGTCTGAAGCTATAAAGAAAGTCCCTAATTGAGCTTTGACTATGCCCTGTTTCAGTGGCGCCTGTCAGAGATCGGTCTTGAAGACTATTCTTTTGTTCTTCTGAGCAGGTGAGTAAATTCAACAACCTCTGCATGGGATTTTAATTACTTCGCTGAATCTTTCTGTTTGTCACAAGCCCTGTACAATGAAGCGTGAGTCTTCGAAACTGAGTCATAGTGAAAGAGACGAGGCTGGTGTTCTGGCTTACAACACAAGTACTAAGTACTTTTATGTTCCAGTGAATCTTGTTATTATCCTTTGCTGAGAATATTCTCATACCGTAAAGTGTGTTTTGGTTGTATTTATACCTCTATGAATCGTGTTATCTTGCTTTGCTGAGAACATCGTTTTCCTGCAAAAAAAATTGGTTTTGTTTGTAATCATATGTCTTGCTCATGCAGGTACATAAACTCTTTGGAAGCTGCCGGAGGAGCAAATTTTCTCATAAAAGAAGCCAAGTCGCAGAAGGTCATGTCCTGGAATCACCCATTAGGAGTTGTTGTGCTTGGAGTTCGTCAACTTGGTCTATCTGGATATCAGCAAAAGGAGTGCCTTGCCATTGAGAACGAAATATCAGCTTGGCAAGCTGCGGGTATCGTCCAAGGAAAAGAAGGTAATTTTCTTATACGAAAAGATTCCGGTTAAGTCTGTCTTTATGCAAACATTGTGTTCCTTTCGTCCTTCAAGCAGCGAATAATAATGGAAGGCGTTGATATTGAAAACCCAAAAATTGGACGACAGGCCTGGAAGATGATGTTAGGTCCTGGGCATTACGACTGAAAGCCACATTAGATCGAACGCGCCGACTTGCAGAGACTTACACCGACACACTTCTCCAACTCTTCCCTACGCGTGCAGAGGTTTGAACTTTTACTGTTTTAAATTTTCCTACTTATTGTAATTACTGATTATGAGTTGGTGGCACTGGGATCTTTTGATATGGTCTTCGTCATCCTTCGTTGCAGTATTTCATCATTTCTTACTGACATGAGTCGGATTCTTAAGTTTTCAAACCAGTAGTTCAGCGAGATGAATCTTTTTGTGCGCGTGCTTATTTGTCATTGCTGAGGTGTGAACGACTATCTTTATTGCAGAAACTTGGGAAGGCCTTCGGGATACCCGAAAACTCTGTAAAGACATTTACGGAAGCCGAGATCAGGGCTAGGTACAGCAGCTCCTTACATGCTATTAAGTCCAGTATTTTAGAGATGCCGTTGTAAAGAACGCACATCCACCAGTGTGAATATAGCATGCAACGGCGTAGCACGGCTTCCCTTTACGTTCTCGTTGCGCTCGTATTTAATATCTTTGTGCCACAATCTGAAACATCATGAGGCTGCAACGTTGTTGAGGATCAGTAGCCATTTCTGAGTTATGCGCAAACTGACGACGCCGCATCGAATTTCGCAGCGTTGTTTTCCAGATATCGAAGTTGTGCTCACTTCTACTCAAGGCAGTTCGAGATGTTTCTGGTTCAGAGGGATGGGATGCGTTGATGCCCGGCACTGCTGTTGGAACTTTGGTGGAGGTAAGATTTTGCTGTTGTGAGTGTGAATAATACGTGGTCAATACGTTTTTATGGTTCCAGATTATGGGAATTCTAACAACTTCGTTGTCAAACACTGACAGGTTGACAGGATAGTACCTGGTTCCATTCCCGCTTCGTCGAAGGGACCTGTCGTCCTACTCGTGAAAGAGGCTGATGGAGACGAGGAGGTATTTGCCCTTATCGTATAGAACTAGACTACGGGGTCTCATATTTTTTGCTCAAATTCTAGCAGCGGCTAATATTTAGCATTTGGATCTTCAAACAGAGTAACGTAAAGAGTAGACATTCGTGGCCGGAAACCGGCCGTAAGAAGACAGTACACCACGAACTCTTCGGTCGGTCGATTGAAATCTTTCGTCCATAGTTGTCTTTAGACAGATGCAATGGCGTTAAACTCTTCGCTCTATTTTATGTTCACGTTGAGCAGGTGAAGGCAGCTGGCGCTAATGTGATGGGGGTGATTCTTCAGCATGAGCTTCCACATTTGTCACATTTGGGTGTCCGCGCCCGGCAGGTCAGTCCATCTAAAAATCGTGTGTTTGTGAGCGACTTTCTTGTTTCAACCAAGACAGTTTGACCGTCTAGTATACTGCTGATTCACTCTAAGACACGGTACATGGAGCCATCGAATCGTTTTGTGAGAGATATTGATAATTGACTGGTGAAATTGGATGTATCATGTAAACTTGCAGGAAAAGGTCGTCTTTGTAACATGTGATGACGAAGAAAAAGTTTCCAACTTGCGTGCCCTTCTCGGGAAGTCAATCAAGTGAGTGCCAGGAGATTTCTGTCGAGCTATGTGTATGAAGAGTTTCGTCTCCAGACGTAAAATTTTCGCGTGGGGTTTGCTGTGTTTTGGCTGTAAAGCAGTGGACATATATACGACCCTGCTGTACTATCACTGTACTCTTTACAAAGATTTGTTTCTTTATGGGGTAGATAAGGGCTTCCATGGTTTTACGAGCTCTGTTTTCATAAATTGCTGTCGTGTTTGTAGACTAGAGGCTTCATCCGAGGGTGCCTCAGTTTCAGCATACGATGGTGTCCAGCAACAACAGTCAGATCCCAAGCAGGAAGAGGAGGGTAGTTCAGCAGCTGCAACTTCTCCAAAACCTGCAGTTCAATCAAGCAAGGTACGAGGCTTTGCATAAGAAAGAAAGCTGTATAAACGATGCCATTTTGTAAAGCGTAAACGATTTCTCTTAAATCAAGCGTGGCCCCCATAATTTGTTCGTTTCCTTATTGTTATGTCAAGCTTTCCCTGTTGAAGATGTTTGTCTATGTTCCCTCTCTACTCATATTTTCTCTCCGACGTAAAACTCTCATTCGATTTTCAAAAAATAATAGGGACTCCTATTGTTTGTTTGGCAGGTAAAGAGAAGTCCCAAAGGGAGTGTGCTACAGCTGATCAAAGCCGATGTGGAGAAGGCGGGAGCAAAAGCAGCTGCATGTGGAGAGTTAGCCGGATTGGCTGAGATTTCGAAGAAAGGTTCTCTTTCAACTACTTGTTTTCCTGTATGAACCTTTTGACGAGTGGAGGGAGGGAGGAGGTCATTACTTAATTCACAAATCAGAAGTCGACTTGTGAATTATTCTTCAAATGGTCGGCTTTTGGTAAACTGACCTTGTTCTTGTACCTTGATGTTTACAGTGACAAGTGAGCAAGGTGTACCAGCAACTTTTTTGGTTCCTCAAGGTCAAGTGATCCCCTTCGGTGCTATGGATGACTCTATTGAAAGTAGTGGTTTGACCAAACAGTTCCAATCTCTTGTGGCGAAAACCGAAACGGCCCAAGTTGAAGGAGGTGAACTTGATGATATTTGCAATGAACTACGTGAGTTGGTCGCAAGTGTGAGGCCTGAAAAATCCGTAATCGACGCCATAGCTAAATCATTCCCTTCCAGTTCAAAATTGATTGTGCGATCTAGCGCAAATGTGGAAGACCTGGCAGGAATGTCGGGAGCAGGGTTATATGAATCTATTCCAAATGTTAACGCGTCATCCGATCCTGAAAACTTTGGCAAAGCAGTTGCCGAAGTGTGGGCTTCACTTTACACCCGACGAGCAGTGTTGAGCCGAAGGATTGCAGGAGTTCCGCAGAAGGAGGCAGCTATGGCTATTTTGGTGCAGGAACTTATCTCTCCAGATCTTAGTTTTGTTCTTCACACTGTTAGTCCCATAGATAATGACAAGAAAGTAGTACAGGCCGAAATTGCGGCAGGTCTTGGAGAAACTCTCGCCTCTGGTACCAGGGGTTCGCCATGGCGTCTGGCTGCCAACAAGTTCACAGGAGCTGTGAAAACCCTGGCCTTCGCCAACTTCAGTGAGGAGCTTGTTGTCCAAAGTGGTAATGCAGCTGCCGACGGCAAAATGGTTGCCCGAGTTGCTGATTATAGTACCAAGGCTCTCTCTGTTGATCCACTCTACAGGAAACAGATTGGGCAACACCTCGCAACTGTTGGATTCTTCTTGGAGCAGAAGTTCGGCTCTCCGCAGGATGTGGAGGGTTGTATCGTGGGCAAAAACATCTACATCGTACAAGCCCGTCCTCAGCCATAGGTTCTTATTTGTGTGAAAACTATATAATAGAAGAGGAAAAAGGCATTTACTAGCCTTGGTTGGGGGTCTATCTGGGTGACATCCGGAGTATTTTAGAGCCACGGTAGGTTGATTTGAGCATGAACTCCAGCAAAAAGATGAGGTGCTTACGGTACAGTAATTTTCTTGTTCGAGTTGTAAATTAGCGTCCCTTACATTACGAGGCTTTTAGTTCACTCAAATCTTTGTACATTATCTACTTTAAATGTTGATACCCTCTCGTGGTCTTGAACCAACAGAATTGTTGAGTTCTCGTTCAAATGTATTCTCTACCTTACAGTCCGAATGTGTGATGCACTGTAAAGATCGCGTCCATCTCTAGTCAAATTTGAACAAGGACTGTTTCCGTGAATTGTTCAGTTCTAACTGTTTGCTGAACTTTTGGTAACAATTAGCAGTGTTTACTGCACAGCAGTTTTTTCTAGTAAGTCCTCCTCCTTCGTCGGCGAAAAACCGTCATGGAAGTTTGCCAATATAGAATATTCATCAACTGGATTGAAAGATGTGCTTTCGCTTCTGCACAAGAGAACTGCAATATAACGAGAACGTGAAGATGTAAGCCAATCTGCTAGACGCGCTTGGGCTGTGCATGACTGTATGTTCTTCGCCCACAGTGTGCAGCCTTCAATGCCAATCACGTTCCCCGTGGGTAGCTGTCGTTAAATCACCGTTTGACCATTGTGTCCACACCTGAACACACCTAACTTCTGCTCGTACAAAGTGCGTGCACTCGGTCTTGCCAGTGGTGTATAAGTGGAGTAATATTAATAATTCTGCACTCCACACAAAAGTTCCTCCATATTTCATTTGCATACTAATATCTCCAAGAGGTGTATTCACGTGAAAATTCACAACACGTGCACACCATTGACGAGTGTGTTCTCCTACATATACTTTCGTGAAAATTTTACTTATGTAGGCCCACTACCATTTTAAATCAGTTACATAAAATGATGCAAGGTAAGTTGGCATCCTCAGGAGAGCTCAGTTTTTCCTAGATGATCTGAACTGTTCCATTCACAGTTTCATATGGGTGAATTGAGCATAGTATAAAAAGTGAAATTGCATCATGGATTATAGATTTGTTTATGTTAAGTGGATAGGAAGGGACGAACAAATCATTTCATCTACAACTTATCTTGAAGTTAATACACTAGAACAAGCGAAAAGCCGACGGGGGTAGTCCATGGAAAACCTTTCAACTCACGTCAGCACTACAGTGGCGGTAGAAGAGCCAAATAAAAATTGGTGTGCCCCTCACGCACGTTCAATCTTCTCTATAAATATATGTTGAATTTTACTTGATAATATATTGAAACACTCATGTTAATCTCCTGTACACCAAACAGCGTTTATTTTCTTCTTCTAATGTCAGACGTATATGAAATACTCAAATGGGAACACAAATAAACTTAATCAGCTTCTGTGCAGCCAAATGCCCACAATTATTGCATAACATCGCTTGGGGTAACACTTTTTCCGGGACCGCTATATCAGCACGTTTCGGTAAAATATAACCTAGGATACTTTAGTTCGCGTCCAAGCCCGAAAAAAGTATCAACTCTTTGTAGTACATGTTATGATCAGGGTATATAATCCTTAAAATCTATGGGTAACTATCTCTTCAGCAGAAGGCAAATACATAAAATAACTTTTCCTTGGAGGGTTCTCGAATAGTATGAAAACACCTAATAGAACTGAATTAGATGTATATTTCATTGAGATGTGATTTACATACTTATATAACTTGTGGAGTATAATCTCAACGTTATTACAATTATTTCATGTCCGCCACGTAGAGTAATAACCTTTGAACCAACAACCTAAAGTCACATCAGAAATTGGGTTTGCTTGCAAACCAGCCCTTACAGAGTTTTTCTGATGCAACTAATCAGAAGGAAATGAGGTGAAAGGTGGTTCCTTAGTCTCTCAATCTACTTTGAAAGATGGCAAGATTCGGAGTTAATAGTTATCACCGCCAGATAACTATTAAATCTTTAGCCCCAAATTACAGAAGTAACCGAGAAAATATTAATCTCACTCTGAAAAAAATATAATCCAAAATTTTCTTATTCAGAAGTAAACGAGTGCCCTTTATGAGTTCATTGGATAGAAAAGTTGAGATAATGCCGATCCATCCACCGATCCTTTACTATGATGCTATCTACACTAACAGATCTACACCTGAAGCCAGTAAATATGCTCATTCACATGGATTGGTTTGCTTCCTACGGAACGTCCCATCGATCTTCATAGCGTCGTCGAAAACACGACGATTTTTGCAGCAGAGACGCTGGCCCTCCTTCATCCAACAAAGAGCGAGAACGACACATTTGAGGCACATCTCGGGGACCAAAGGCTCGGCGCTCATGGTATCACAAATCGAAATATGTATTAGAGCGTTCAGAGTAGTCGAACAATATGAGATCAAATGGCTTAAATCAATCAGATACATCTGGCATCATCTAATATGCTCACTTAATGGTGTACATGAATTCAGAAAAGATATAGAAAATTACAGTTCTTGAACATTTTGCATACCTTCATACTTGGATACCTCGTCTGCTCCATCGCCAAGGTATGTAAAAAAGATGCAACTATCGGTACCATCTAATTCAATCACTGTGCAGTGAACAGCCCAAGTAGCTCTTCTCAGTGATCATTGTTGCATAATCAAAGTGAGCTGCTGAGGTGACGTGATGTGGACATTTTGCCAGGCGTGGAGAATCTGATATTCCAGGGAGCGGCCCGACGATGTAACACACTCGATCGAGCACAATCAGTCAGTGGCTTCTCGCAGGGGCCGCCCGTCAAAGCTTCGTCCAGGTGAAGAACCTCAAGCCCGAGGCCCTGAGAATGGATGGACTCGATTGAGCCTGACACGATAAACCCCGAATCCAAGTCACCAGAATGTCCAGAATCTATGTCCCGTAACTCCAGCAAGCGTATGTTCGATTGGACCGAGCTTTCGAAGGTCATCGAGTGCTTTCGAATGGTTGGGAAGAGGTGGTCCGAACTCGCGAACGATCAGCTGAACAGAGAATCGGATAAATGTAGGGACCTCGATCGAGTGGGAGATGGAGGAGGAGTGAACATCGAAGATATTCCGTTGGAATGGATTGGATCGAACGGAGGTAAACCGGACACACGGAGAGTGTTACCATTCTGCTTCGACATGCATGACAGTGACAGTCACCGAGCATTAACGATTCTTTACCGATGAAGAATCATCCCATTCTTTCCGTCTGGAGCTTGCACCGCTATTACTAACTTTGGTTTCATGGACCCTCGCGATCCCATCACTCTCCCACAGTTCACATGCACCTTTGGAGTAGATTGTTGCAGGACATGTTTGCCATGAATAATGGGCTCGGAGAAAGAAGTGTTTACTAGCATGCTAATACACAACTCTGAATCTATGAGGGAGGATAGATTCATATATATTTTCAATACATTTACACCTACACTTGTGTATCCTAATCAATACTAATGGTTAATATTTTTATTTTTTTTATTTTGTTTCATGGTGGTTTATTTATTTATTTATTTATTTAAATTAATAAATCATAATATATAAGTTTAAAGACTACATTTATACAGGGTAACTATTAGATGTAAGGATATAATATTTTCAATATTTTAATCTAAGACTTCGGGGTTATTATTTTATTTATGCTTTGAAAGGATTCTGCCACGGAGTTCACTTTCGTGTGTTTGCCCGCTGGCTTTCGCCGTGTAGATTTGACTCTTCTCCGTCCACTCCGACGATGTCACAACACGGAAACGGTGAGAAGGAAGACTGGGTCCAGTTGTCAGTGCGAATCTCCGTAGAGCCTAACCTCGAGATTCTGTCATTCTAGAACCATGACTTTGCCCGCGAATTCGACAATGAGCCAGAGAGTCTCTTCCTCGTCCGGATCGTAGCCGCCTCTTCTAGCATCTCAAGATTTGCATGATGAGCAACCGTTGGACTGATGTGCAAAACACCTGCAACGCATCATGACTCTCATTAATTGCCAGCTTCCGTGCATCCCACCCACAATATGTATGTACGAGCCTAGCATGGTATGAACGTAGTTACAGAACTGAAACGCTTTATTGCGCCTGGTTCTCAATTTGAAGACTATGCTTCCTTGATCAGGAAGCTAAATCTTCACAATTTGCTACTTCATTTTCCCCATTCTATCTTTCTCTAGGCTCCAAGCTTTTCGCCACCCGTCAAGAGCTTGCTATCTAGACTCTCAAAAGCAAGAGTTCTCGCATCGTGTTGGCTTTGGAGAGTCAAGCTTTTTGCAGTCACGTAACTATACGTTAATTATAGGGAGTGGCTAGTTATTTTTATTTAGGGCTAATTAGACCTCACCCTGCTATATTTCTTCTATATTAACACTCTCTTTTAGAAACTAGTTACTATTTACCATACGAATCTATAATCTTTCATCTTTTCTGTCAATGAGTGTAATTAACCCTAAGTGAAGTATAATTATCCATTCTCTAATAATATTATATTCTTTACGTGAATAAAGATACACTGGTATATAATTTAGACATAGATTGAACGAAATTTGTCTATATACGAATACAGTGCAGTTGTCACGGATCCGACTCTACGTACATTTAGCTAAATTTTTGTACTTATTATATATGATCCTGTCTCACCCATGAATGTGTGACCGTGCGCCGTATCTTCTCGAGTACTTCACGTCAAGCATAGACATGGATACAGCATGTATTTATGTCTAGGACACTTCTTTCCATCCTACGAAAGTAATCACGACCGGCAAATCTATCGCTCTCGTTTAAATTCAAAATCTTACAGAATTTGCGGACAACACCATTCACCAATGTGGAAGAAAGCACGTGCCCGCACCGCACGTCTAATGTAATTGCTATGTAGACTTGGAGATACGCGGTTCACTACAAGATCGAGAAGATTTATCACTCCACCGGCTCTCGTCATGGGACCTGGACTCGCACCGCCCCGAGAGAATGAAATCACACTTCACTGGGCCGAGGCACCTGAGCTGTGTGGGTGTGGGCCTGCCATGCAAGGTGACTGGTTCCTTGAGGATGTCACAGTTCGATAACCGTGCAGTGCAGAATGTAATAACAAATCGCAGTGTTCTGTCATGCTCGTGGATTTCTGCCATCTTCGAGTAGACGATCATTCATTTGAAGGTGGAAGGAAGTCCAGTGGGTGGCTGCGGTGGCCAAGTGTACGCGGTTTCTATGTCCAACCATGACCACGTCGGACAACATCACAGTCACAGTCGCAGTCGCAGTCAGATGTCGTTCTCTGACCGCTGTCAACGCTCCGAAGCTTATTTCCAGAACCTCGGCCACGGTCCTTGCTGGACCGGAGCACTGGAACTATCGACCGTTCACGCGCGCGCGCATGGCGACTCCATAAATGAGCTGCAAACAAAGGTCTCGGGGAGTAAAGAGAACGGCCATGCAATTGTCCAGACGACAGCGGTCAATAGTACTCCCCGCGGCCCCCACATCATCCCCAACCATCCCCAACCCCCAGACTGTCGGTGTTGCGCTGGGCGTTCGTCCCCCTTTTCCCGAAAGGATGTCATGTGTGATCTGGAGCATTGTGTGCATTATGAGACTTTCGGCGCACTCGGCCGGACCGACGGGGCCCCGGGCACGCCCTGCCCGCAGTCGGTCGGCCTTTCCTCCACAATCGTTGCAAGACAGAATCGCTGCACAGAAGCTGTTGGTGGGCAAAAACATTTAAGCGACCTCCTGTCGATGGCAATCGATCCTCCCAGCCTATTTCGTGCCCAAGAGATCGATATCAATCTACTGTATAAGGCTAGAGGGAATGTAATGGAAGCTGCCTGAATTGAACCGCACCTCGCCTTCATGGACGGACATTACTGCTCGGCCGGGTTGATACAATAAGCTTCATCTGATTCATGTCCTTCTACGCAAACCTACACGTCGATCGGTTGGACAGAGGACAGAGGATCCAGCAAGGCTGCTTTCGCGCGTCCTAAATGAATCGAACGAGGCAAGCCTAGAGGACAAGCAGTATCTATCACTCGAGCTGCTGTACGTCCTGAGGCTCGTTGACTGTGTCTCTGGTGCTTGTGCACCTCTGAAAAGATGGACTCCGAGCTGAGCTCGGTTTTAAAAAGAGCCAAGGAGCTGAGGAATGAGGGCACATGATTGTGAACGACATGATACTATGTACTTCACACCTTCGTCCCGCTGTGTGCAGGATTGTATAGTATAGTATATTATGATTGCTTGCTCCCGTAGGCTTCGTAGCGTTTTGGACGGATGCCGCCTGTCTACGAGCCTGATCTAGGCAGTGGAGACATGAGGTCCACGAGGTCAACAAAAGGGGTCGTAATCTAACCTTCTCGGCGTCTCATGCTGTGGAGCAGAATCATCAATTCTGCTCTCGGCACAGCGACACGCCATCATCACTGCGCCTTCACCTCCTCTCCACTATCCATCTCGGCCGCGGTCCTCTCACCCAAATTCTCCGCCTTTCATATCTCACAGTCTCCCCTCCGGGTCGTGTGCTCGCCTCTCCGTTTGACTCTTGTCTATTCATGGTTCAGTTGGCAAACTAACCATGTCATGGTAGCCACACAACCATCAGTTAGAGAGGGTTTCCAACCAACTTTTTTCATTTCTTAACATATCTGATTCAGATTACTCTACCCTTTTGTTTCACGCGTGCTGTACACTGACCTCCTTTAATATTGTCATTTCGTCTTTACCGCATACACTCTTCTCCACTCATGTGGATGAAGGAATGCTCTTTCCTATATGTGAGGGATTTGTTATTGAGCGGGTGTTTCAAATTGTCCATAGCTACAAATTCGATGGCATGCAGCACAGGAGAACAGTAGTAGGTGGGAATTCAATATCCTCTGTCCAACGTAGGAAAGAGGGAGAATTTTTGGCCTGTTATTTTTGGCCTCTTTCGTAACGTCAAAATTACTGAATTGTCTTCACGTTTCGCAGGTGGGGTACGAAGGTGGACATGAGAGTTGACGTATCTCGCAGTCTTCGACAGGAAGACGAATGAAGAGACTCGCTACAGTTTGTCCCCTGACGTGAGCACGTGAGAAAAAGGCAACAAAACCATCGCAGAATAAATAGAGTCGATGCACAATTCTTAAAGAACATGATCGCTGATGTGGACTTTCACAGCAGGATTTTATTCCACCTCATTCAGGTCGAGCGATTCTCGAAGATCGCTCGCACTGTACAATGCGAATAAAAAATTTCTCCATCTTCTACACTGAATTAGGATTCGTGACACTCTCGACGGCATCGATGCGCTATCATATCAATCTCTTTCGCCGGGGGAATAAACCGTCCCCGTAAGAAGTGAATGCTAGCGAGCTCAGGATTTTCAACCCAAGACTGTCATCCATGCGGTCGGCAGCGTTCTGCCGCTTCAGATCTATGAACAATCCTTCGAGGCCATACAGAATATTACACGAGAATCACGGCAGCTCTGCACACGATTCTTCTAGGGGTTGACGGCCGTGCAGTCGTTGCGGATTTGGCCCTGCGTGCCCGTGAGCACACCGAAGCGCGTCATCTTCTCGTAGGCGACGGCGAAGACATTGAAGAAGCGCTGCCTGTTGCCGGCGAAGGCCGCCATGAAGCCGGAGGTGCGGGGGTCAGATCCCAGGGCGTCGTCGATGGTGAGCAGGCCTCTGTTCTGCATGACGTCGCTGAAGTAGACAGTGTCGAAGTTCACGTTGGTCCTGTCCATCTGCACGACGGTGTTGGGGTTCTGGAAAATCTGCGGGCACTGCGCCCTCAGAGTTGTGGCGAACAGCACATTCGACTGCAGCGTGGCGTCGGGCTGTGGGTACAGTCGGTTCCTGATGTTGTCGCAGTGCGACACTCCGATGGTGTGCGACCCTTAAAAACAACAATTCCCTGTGTCAGTGCGCAGCAGTCCCTCTCGACACATCGTCAATCTCGACGTCAAGCAGTCATACCGTCCAATGCTCGACTCCCACTGCAGTCTCTGGAAGGCGGAGATACGTACCTAAGAGAGCGACGGTCTCCTCGGCGTTCAGGCCCATGCCGGCGAATGTGTTGAGCAATGTCGTCACGGAGGTGTCGGCGGGGAGGAGCTGGGCCTGGGCATGGCTGGTACTGGCTCCGATACCATCTCTACGGCCGAGCTGAATGCCGAATTGGGGTCCTCCGGCCTGAGCCACGAAAATTCGCAATGTCAGCGCGACGGACATTGACAGGTTACAGTACGAGGAGTGGCCAGCCGCCCTCCGAACTGAGAAAGGCAAAGTGAGCGTGAGCGTGAGAATGTTGCACGGGACTGTGACTCAGAACCACTCACGAAGTTGACGGCCTCACGGCCCGCCATTGCGATGACGTCCGCGCAGGAGACGACGCCGGGGCAGGCGTTGTCGAGGGCGGCCTTCATGGTGGTGATGACGTTCAAGTTGCCGATTCCGAGGTTCCTCTCGGCGTCCTTCTCGTCCGTGATGGCGCCGCCGTCAGAGTTGAGCATGATGGAGCCCTCGCATCCCTGCACAACATTGAAGTACGAGGCCACGGGATAAGCTTTCGGAACTATCCACCACTGCCCTCGGACGGCATTGCCTGTCTCAGACAATCAGGGGACGCAATGCGGACGACCATGCAAGCCCGAGCATGGACACAAGTACCTCCACGCCTTCGACGGGAGCTCTCGAGAAAACATCGGACCGACAGAGTCACTACAGACAGGAGAAGCAAACTCTCACGACATTCGAGCGTGGACATTCTACGATAGCTAGTGGAAACGCCGGGATAATCAGCGTCAGCTCAGCTCAGGGGCAAGAGACTCACATCGACAGCACAGTCGTGGAAAGCGAGTCGGAGAATGGAGGCCGGGGCGGAGACGAGATTGATAATGTTAATCTGCCTGATGAAAGCCTGTCTTGCGATCGCCTCGGCGTTGGGGCATGTGGCGGCGTAGTAGTCCGCTCTCAGCTGCGCCTGCGTACCCGTCAGCTGCCAGCTTATGGCCAATGCAACCACCAGAAACTCAATCACAGACCTTCCTGGAGCCATCATCCTCGACCTTCCTTCCTTCCTTCTTTCCTTCCTTACACCCTCGCTCACTCACTCACTCACTCTCTCGCTCGAAATCTCCCACAGCTTTGGCAGTCTGTGAAATGTCGTCCACTCTCACACTTCCCTCGCGTTTCGCTTCTCTCCTCTTCTCCTCCCTTCCCTTCCCTTCCCTTCCCTTCGTACACGCAGCAGTGCAGTGCAGGGTGATGCAATGCCGTGTGCAGGGCACGCAGTGTAGGAGTCTATAATGAGCTTGAGCTGTGAGAGCTACGAGGCCTTGAGGGGAGAGCTGGGGATGCTGTAGGCCACGCCTCGGGGACGATCGAGAGGAGGAGTGGACTCAGTGGCGAGAGCGAGAGGAACAGCAGGTCCGGGATGGATGATACGGACGGCCGAGCCTGGTATAAATACAAGTCAATGAGCTGGGCATGAGCCGGGCTATGGTCGAGATGTTGGTGGGTTCACTATAAATGCAGCATCGACTCTCGACGCAGCGCTGACAGACATCTCCGCCCGCGGGGGGAGGCGCAGTGGCTGCGCTGAGTGCCTATATTCGCAAGCTCTCGCTACAGCGACCCCGGCCGCCTCCGCGCTCGCTACAAGGCCGCATCCGCACCAGGCCGGCGGCCGTGGAAAATATCCGATTTTACTCGAAAATAATTTTGAGTCCAAAAAACCTTAGAAAACTTGATTTTATTTACCAAGGGTTTCAATCAATTACATTAAGTGTGGTGGAAAAACCCGATTTTCCCAAAAAATTTGGTTAATTCAAATATATGATCTCAATAATTTTTAAATTAATTTTATAAACTCCTACTCAATGTACAATAATGTAAAGATTTTAATTATATATCTTTTAACCCAAGTCCATGCCAATAAATAATTGTGGGGTTATTGTAAAGCCTTTTTTAAACCCGATTGAAAAAAACCTGATGGTGCCTACCCTGGGACCCGCCCTTGTATCGCGCGGGCCCCGTAGTCAACCGTGGTCGCGCTTTCGACAGAGGTGCAGAGGCGACTGCAGCCTTCGACTCGGTCGACGCGAAAGCACGGGCTCTCAGAAAAGTGGCAGCCTGACAAAGCCGCACTCGTGGCTGCTTTCGATCTCGCCTCCCCTTTGCGCGAGTTATGAAGGAGGACGCTTTCGCTCGGCTCGGGGCCTGCAGTGCCCAGCGAGCTCTGCCGTTGGTCAAGACCATAACTAATTGTCTGCGACAAACTCGCTTTGACTTATTCATTTGGCCGCACATTCGGATCCGAAGCCTGCCGTCGATCCGTTGACATTGGCCTCGACACCATTAAGGGGACAATGGATTTCAGGCCCATTGTGCTCCAGGACACATCTGCAAAAATAGTTGGTTGGTGAGCCGAGGCCATCTCCCAGGATGCAACCTCTGCAATTGTGACTGCGAATCCGAATGATGCTCATCCCAGCGCTTGGCTTTACAGCTTTCAAAGTCGGCCGATAAATCCCTCGAGGCGAGAATCGTGTCACACCTTTCCCTGTTACCCATTCGACATGAATAAAATGGGGACAAGTAGATAAAACTCGGAAACCATATTACCTTGGGATGCAAAACATTACATTCATCACTAAAAATTTACAAAAATATAAGATAATTTTATGACTCGTATTATGTAGATGAAAAAATTAAGAAAAAACAAAAACTGACTTCATTATATCAAATGTCATTTTATCGTATCAAATTATGGTTATTCTGATTGTGAATCATCATTGAGGTTAAATGATCGATCTACTAGTAAAATTTAAATTCTGTTATGTAACACACGTATGTTGACAAAGAAAATCTTAATTATAAATGAGAAAAAATCTCTCAGTATTACAACCTCTTCTGCACCCTTGTATATCCACATGGATAACGTATCGAATGGATAAACCGAGTATCTATCACTTTGCTATTCGAACGAAACTTTCACCTTTCAGATCTCGTTAGCAGACAACAAGCAGTAAGCATGTGCTTTGAGGGGAATGTCTGATGGGACTTGCTCTCACGACGACAACGCCGGCACAAGTCAAGTCCCGTTGTCTCTGTCCAGCAGCTAAGGAGAAATTGGGCCTTCGACCATCGACCATCGACGATTTCATCCGACCCGGTTCGTCCTCCCTCGTCGTCGAGCAAGTAGAGCATGAATCACTCTCGCAAGCGTCATTCGCTCGTCAGCAGTCACCGGGAGGGTCCACCCACTCGCTCGCTCGCTGTGACCGAGCGAACTATTCGGTCGCTGAAGGTGCAGCCTTTCAGCCCCTGAGCAGAAACGAGGGGGGAACCGGCGAATTTATGACGGCCGTGACAAATCTGACAGTGGCGCAAGAAAATAGCCTTTCTAGACGAGCTATATAAAGACTGCACATGTTGGTGACCTTTTAGCGTGGGTGGTAATTTTCCCCGGTAACCTGCTACAGCCAGTAATAAATGGCATTTATCCCTCGATCGCTCGCACACATGGCCTCGCATGTTCAGGACGGATGCAGATCTCAATCCCGCACCATCGCCCACCATCGCCCACCTCGCCAAGCGTAGCAACTCGCCGAGAGCTAACACGGGCACCGGAGAAGGAGCCAGTTGTCGCTCACGAGTGATGAGGATTACGCGGTTCGGTTCGCACTCGAATGTTAATTCAGTTCTGACACAGGTCGTCGCCCTCGAAGGGGATGCTTAATATACGAGATTAATAAATAAGTGAAGCGGCCATTTGCTGGATGGCCGAGGTTTCGTCCTTAATAGAAAGTCACAGCTCATGAAATCACATGCGCCTGCTTCCACATAGTCCCTCCCTCCCTGCCTGATTGCATTTCTCCCCGCTCCACTCGACGCCGCCCTCCCTCCCTCCCTCCCTCCCTCTCTCTTACGTGACATTGATCGATCGGATTGCCTTGAGTCAGTCGTGCCTGTCTAGCTTCTCTCTAGCTTCTCTGCGGATTACGACTTTTCACGTCGTAGATCGGGAGGCTTGGCAGCAGGCCAAAAGCTCATGCACGTCATCCGTCCCAGTTGCACTCTGGCGACGAGTCCTGACACAGATTTCTAGCTCGTTGGACGGGAGTGAGTTTCCGATTCCCGTGGCTTCTGAGTCGTGGGCTTGGATTCGATCGAATTCGCAGTGACCACTAGGACCACCTGCGCTCGTCGTTGACCTTCATCGCAGTCGATGAGAGATATGTAACGATGAGGAATTGGATCTATGGCGGGAAATAACAAATGATTCATGGCATTGAGGGCTCATCTCAAAGTCAGCTCCTTCCATTCTTGCACCAGATCAGATTCGCACTTCCTAATCACCGCTTCTGATGGCGAGACTTTGATACATTAGTACTCTTCAATTCGATCCTACGTCTTCGATCACTCTTCTATCATTCTCGTCGATCGGAGAGAGTAAATTCCACACGAGCATGCGGTGACAGACATGGGTCGTGGGCGATCCTGCGAACGTCGCATGTCGCACCGATCGATCCACTGCTGTGCGGCGAGAATGGTACATTGGGCAGATTCCCGTGCATTCTCCAGCTCTCCGAGAATTTGAAGTCTTCTCGCAGTTGGCTCATCTGCTGGAAGTCTCAATTATGAGCGTCGCAGGTTCAGAATACATAATGGGGAATTTCACTTTTATGATATTTCTTGGTTCGTCACGAAGTTCAGAGGCCCAAGGCAGGTTACAAATATCTTTCTTGTTCACCATTTCCCTCCTGGCCATTTATAGACGTCCTCCAAATCACTCTTCCGAATCTCATTAAGGATTCTCCCCCGCCCTGCATCCTGCATGGACTGAAGACAGGATATTTGGACAAGTATGAGAGCCACGAATTCGGCCAATCGTTTGTTCACTTGGAGGTTTCACCATCCCGGTGAAGATTAAAGTTTTCGGATCTCGTCGGGGGTTTTAAGCTGGCCAGTGACTCCGAACTATCTGTACATTTTATATTCGAAAGTGCTTGGGACCAATTAAACCAACTGAAGATTCAGGCATTCAACCAGTTCGAGAATAAGCTATAAGTTGTACAAGAACATCCACCAAAGCTTCAAGACGATATTCGTTGGATTCAAAGATTATACCCATTCAGAGTTTTTAGTGAAAACCTGCAGAAACTGCAGTATGAATTGAATTGAATGTTTTTCCAATTCAAAGAACCACAAAATTTTCTACACTGAATTTCCATTTCAATGAACTTTACCCTAACGGTAGTTTGTGCCACATCATCCGAGTATGAGAGAGAAAAAGCATTGATTCTCAGGAGTGCTCCTTTTTCTCTCTTATATTATGGAGTGAACACGTAATTGCTACTCATTATATTTCGTCTTTTTATTTTGCAAACTATTTATTTACTCTTCACTTCCTGGTTTAGCGAAGCCTATTGAACCGCGACCCGTGCTCCTGGAAATAAACTGCAGACGAATTACGCCTTCCTTGCAGAGTCAAACTCCTTCCCCCATCATTACTCCCTTTTACTTACAATAGAAGCTTCTTCACGCTTTCTCTTCTTGAAGCTTCATTACTCTGGCCTACTATTCCTGTCTACCCCCTTTAGATCTGCGATCCGTGAGAAGGTTACATATTCATGTATCAGTCACTACCTTGACCTTTCTACATTATTTATTGCAGTGTACACATACTCCCAATCTCCATAACTCTCAGTAGCTTGAGAGCTTCGGATTCTACATCCATCCTCTTGGTGGTCTTCAATGTGTTTGTCCTTTTCTAAATCACATTTTTTTGGATCAATCCAAGCTCCAGTAGAACCTCTTGTTCATGTCATTCCACCCATATTTCAGCGTCGGGTTTTCAAATATTTCGGCGCACTACGGGTTGAGCTATTTAAAGGTAACTCCAAGCCCACTTCCATTCCCCATGCATTGCTTTAGAGTGTTGTCACACCGTCTAGTCTCGAGTTCATGTTTTTCTACTCACCTCATTTCTTCGTCTCGTCCAGTCACCTTCCCTCCTCCCAATGTTTTGAGATTGATACTATGCGCAATACTTTGTTTCGTGTTCTCGACAGCGAGTCATTTTACTATAATCTTTGTGACTTTGTGTTTAGATTCTACCTTTTTCTTCTTCATCGATCCACGTTCAGACTTATTTTCATTCTTACAGATCCGAATCTAAGAAATCGTAAGTGCGCAAATGTATCTATTCAAGTTTCAAGTTTAATTCCCAAGATTTCTGCAATCCAAAACTTTCCACATATTTTTTTCATTTGAAGTCGTTCAAAAAATCCTCATTCATATATTACATCGCAATGCAATATGTAGGATATTTCAGATAATTTAATATGAATTTTTTCAAAAAATAAACATCAACATTTTTCTTCACAACTTCAACAATTGAACTAAATCTAAACACGAGTTAAAACTGCAAAATTTATAATAAATAAGTCAAACACTCATAAGCTTTCCAACATGTTCACAAAATACTTCACCATATCAAACAAATATTTCAAGTTGAAAACATGATTACTAATAAAAGTTCATCCAAGTAATTCCATTTCGCATTCATTCTCCTTATGTTTTATGATTTTCTTCTAAGATAGTCCAAAAAATGCAATGCAAATAATGCTCAAATAAATTGATTACATTCTAAATATTAAAATTCAAATTAAGAATTTCAGTCAACTAGGAATCAATGTTATTCAAAGGTGATAAACTGATATTTTGAACTATCATTTACCCATAGGTTTCTTTGAAATTATCTAATTGACAACCTCAAACATATCTTTACTAAGAATCTTTTCTTCAATAGTATATATTTTGAGTCAAAATTCGGAATTATGACAAACCTTGTGAGTTCTAAGTATTCGAATATAACTGTTATAAACTGTCACATATTCTATATCTTTCAGTAAAAAAAATTTGAAACAATTCAAGCATGAAAACAATAAACAGTACATTCATGTCGTTTGTATGATTTTAGATAATTCAGAAAATAACGTATATTAAATGGAAAATTTAATATCACACATATCATAGAAGCATGTCTTAATATAAGTTTCCATTGACTTTACTGATTCATACTTTATATAGATCATCCATACTACTACCATGTCAATCATTATTTCTCTTTCTCAATGATGGATACTACTTCATACTCAACAAAAAAATGCTCATATTTGCAAATATTGTAAATCAAATTATATTATAATATTTAAATGATTAAAATAGCTTCACAATAGCTAATAAAAAAATAACGTCATACAATCGTTGTGATGTAAAAGAAACTTTTAAATAAAATGGTGGAAAAACTTTTTCAAACATACATTACAAGAAAGGAAAGTATGTATAATTTTTCTTGTTACATGAAGTCAACAAAATATAAACATCATGTCACAAAAACAATATATTCATTAACTCCAGAGTATTTATTCAAATGAAAGTATGGACATTCATATTTTTGGAGTTTTTAATTTAGGCAGTAATTGGAATTTCAGACCTAATTCCAAATCAGTTTAAACTGCATAAAAAGTGCAACTCTTCCATATGAAGTCCTTGTAAAAACATTTTCCTTATAAATGCATGTAGATGTTTGCAATGCTACACATTTTCAACTTATTTTTTTGAAATTATCATATTATCCCACATATAACTTCAAAAATTTCCTTGCTAGGACGGTTGTTTTTTCATAGAAGAAAGTGATGGAGCAAGCTTTGATATTATTTGACATGATGGAAATTCAATATATGAATCTTTTGTTTACTTATATATTTTTTTCCCAAAAAAACTAAGAATCGGAAATTATAATTGATGAAAACCTTTTGAGCGATAATGGTTAATGTGCATATGATGCATGCTTGAACTAGTCTGAAGTTTCAGCTGTTTTTCCATGCAACTACTATATTCTTCACATCACATTAATAAATTGCTACTTCAGTTTCTAAATTCCGATAATTAAAGCAAATACATTGCATGACATGAACATTTACAAACATGAGAGAAAATTTTTATTCTGAACACCACACATGCTTCATCCAAAAAACTCATTATCTATCTCAACTCACTTGATCTGCTTTGTACGGCTCCAATTGCATAAACATCAATTACCAACTTGTGTTCGCTACATTACCACAATATCATATGTTGAGCAAATTGTCATGATGTTACTAGATGTTTGACTTGTACAATCACATTCTCATATCCAAAAGCTTTATAGACATTATGATTGTGCAACTAGAAAAAAAATTTCTTATATCAATGTGATTTTGAGAGTAAGCTTCATCAATGTTGTGTCAAACTTTCTAATAATGTTAAATTTGAAGTCACCTATGCATCAAGTTGTCCTACTCCAAAACATCAAATTCCACTAAAAAAATGTGATATACAAATCGGCTCAAACACTCCAAGGTAGAAATCAAACTAGATAGGATTGATAATCATATTATCATACTTGGATTGATAACATTTGCATCTCTTATAATTAACTTCTTTCAAGTGATTTCTGTACCCAATAATGTTTTAATTTCTTCACATTGCAACAATATGAGCTTGAAGCATAAACATTTCAAAGTGAAATTACTTTCTCTCTCACTTGTTATCCACTATGTCCATGGAAACAATACACTTTATTGATAATTTTATTGTTCTATTTTAGAATATTGGGAAAAAATATTGAGAATTCATTTATAGTTAAAATTAAATCACTTGAGTTAAATTCAAATTTAAATTAATATTAATAAAATAATACTTTTCTAATTAAAAAAATTTTCTCACAATCACCAGAAACAAACTTTTTTTATAATTTATAAAAAATATTTATTAAAGAACATTGATTATTATAAAATCACAAACAATTGATAGAATGTACATCAATTTGAACTTGATATAAAACGCTATTAAATATTCAATTAATCACTTTAATATTCATAATTTTTGAAGTTTATAAATTCGATTTAAAACTTATAGATGTTAATTGAGTTAAAAAGAAATAACGATGATAAATATTAAAAAATATCACAAAATAAAAGATAAAAATATTTTAAAAATCATTATTGAATTTTTATTTTTTAAATTATTCCCCAACTTTAGTTTCAAAATAATATAAGTCATCAAAATATTTTCTAATAGTATTCTCATGTTTATAGATTTTGATATATTCTTTATTTCATTCAATATTCAGAGTAATTATTTTTTTATTATATTTTTGATAAAATATATATGTTGATATCCTTTCAGATTTAGTAAAAACTTATTGATCAAAAAAATCATATTTTTTTAATTAGAAAAATATTTTCCGAAAAATTTAAAAGTATTTTTTATTCTGGATAATGTTTTTCTTTGAAAAGTTTACCAAATATTTCTCAAATAATATTGGAATTCTAAAATTATATATCAAGTGAATTGATTTTGTTATGTGGTATTATAATTAAGTCTTATATCTGGTTGTCAATTATTTTTTAACCAACATATAAACCTCATTTGCATATTTAGAAATATTTTGCATCTTGGAAAGTTTGATATCATGTTTTGAAAGACATCAATATATAATCAAGATTCAACAGAAGAAACTTTTTTTCTACCCTAATTAATTTTTCTAACATTGAGAAATAGATAAAATTAGTAGTGATATAATAAATAAATATTCCAAATTCACATATTTTTGTAATAGGAGAAAATATATTCCAAATTATAAGACTAGAAGAGACAAGTAAAAAAAACCAAAGAACTAAAAAAATCAATCACACTATTAAAAGTACAAGCATAGAGCATAATTTCATTCCTTCTATCCATACCTTATTAATCACTGAAATAGGGTATCGCTTACGTAGCTCATCTACTATGCTAGAACCTATATCACTGTGTTGATATTGATACTACCTTGATAATATGCATCAAACAGTTCTCAGAAGTGATGTGGTTTGTTGGTCATCGTGCAACAAGAACCGTACAACCAACAACAAGAATCGAGTATTTCCTAAATGTGAGGACCAATAACATCTCACCATTGTATCAACTACAAGTGTGATCTAATAATAATACACGAGTGCTTTCATTAAGCTAAGGCATGGATTCACAAGGCCTTCATTAGTTCTGAACAGCGACAATACTATTATACACATGGACTGAAAGCTGTGATTTAAAGATATCAGGCCTTTGAGAATTCTACATGTTGATTAAAATGTGGGTTGTAGCAATAATGATGCACAAATAGAATCTACACTACGTGTAGAGAGAACGAGTCTGTTGAAGCCTTGAGATCATATGTTGTTATCCGGGAAGCTCGCTTGTGAGATAAGTCATGTATGGACACATCATCAGATTTCTGTAGGAAATCTATAAGAAAAACCAGAATACAGTCTTGCTCTACTGTAGTTGCCCGTTATTGTTCGGAAACCATTTGTGAACAAAAAAAGATCTTGTTCGGTACCACTCAGAGTGCCAAAGGTTTTTCGAATGACTGGTTAAAGTACTGTACACGATATAATGAAACGTGGAACAAACCCTGGAAGACAAGTACACGGGCACCATAAATCTAGTGTAGGGAAGACAAGATCTGTGCACAAGACTGGCCAAAACCCATCATTTATCGCTGACGTCACCAGTGAATTTGCTTCCCGCTGAGTGTCCAGCTGGTTACATAAGTGCTTCCTATCGTCCAAGAACCAAATGCGATATACACAACACTCGCTCGAATTCATGCCCTTACGTAAAGTGGCGTGCATTTCAAAATTTTGGCTTTTACTTTAATCACCTACTCAAACGTCTCCTGAACTTGGAGCCGAAGTCAAGCCTGATGCCAACAAAGCAAACATTCGAAGTGGTAGGACAACCAATTCATGATACATGATAGGTGAGCAGCCACCATTCGGCAAATTTATTTACAGCTCAAACAAACCTTTGGCCCTTTTCTGATAAATCTAGACCTGACCACCGACAACAGCAGGGTAAAAACAAACTAGACAATGTAGAGTGCTTGGTAAAGAATCCTTCCGACCTATACACAAAGAACGCTCTCTGCCCCTCGGCAGTTCGGATGATATCTCTTGGTCGAATGTACATCGACGTAATCGATCGCCTTGCTTTACATCACTTCTTCAATTTGACAACTATTCCAGCCTATTGACATCTATGCCGACTTTTTTATTCCTCTGTTACTTCGACTTCAAGTTGAGACCCTCACCATCTCATTCCCAAAAAAGCTTCCTTGGTGCGAAGTCCAGAAATAAATAAGACACCCCACATTAGTCTCTCCGATACCTCGTTCTCAACATCGTAAAAACTCTTAGGAAAGTGTGCTTAGGTTTCAAAACAGAATCTATCAGCTTGTTGACTTCAAGGAAAGGGATAATAATTTGAAGACATCGCTACACTTAATAAAACGAGACAAATCTATTACAAGGAGTTGCATGACCCTTGAAGGAACTTCTGACCCGACTCTTCGTCAACGTGACGTGATAGCATCTGACCAACTGGTCCCCAAAATCTTCCATCCTTCCCCTGAGTCTTCCGCCTAAAAAGACACACATCTCAAAAGACCACGGTAATCTCTAGCAAGTTCGAGTTGACTGATTTCTTCTCTAAGATTCTTATTTGAGAGAAAAGACGCCTAATATTCATGAGCTTATTTTCATTCAATTACAGCTACAAACTATCTGCTTCGTATTCACAATAGACAGACTTGGCAGTAGATAGTAAAACAGAACAGAAGGAAATAATTCGAACTGAGAAATTAGGAGACATTAAGCCCGCCTCCATATCTCACTGATGGGTTCAAGTTACTCCAAATTCTTACAAGGACGTTTACTGCTCAAATTTGTAATCAGCCTGCCAAGGCAAGAAAATGTGAGCAAGACAGACATTCAATACGATATCGTGTAAGTTGACTAAAGAATGAGGGGACATAAGACAATGACATTGATATATATCATGTTCAACTGAATCTCTTTAAAAGAATGTTGAATAAACATAATCCTACAAGTTGGCATTTTTCTAGTTTTACTTGCTATGGTACAACAACATATCCTGCAACGACGGTACGAATTGAACGCCAAGCAAAAGCTAGCACAACATCTGCTAACTAGGAAGGCGAAAGCATGAGTAGAAAGCTATGGGAAGTTTTTCCTCCTCCATCTTTATGTCTCGTCAGTGTGTTTTGATTTCTTAGCTGCCATATCCTTAACATCGACATGCGATAAATCTTCAGCACTTTCAGAACGAAAACTGGGGTGTGACTCTCCTGTGCGAGATTCTCCTCTAGCTGAGCTTTCAGGCGAATGAAGAATTTGTCCACCGATGCGACTCGACTTCCGAAGGGCCTTTTCAAGCATACCAAACTTCTAATTAGAACGGTCGGATTTAATAAGGAGGAACAAAACATCGCTAATATTTCTCATGGTAGTTAACGTAAGAATACAGAGGAGCAGGCTCACCATGTTTGAAAATAAGCTCGTCTGCTCAAACTTGATATCACCGATTGATGATATTTGATCAACCATCCCGAGTGTAGACGCCTCATAGTTCTCCTTTTCAAGTCGAGACGTGTAACGGAAACCTAGTTCAAAGGGAGTCATTTGGTTCATATCCCTAAATGTTGACACCCTATGGGTGTGTGTGTTGAGTCCATAATCACAACTCCCATAAGGACCTGGAGTTCCGTGTACATTCCTATCTAGAAAAGGCCTCCTAGTCTGCGTGGAATTTTCGGTTGAAGTATTTGTACAAGGTGCAGAAGCATTGAGCGAAAGAGAGGGGTCAAATACAGGCATGAATGCTTCGATTTTATTGGGTGCTGGCCATGCGGAAGGCCCTGGGCATGAGCTAGTGGACAAGTTAACAGAGCAGCTTTCATCATGCATCGCTTGTCTTGCTCTCAAACAAGAGTAAAAGGACTTTTCCAGACCTTCTGCGGACGTATTGCTGTATCCCGACACTGCAGAGGTCCTGACCATGTATGGAGCTGGCTTGTGCAAAGTGGGAATCGAGCTTACTGGCTGAGTGCAAAAGGGGGAAATCCCAGACGAGTGAATCGGAATTGCTGCGGTCACCAAAGTCGACACCGGTAACTGAACTGGACATAAACTGAATTCATGAAAGCTCAAGGATCCAGGAGGGAAAAGAGAAGGTGGAGGTCTTAGAGAAAAGAAAGGTGCAGATGGCGATATGAGGCCCCCTTCGGATGTGGATGGAACGTAAGGAGGAGAATATGTACCAAGAGGGCATGGGCAATAATAGGGAGATAGAAGAGATGCCGGTGAGATAGGCACGTGAGAAGAGGCTGGAGGTGAGCCAGTGCGAGCAAGGGACGCAGACTCTCCTCCGAGTGACGGTAATGAACTACAAAGCGAGAAGTCTGGTATACCTTGGAAAGCTATAGGTTTGATTCTATTTTGCTTCTCGAACCTATCGTGCCCAGGTCCACGCAAATCCGAATCTAAAGATGTATACAAACCTGCACTCAGGCTTGACGTTTCTTGTTTCTGGGGACTGGAATTCGACAGTGACGTTCGTGTGCTCCATGAACTGGCTAGCAACACTGGCTGGTCATGCGTGTTTGACAGACGGCAATCTTTGGCTCCACTAAAACTTGCAGACGAGCATAAGGACCTCACACCACTGCTCCTCGACGTCACAGACCGTCTTTCTGAACTTTCCGACCATGAAGTTGACGAGGATCTGTGTCGGATTGAAAATGCCTCTAAATTCTCTAACATTACTCCTCTGTGGGTCAGTCCTTCAGATATGTCTTCTAGAGGTGGTGGTAGATCTTCCTCGTCTTCTGCACTCGAATCCGCAAAAGCAGTAGGTAAGGACACCGCCTGCGTTTCTCCATTGAATGAACCCGCCTCTTGGAAGCTTGTCTGTTTGGTGGATGCCTCAGACGTACTTCCCATCGAGCTGTGCAAATTTTCGATTGAAGAAACTAATGGAGGTGATGGTGATGCCTCGGTTGAAGATGATACAGTAAGAGCTGAGCAAATATAACTTGCAAAGGAATCTAAACGGGCTTCATCGATACCAGTGAGCTGAGAAATCGTAGGCCTTCGGCTCAGTATGTCCTTCATCTGTTAAAAAAAACTCACATTCAGGGCTCTCCGATTAAAAGGGTTACAGAGCAGTAAAACACATATTTTAACAGGCCTACTGAATAGTTCTAATCAAAATCGAACTGTAAATACAACTGCAGAAGGTCTAAGACATGCGCAAGAGGGTGTTGTTGTCCATCGGCTGTTGTTTATCCATTCCGTAATCTATCTGCTCGGACGTACTCCAAAACTGAGCATGAAAGCCCTAGCGCAAGAATCGAATTGAGAAGGGCGAACAAAGGCTTTCCTTGCCCTAGTTATAGACCAGGCGCTACCATCATTGAACTCTAGCACTTAACAGCAGCATGTGCAGAACTAACAAAAAACACTCAATCTGGATTTAACACGGGAGTTATGAAAACCCTCACTTTTGACAGAAGTTCGTCTCCAGTAGACTTCAACTTCTCCGATTGCCAGAAATACAGCACTTTGCTATCTGCCAGCTTCAACTGAAAGGTTCTGCCTGACATATCAGCCGGAAGCATGTCCAAAGAAAAAGATGGATTCTCAGACCCAGAACTCATCACGGCAAGCACCTCCGGAAATCCAGTATCAGGAATGAAGGAAAGCCGCATGACTGAGCCAGGTACCATCGTCAAGCTCAGGAAACCCCTGGTATTGACAAAAAATTTATGAGAACTCTTTTGTACTCTGAACTTCTATGCGATGCAGCAATCTGAAATCCATGTACCTCCTTGCAATATTCACAAGCATAACGCAACCCTTCAGTTAGGAAGGACAGACTATCTATAGATAATTCTCTCACTCAAAGATTTATGTACTTTCAAGATCAGATGACACAACGGTAACAGTTCAATGAGAACACACAAATGAGCGAGGGATGTCATGAAATTAGTTAAATGAAGACATGCGCGACCAGATGGTATGTTAAAAACTCTGAAGTTCAAATTTAGACCATAAGTCTTAGAAACGAACAGACAGAAGTGACATTCATAAAGCAGAAAGTAAAAACCAACGCCAGAAGACGTGATGTCACGAACAATACACGAACAGTGAGCACAACATTACACCGATGATCGGATTATAAAAACGTAATTGATTACAACCTAATGAAACAATCTGACTGTGCGTTCAAAAGTGCAAAAGCAACAACATCAACAACCGTAAGACATTCAACTTCAGCCCATCCAATCAACTTCACCGGCGTCGTTGGACTAGTTTCATTTCAACGTTTACAACACAAGCTTTCGCAACATAATGCCTGTCATGTTCAAAGTACCTTACTGTCGACTAATTCAGATTCCTGGTGAGCTTCCTGTGATGATACTAGTCGTAGTGGTTGAAAACAGTTTCCTTTACCATCATCTTTGCCATACTAATTCTCAAGTAGATCAGATATGACTCCGAAAGTCAAAAGCACCGACCTTGACGGAGTGGGTCGCAGGAGACGCCCTTGGCGTGATACATTACCCACTCGTATGTGTACAAGAGGGGCACATAGACATCGTGCGAGCATATTCAACTCTTTGGCTTTGAAGTGCTGCAAAACACAGTGGACGAGGAATTTATCTCCCCATCATTTCTACCATAAAACCAATGCAGTCCCCACTACCCACAAGACTTCACATTATTTTAGGCAACACACAAGTTATTCCTGTGAGCGAAAATCTTGTATCCAGCGGAAAGTTACGGTGTCTTCCACATATGTTCCTGTATGACTTCAAGCTCTCAAGTAAGACTGAAACCGAAAATCGATCCAAGTGAGATCACTAACCTGCCCCAATTGGACCAACAACCTGCCATCAGGCCCTACGCAAGAAACATTCCACCGAAGCAGAGGCCGCAGACGCTCGTCAGCCCGGCAAGCTCCTGTACCTTGAAACTCTAAAGCCTGAACCCATCGCAGTGCGCCAGACTCCCTACTCAAGTCCTCTGATGATTCTCTAACAGACTCACCACTGGAATCTCTGAGGGACTCTTGAGATGGTACGAAGCTAGGGTCCTGTGTAGGGTGCTCCAAAGTCGATCGTCCTTCCAGAGACAGTCTTCCTAAGAGCGTCGAATTCGGAACGCTGTTCGGCCTGATTTGACAGGCCAAACCGGATCTGCTAACCACATCTATACTGCCTGTGCTGCCTGCTCTTCCAAGGGCAGAAGATTGGCATCTTTCTGCATTATTTCTAATCGAATTGTCGGAATCGAACCTCCCTGAACAGGCACCTGACGGCTCGGCTTCAGTACGAGAGAGAAACACGACTGAACTGGAAACGCCAGACGATGACAAGGGCGACGAAGTAACCACAGTCAAAGGAGCAGTTGACGCAGGCGAGGTCGAGGCGCTAGTCTGAAATGTGTCCACTCTACTGAACGCATTCTTATAATTGAAGCTGCATGCCACTTCAGCAACTTTGTGTCTCCTGGAACGCTGACAATCTGAGTTGCTCCTCTCTGCTAAACTTGAATCCTTTCCTCCCGAAGAACGAACTTCATCTGCTTGACGTTTAGGAATCTTCGATCCAGTATCCCGTGTTACGGCAGGACATTCGGGATTGTCTTGCGTTGAGTGGCTCACAGCTGCAATGGCATTATGGGTAACCTTGGCCCGTAATTCATGTCCTTGAAAATCGCTAGATCCTACGTCTTCAGGCCTTCTTCCAGGACAAACCATCTCGCGCGAACTCTGATGTAGTTATGAGATCAATCAACATAAGCAACGCAAGAAGGCGATACGTTGGCAAGCATTCAGATGCGGAAAAAAATCCAAATGGCCGCTTCAGAGAGACGAGTAGGGAGACTCCTGCGAAGAAAATCGCGTGAGCCCGCCCAAATCCGCCATCGGTCAAACCGCAGAAGGCGAACCAACAAAGTGAACGACCTCGGACCTCAAGTTCCCGCGCTCAGGATGATCACCAAAAATTGCTGGCCTGATGTACAACAGCAACCCGATTTGGCAAAATTTCAGGCTCGTCTACCCGTATGGGTGCACGGACGACATTCCGCAACGAACCTACGACAACGGAGGGGCGACTGACTCGCAGAAACAAGAGTACATGCCGATAAGCCTGAGAAAACACGCAGCCTAATCAGGAACATAGATATCCTCGCACTGTGGCACCAAAATACACTCGCTCCCCTCCGCTTCCACTCCCCGGGGCACCTCGACGCTCGGGATATATACAAGCCAAGGGCGTGATGCCCACGCTGCTCCTGCTGCTACAGCGATAGAAAGACGAAGAGGAATGAGCCCCGTGCAACGCCTTCAGCTTCAGCCCGAACGCCCTCCTGCTACGGGGCTGCTGCTGTTGCAGTTCCTGCTCCAGTTCCAGTTCCAGTTCGCATGGCTCCAAGATGATGATCCACAGCCGCACTCAACCCGGACTAACAGAACAAAGATCATCCCAGCGCAAGGCACGATCTCCTCGGCACCACCACGCCTGTCAGGTCCGACAGGTCTCTGCTCGCCTTTACTTCTCCAGCCTCTGAATGAATCTCAACAAACCTAAAATCCTCCCCCCGTTCGTCAGTCAGTCGGACTCTACTAGTCATTAGTCACTGGTCCAAGGCATCCGGCGACCCCCTCCCCCTCCCAACGTCCGTCCAGCGTCCGCGGCCCCAGGGAACGTTTATGGCGCGCTCTCTCTCCCGCTGCACGCGCGCGCGATGGTGGGGCGTTTCGTTCTTGGACCGGCTTCTCTCTCATTCTCGCTCCGTTGCGGATGCCCTAGTAGAGTCCTACTGTAACGGACTCGCACAAGACTCTGCGCTCGGTGAGTGAGTGAGTGCCGTACTGCGAATTTTCTTATTCTTCTCTCTGCCTCACCGAACGAGAAGATCGCGAAGAAAAAAAGAACCGAAACAAAGTTGCAGTGGATTTCGGGGAACCATCGCTGCACCGGTAATAATGCTTCATTGTTTGGTATTATAATAATGCTTGATTTCTTCTGACTATTCATCTTCTCTTTCCTCTTGACACGTGAAAGGTAACTATAACTTTAAACTTCCTTTCATTATTTCTCCTCCTCCTGTGCAAAGCTAAAGGTACATACAATGTGAAACATGTTCTTGTTTATAAAGTGTAAGAGAGCATATGAGTCAGTTTGTAGACTATAAAGTTAAAAGGCTATACAATGTGAAACATGTTCTTGAGAAACTACATGAGTATTTATCATACTGGGTCACAGTAGTTTGTTAGACTATTTGAATTATGATATTCCATTCAAATAATTGGATAAATATATACACCCTGAAATAATCACGTTAGATGATGGAGCGTAGGATGATTCTTCCTTGGTATTTGTACATTTGTAAACTGCATTGTAGTACAGTATATCATATTTCTCTACATGCTACTACTTGTGATTAGACTAATCACTAATCCCGTTTGTATTTCTTCCTTATGAATCTTACCATATTTTTCATATCAACTATCCGCAAAGTTTCCACAACAGGCTTGTTAAAACATGGGGGAATAAATATCAATCCATTGATGTAAGATTGATAGTTTTGTGTGAATCTTTTTAGGTTTTGTGCGAGTGTAAATTGAGATCGCGTTGAAAAGAAACGTAATATTATGCAGTAATACTTATAGTAATGCCTAAATCATTTTGGAAGTACTTGCAGTAGAACATCTCCGTTAATAAGTATAATGTGCAACAAGAGCACAAAGTAAATTAAAACGTTCGGAACAAGTACAGTTTTCATATCATTAAGGTCATGTGTTTAAAAGATGTATATAGCTACTGTGATCTAGTGAACGAGTGATTGGTGCTAACATGATCTCCTACTGATTTTAATACTTGTTTCGATCGGTGAGATCTTCCCATCGTTTTTGATATCTATGGAATTTTTTTCAAGCCGAAGATATCAAAAATCAATTGTATAAAGTTAAAGTATAGGATTTAATTTGGAAAAAATAAGTTAAAATAAATGAACTCCATATGCTCAATGCTTTGTTTCTTTTCGTGTACAAGGGTTCAATCTGACAAAAACTCAGTCACCAGCTTTCTCCCTGGGTCATCGTCTGGATTTACTTACAAGAATGCGTCAAAATATCTTACGATCAAATTATACATGGATCTTTATAAGACTTAAGTATTAACATTTTGTTCCAAAAAGTCATACATAAACAGAATGTCTTTTGGATGTGGGCCATATATACAATCACAGGAACTTCATGAAACTATAGTCTCGATCGGTGGCATCTACAACATTGGCTATATAGTTTAAAACCAAAAATCTGTTTTTTACATCCAATTAATAATGCAGTATATAGATTGTCCCTTAATCTATACATAATTCCAAGGCTGCTTTTAAAATAATGAATTACATAGTTCATCAATCGTATGAGATTATCATCGTTAGCTTTAAAATAAATTATCTAAATACAACTTGTTGCCCGTTGTTTTTCACAAAGAATTTTTTTTCAAACCTGAAGATAATTTTTCCTCATGAAGACGGTATATTTCATTTACGTTTATGTCGGCATCTAGAATTTTGCGTGTTGAAATTCACTAAATACAGTGCCAACTTGTGATTGTGTAATACTCCATGTTGGTTTTTCTTCTAATTTATTTACTGTTCAGTTGCTGGGATGAATTATATAAGTATCAAAATAGCATAGACTTCTTTCGAAAAATTATGTTGGTCAGCAGAATATAATTGGGATAATCACAAAGTTTTGTTCTGACAAGATTGTCGTGCTTTGACTTGTTAATACTCAATAATCGGGTATGAAATTTTCCAATCAATTTATCATTTTCATCTCCGTTTCGAATATAATCTTATGTCAATTTCAAAACTAGTTGTTCAATATTATAGATCCAACACATTCACTTACAAAAGAACAAAATGTTTGTAGATCTGACGTGAGGAATTGGGAAACATAACCAAAAAAAAGGTGTGGGCATGTTATCTCGTTCTTAGTTTTATGCTTAGCAAGAAGTTCAGATCCTTCAAAATATTCTCCCAACATTCGCGATAATTTCGATAATTTCCATCATACCGCATGTACAAAAAGTTTATGGTAGAGACAAGCTGTGTCTCCTCATGTTAGAATTTGAAATGTATATAACTTGCGCGTTTTCCCCTACATGTTCTTTCATATTTAGGCTTCCTTCTACTTGCAATGTACCCAGTGCCTTAAGTTCCGTTGTGATCTATGTCATGGGAAGTAATGGCAATAAAATCTGAGAGGAGCACGAGCACGAAACACGGAGTGGACCAGTGTCTTTACATAATCATGACAGTTTGGAAAAGAATAGAGTGTTTGTCTAGTCCAGTGTTTTCGAACCCCCAGAGACAACAGGTAGCAACTATAAGAACCTCCAATATCTTAACACAGTAATATATCGGCAACATGTCCATGTATAAAGCACGAGTTCTTTGCACCACAGCTTCAGCTCAAGCTAAAACATAAAACCTCGAAACTGAAATGGAAACAAACATAATGTGACTCAGTATCGAAACATGGAGCTGTTTTCTCAACTATGAGGACAAACATACAAAAACATCCCGAAACAACCTCATGCTGCATGATAGCGTAGCATTTCAGTGTCTTGTAAAAAACTTTACAAAGTGAGATAAGCCTGTTGACATTTTGTATAAATCTTTCCCTTGCTCTTTTAGAACATCGTAAGGAGAGAGCACAGGACCCGATTCGATTACGATATCTGGGAAGGACTCAGGTAACAAGCTCACGGCCATGAACTAAAGGTTGTACTTTGTAAACCTTCAGCAGGGTCGCATTCAACTTTGAATTTAAGGTCATACACAACTATTTCTTTCCTCTAGCTACAATAATGATGTGCCTTCGATCTAACCTAGACATAAATCAGTCGTAACATCCGTTCAGGTTGAAGCCTCACCTGGTTCAATGGATTTTCATCTCGCCTCTTTCACCCAGATCTAGAACAACCCTTCAGTGCCAGGGGGATTCCGAAATCGGGTAGAATGTGTCCAGGGCTACTTGTGATTGACTTAACTTATTGAATAACCTCCCTGATTTAAAAAAGAGCAACTTTCAAATTCAAAGCGTGAATGCGAATTCGTGAAACATTTGAACCTGGAACGCTCTTGAACACCGGGAGCCCCCTACACAAATGAGAATCTTACAGTGAAATTCAACGAAACAACACAAAACGGCTATTGATCCTCTTGGACATTGAACCCAGCTCCAGTCCAGCCAGCCGCTTCATTGCTTTTAGAACCTTGCAGAACTAAAGCTCCCTTCGACCGTCCACCTGGGGTTGTACGGCCTCGACCTCTCCCCATGCTAATATGCTGGCCCATCGTCACGTACTGAGTTCGACCTACAGAACGTGATTCTTGCACATCAGAGTCAGAAGAATTTGAAGAGGAACTGGTTGAGGACGAAACGACTGAACTTGATGTAGAGGAATCAGAGCTCGCATAGCCAATTGCACCTTTAGTCTGTGTGCGCTGCTCTAAATGTACCGCTTCTTCCTGCGACTAAAACGATTTCCATCAGTAGGCCTGTACGATGATACAACAACACCACACAGTGACGTAGCATGGTACTCATTGTCATCCGCTTCACAGATATGGCTCACGAATTGTAATGAACGACTGACTTATGGTTTAGAAAAGTAATCACGTTTCCACTTCCTCCAGGCTGTTGAGCTTCTAAGACAGCTGATTGCTGGGGAGGTGTGGTGGTGGTACTATCGACAACTGATTCTTGTGAGGACGCTTCTTTAGGAGGCGGATTCAGCGCTTCCAACCGTCTGGTTAAGTCTTCAAGGCGTGTATACTGAGCTGCTGCACTCTCTTGCACCTTCATGTCACCACAAGATAACCATATTAGAAAAAGGAAATAGTAGATTATGTGCAAGGCTCATATATGAAGAACAGACTTTAAGGTTGTAACATAAGAAAGTCTTCATGTCACTCTTATAACCCTCTCAATACTCATTCATACAAAAAGATGTCCATTATTTTCTCAGATCAAAGTTGCAGGAAGTCGTCTTCAAACAACTAAAGGATATATAAGCCTACCAGCCTGTTTAAATCTTCACAAAGGCGCTGCTTGTACGCTTCCTCGGCCTGCACTGCCTTTTCTGCTGCTTCCCAAGCCTGAAATGATGATATGGACCCACAGATCATGCAATATAATGAAGGGATGAAAGAAAATAACTACAAGGTTTTAAACCTATAGGACTTAGTACCAGCTTGTGTGATTGAAATTTTAGCCACGAAAAGCTGGCCTTTAATAATATTCTCGACATGCAGACACCATACCGTTGCCCTCAAACTAACATTCAAGAAAATTAATGGCAATTGAGTTTCAACCCTGGGTGGCCAGTTCACGTATCAAAACTCATTGTCATAAGGGTAGAATTAGAAATAAACCTTTTTTGTCTGCTCCTCCTTCAGTTTCGCTGCCTTAATTTTCTCAGTGGATGCCTCTATCATTTTCCTGAGGTGCTCAAGAGCTGCGTGTGAAGAGGTTGCACGATTCAAGATTCAACCAGGGTATACATTATAACAAACTTCTGCCTGTAAACAATGTAGTACGAACAACATGTACTTGATCGTAGATTGCATAAATGATATACATGTACAATCAAAACGATTGTGATTAACTGTACCATGCTTCTTAGGGCCAGCTGTGAGTTTGACTTCCAGAGCAAGTGTTGCTAGCTCCTTCTCTACATTGCGTATCTTAGAGTAGTTATCCTGAATGTACCTGTACACAGATGAAAATGCAGAATCTTGTTAAACAAGAGCTGGGCATCTACTTCACCAGCACTTGGCAGCATTCACCAGTCTCACCTACTATCCCACTTGACAGCGTGTTGCAGTCTCAGCTATAAGCAGGAAAGCACAGAATTCGGTTGTGGTTCGATGTGCAGTGTTTTTTTTTGACAATGTTGACTCTTGGCCTTTGGACAGGAGTAAACTTAGTCATGTAATTTACAAAGCCCTTTGGGACTTCATCTGGAGATACATGTCTCGAAATGTAGAGACACAAGAGGTAGATGGAATGAAGAAAATGCAGGATAAGCTCAGCTTCTTTAAAACCACTGTCAATAAACATGACTATTCCCACCTATGAAGGTACTGAGCAGTGAAATTGACCAGAAAGCCAAGCAACACAGGACCATATGTAGGCCTGTGCACGTGTATTTTGAGTTCATTTCATAATTTAGCCTCGAAAAGCAAGAGTGTCAGAGCTTTGACATCAGCCAGAAGATTATTTTGTGAGTCCGAGAAACATGTGGGGAACTTACTGTTTGAGCTTCAGCTCCTTCTCCTCCAGGATCTGTCAGGCATCCCGTTAAAAACAATGCAAGAGGCTCGCACGGGTGAGAATTCAGCGATGCGTGATACAGCTCTGATTTGAAGTGTCAAGTTTCGTCGGGAGTTTCACTCAAGAAGTTTAAAGACAGAATTATAATCATCTCCAAAGCTCTGCGTAGAAAAACGAAGACCCAGTTCGCATCCTGGGTAGATCCTCCCTTGATTCGAAACATGGGGAAAATGCAGGCGTAGAAATCACACAGAACGTCAAGACAGGATAGGCGTATCGGCTGGAACTGAGCAAAGAGCAGAAACAAAACGGGCTGGCACAATTTGCTGACCTTCTCAGTGTAAGAAATAATGGGCACATCAGTGGCGAGGCCATCGGCCCCGATATTGGGCACAAAGGAAGGCGGGACGGATCCCATCACATCAGTCGAACACCCTCCCGGCAACCCGCATCAATTCAGCACACCTTTCCCTGCGAAACAATCCCAATCACCGAATTCAGACGAATCTCCTTCGCGAGCATCTAGATCCAGCCAGCACCCAAGACATTCTTCAGAGCAGGCCACTCCACAGGAATTGCAGCCCAGCCTCACCTCAACTCCGCAGGATTTCTCTGCGCTCGACAACCCGAAAATGCGACTGGATTTCCCAGATCTTGGACCGCCGGTCGCTCATTCTCTGCGCCCCTCGCCCTCTCGCACACTCTGTGTCGTCACAGCTCTCTTGCTCGCTCGCTCCCCCGCCCCCTGGCGCCCGGCCTCCGGCCCTCCGCTCTAATAGAGCGTCACGTGGGTCCGGCCCGACATGTGCTCCCAACAACGACAAGCGCTCTTGCTCTTGCTCTTGCTCCTGCTCCCTCCCGCGTTCTTGCTTTCGCGCCTTTCCCATGTACATGGCCACAATAGCGAGCGCGACTACGGTACAGTATTGCGGCCGTGTACGCAGGCGGGGCTATAAAGCATCACCGCGTCCGACCTGCGCTCGACGCTTCTTCTCTTTTCGTTCGATCTGCTCTGCCTCTGCCTCTTCGAGAGCGCATCAGGAAGGGAGCCGCTTGCCACCGAGGACGTCGAATCCCCTTTTGTCTGGACGCAGGGCGATTGCATCTGCCCATTCAATGGGGTATCGTGACGGCTGCCGTGGTTGGGACGGAAATTCGTCGATTCTTGATTGGTAATAATTACGTCTTGCAGGTTGCGAAAATTCTGGGAGTTTGAACCCATTGAGTTCACATCCGAGCGAAGCGCAAGTTCTCAAAATTCAAAGACCAACCAAAAAGGGCGTGAACGTTCACGGGCCTAAACCCTTAGTTGCTTTTGCAGAATGAAGCGGTGGCTGAGAGCGTGCTTTGAAACTGTGACATTTACGTTTCGAGTATTGAAGTATTATTTTCTTTTTGTCTGTTGAAGGTCGATACGATTGGTTTTCTTTGAAATAGCTTTGCCTCTCCTTTCATTGTCGGATCATTGTGGCAAAGGCTGCGCTCGATCTATCGACATTCTGTATCGATTTACAGGGCCGTAATTTTAAGCATTGTCAGAGGGCGATTGCCCACGCACTAGATTGTGCCTACGCAATTGTTAACGATCTGCGGATGGTTGTACTTAAGCTTCCAAGGTCGGAAAAAGACAGCTTGAAAACACAATCTACTTCATGTAATAATAGATCTGCAAAATATACAGAAAGTATATTTTCTTCTGCAAGTTGCGTTGGCTCCTTTCTTGTTTCTGTGGCTCCCTTCTATCTTGATGCTGAGATGCTGCAGATGCTATGTTACAACAACGGTCTGAAAACCTCGATCCCGTTGAAAATTAGCATCGCGATAAATATCTTCCACAGCAAAAGATACAAAAGATCGTGTGGTCTTCTACTCAAGTCTGCTCCGCATGCATACAGAGATTGTGGAACTGAGTCTTGTGCTTGTTCATCCTGGGAGGGTAACCTATTGGTTGAGGCACGCAGCTTTTGTCCCAAACCTCTATAATTCCCGACTTATATTATTTCGAAACATGAGATCGGTCTGAGTGAGATTCTTGCAAGCTATTTAAAATCAAATATACTACCAGGCGAATTAAGGTCAGCAATTGATGGATTCAATAAATCCAGCGTGCAGCAAGGCCATTATCGGATGTGTGAGTGTTCCACTTCCCGCGTTTGGAGCCCATCCGAGACTGTCCCATGCAGGAACTATATGTGGACTGTGTTTGGAGCCCATCCGAGACAGTCCCATGCAGGAACTATATGTGGACTGTGTTTGGAGCCCATCCGAGACAGTCCCATGCAGGAACTATATGTGGACTGCCGATTATGAAGTAGTTGATTACCAAGTAATGTAATTTACTTTGAAAATATTAAGTTTGAGAAGAAGAAGTCTAGTAATTTCAAATTTTTAGTATAGAAATAATGAGAAAAAAAGTAAAGAGTGGATTTTGGAATAGAAATTAAATAAGAGTAGTGAATAGACAACATACCAATAAACAGAGCTTGGTGTGTTTGTTTCAATGAACCCAATATACAGAGGTTGGTGTGTTTGTTTCAATGTACCCAATAACGCTGGAGAACCCAATAACGCTGGAGACGAGTAAATGAATCCTCAGTTGCGAAGGTATCTAGTGAAGGGCATGGTTCGACGAAGACACTTTATCGCCTTCGGCGAAGAGTCTTCGAACTTCTACATTAGCTACTTCAGTGTGCATTCGCGAATTGAGAGTTCAGTGATGTTCGTGAGTGAGAATTTGAGAGTGTAACGATGAGCAGATCTTTGGGACTTTAATTGTCATCATTGAAGGTGTCGGAATTCGGATTGAGAGCTTATCGCATCTAATTGGTAGTTGCCAAGTTTGATTAATTTCTATGGGGATTGAATTGGAATTGCGCCGCAATGGTGCAAGAGTGGCACAAAATACGCCCGCCGGACGTTGAGACACTTCGTGGCATCCCAGCAATCTGGACCGTAAGGGATTTGACAAAGGTCTTGGAACCATGCGTTGGAGAAGATGGTGATTTCAACTTCGAAAAAAAATGTGAAAGTGATCCGCACGGAATAGAAGATTTTTGTGCACATGTTCGAGAAACCTCGTTCACGCAAGAATGGTTACCGAACGACGGAGTATCATGATTGAATGCGCAGAAGTGTAGCGGTGGCCTTGATGCAGATCCTTCGGTCTTCGCGGACAACTTACATGGCGACATGGCCGGTCGGATTTGTGGAGCGCGCGATGGCAGGAAAGCCTATTCATTGGGCACGCATTCTATGAGGGACTACACACCACCACATCAGCGAAATTCCTACGAAGATGAGATTGGTGAATGTGTGTGCTTGTAGCAAGATGAAGGCACGATGGTCAAAGCTTGAGAAAGAAGACATCACTGAGTGTAGTGAAGCCTCATCTCAGTGCCAGATAACTTTGGAGTAGTGGGCTGAGATGGAACCGGACGAAGCAAGAAACGACAACGAATAGCATTCGATGGAGGGACTTCGGAGTGAAAACCTTCGGGAGTGCCCGCATGAGGTAGGAGAAGAACAAGGAGGTGATACCGAGGTAGAGAACTCGAGTCAGGGTCGTCGGACTTCGAGGCAACCACTCGTGTACACTCCTTCGGGTAAGTAGTATTCGAAGGTAACCATAGAGTTAGCAAAAAAGGCGATGGATCCCAATTCGGTGGAAAAACTTATAGATCAAGTAGTGGAGTACGTGGGAAGAACAGTTTGCGGAGCAACAGCCAATGTCTTCGGTTCATGTGTCTTCGTGTACAGTTGATTTGGACTGTGGCGAAGGGCCTTTGATTGAAGAACCCAAGTCAGCCGGACTTAGTGTAGCGGACATACTGGGCAAGCAAATGGTTCCTTTGCTTAGATACTTGGATATGAAGATGACGAAGTACGCTAAGCCAGCAATAGCGGGATCCTATGTAAAATTCGTGTGTGGCCGGACGCGGACGAAGGTGGTAGCATCTGTGGAGGTAGCAGAAAGAGTGTCGAGCTGGATCTCTGAGTTTGCGACCGTGAAGGCTACCTTGCAGGCGCGGAAAAAGCGACTTCGACAAAGCGAGTTGCAGTGTGCAGAACTTCGGAGAAGTTTGATTGTGGAGAAGTACCTTCGTGCGACGTCGGAGCTTGAGTGCATGAGTTTTTGTGTTGACATCGGCAATGCACGGAAGGCGACAATAGATCTTCAAGACAAATTGGAGGCGTCTAGAGTGGTGGCATTCAATGAGGAATCTGGTCGCGTGGATGAGCTGACGGCGGATCTGGAGAAACACGATCAATTGCACGATGCTGAATTGGCGTTGAAAGCAAAGGAGTTGCAGGATTGCTAAGCTGCCACGTCTTCAGAGTTAGAGTGTAGGAAGAAATTGGACGCAGATTGTAGCAAATTGCGTTCTCAGTTGTTGGCAGTTGGGAAGCAGTTCGTCGCGATCAAAGCAAAATTGCTGGAGATGGAGGCGACAGTCCAATAATTAGAGCAGCGTACGAATGTTGCGTTGTGCGCGAAGACAAACCAATGCCTTTGCGGTTATGTGGAGTGGAAGATACAGACTCTGAAGTGGAAGAATTTGAGTGAGCTGGAGTGCCGAGTGACGGAATTGACAGCTAGGAGAGTCGCGGGGCAACAGTAGTTAAATAAGAAGTTCAATTCGTTCATCTCCGGTTTGAAGGACATGAAGGAGAATTTAGAATAAGAACTGTCATACGTTTTAAGTCGAATATGAGTAGATAGAATTTCAGCGGACGTGGTTACTACCGGGTCGGATGGGATCGCACCTGTTGGGAGCTTGCATCTCAGCGAGTGATGACTCTAGCTGTTAGTTAGGAATAAAGAGGCTCAAGGCTCTATTATCAAGGGCTTTTTCATTAGTTAGTTTCTCAATTTTTAGCCTGCATTCCTCTGCGCGTTTGTGAATTGTGCGTTTTGTCACCATGTGCGAGTTGTTTCAATTAGTCAAAGATATTGCATCTAAAGTAGAGAGTCCAATTCAGATGTTCTAAGTGGTGCATATTGTAGCTCAAAATTTAAGCAAATTTGTACATTGGAAGCTCGTGTAGTGAGCTTAGTGTGTAATCTTGGGAAATTCCCCCCCTTAGTATCAATTGTAGAGTTGCGTGTAGCGTCTGTAGGGACTTATTGGATGAGTTTCAAGATTCGAGTGTGATTTCACCCTACAATGTGATGCCTTCGGACTTAGCAATTGCAGACGTTTTTAGGAGTCACATGTGACCAAGTAGTAAAATTTTTCAATAGACTGTTAGTTTGTGACATTACGTGGTTCTCTAGGTTGTTTTTGTCCTCGTGGGATCGGATCTTTACCATTATGCTCCATTTTGATAATTGTTTGTTATTACAAAGGTATGTCTTGTACTTGGAGTATAATGGAAACATTGTGAGTCGTGGAGTTCGTGACAAGATGACAAGACTCTATTGCTACTTTGTTGATCATCCAACCTTTTCGATCTGCGCTATGGAATTCACTCATGTTGGACGATTATGGCATAAGCGCCTCAGCCATCTCAACCAGCATAGCCTCCGCACCATGGGTGCAAAAGGTGTAGTCCTTGGAGTCCCATTAATCTATGTTGTTCCTGAAGATTGTCCTAGTTGCTTTACCGGCAATCAAGCTCGTGCAAATTCAAAGACTGCTACTCGCCGAACGACAAAATCTTTGGCGTTGATACACTCTGACCTATCTGGACCGATTCAGCCTGCTTCTCTTGATGGTGCACAATACTTTGTGACCTTCACCGGCA